GGTAATGGGTATTGAAAGCTGAAAATGGAAAGGGAATAATGTTATTCTACCCAAATTTCGTACAGTGATTTTTTTAGAATATTTTTGTGATGATTCATGTAATAAATAAAGTGAATAATAAATTGTAATAAAATTATCTACAATAATTTTAATTGAATAAATAAACTCTATAAAATTCAAAACACTAATGATAAAAAAAAACAACATTGAAAATACTTGAGAACTAATTTTATTAATTTAAAAAGTATGAAAACTTTATCTAAATAATTAAAATTAAAGACTAAAATCACGTATTCGACAAACTATTAAAACCATAAACACATTATTATTAAATATTTTTATTACGCAAATCAACCAATGAATTATTTATTCAATATTTTGACTAAGGGAATTAACTCATGAAATTTAATATATTTAACTATTTATCATTGAGCAAATAGCATTTAACTTTTACAGAAATTTTCTTGTTTGATTTCTTATAAAAAAAACTGAAGTACATAAATATTTTTTTCATTGTTTTTTCTTAATTACGATAAATATCGTGATATTAAATCGAGGTATTAAATAATATAAATAAATCCTTAGTATTCATTTAAGATTACATCACATGCATTGAACAATATTACTAAAAATGTTGAAACTTTTTCTAAATTTTTGTTTCTCTCGTGCACGTGATTCTTTCTCTTTTCTCCAAAAATAGACCAACAATGATACACAACTTGGTCTTCTTTTTTTCTTTCCTGCCATATTCCCCGTTTGGCTTTGAAGAGATAACGCGAAGAAGAGAATAAATAAGTTGAGAAAAAGAAAAATAGACGAGAAAAAAACATTGAATATTAATTATTTGATAAAGTATAAATAAAAAGTTGAATAATGTTTTTGGTATCTGTGATATATATTAATTGTTACACACTATAGTCTGAAATAATAATTAACATCATAAAAAGATCATTAACACACAAAAGGTTAGTAATCACCTTCTCCAAAGTCCAAAAACGATGACTAAATTTCTCTATTTAATGGATTTGACTTATTTGAGGGTGGTTTAATTAAGATTTCAAATGGAAAATCATGGATCCAACCAACGTATTTATGGTATTAAATATATAATATCGAATTAATTAATAATTAATAAATATAAATATTTTTTATGAAAAAAGTATTTTTTAATTTGACTATTTATAACTAAAACATATTAATAGTTATTAATGATAACAAAATTATATCATAGTTTCTATTATAATGTAATTTATTCATGAAAATAAGAAAAATTAAAAATTATGAATATAAAAGTAATTATAAAATATACCTTAATTTTTTATTTGACAAATTTTTATTATCAACTTTTTTTAATACTTAATATTTTCAATAGACGACAAGATTAATCAGTTTAATTTTTATTGGGACAAGGAATTTATTATTGATTTTAGCTTTGAAAAACTCTTTTAAAACTGAAACAATTGATATTATAATCGTTGACATTATTTTGTAAACTATACGTACATTTGAAAAATATTTTATTTATTTCCACATAATTACGAAAATTCAATTGATTTATAATTTCCCAATCCATCTTTTGGTTCCGAAAATAAATCTAAGTCATTAATTTTCAAAAAATTCTCATGTTTCAAAGAATTTCAAGATTTAAGAAATTTTCTTTCAAAATTATACTAATTAACATATTTATATATTTTTATATGAAATTAAAAATGAAACTAAAATTAAACAAATAAGGTACTTCATATAAGTAGATAAAATAACATTAAGATAAATCAATAGAGATTGATTGTCAATAAAATAAACTTTTTCCTTATCTTCAAGTCATACTTTATATTTTTGGTTAATGTTTATATCTAATTTCCAAAATTTAATGTTTTTTTTTCACAAATTATTTTGATATTTATAAAATAAATAAAGAAAAATAAATTTATTTTGATATCAATTTCTCAATTGAATAGCATGGCAATAAAATATATCAACAAATAATAAATTTCTAAATTTTATTGCTTTAACTTAATATAGTTAAAAAAGAAAAATAAAATGTTAATTGATAATAAATTAGCTTCTTCTATATGCTCCAAATAAAAATCCACGTAAAAAAAATAGATTGGAAGATTCTAAATTTAAATAGGTAAAACCTAAAAATTATTGCTCATTAAATAATAGTAATTTGATTATTTTAATTAAAATATATATTTTTTAAATATAATATATTTTTTTAAAATTTGGTTAGATTTAACAAGTCGAGGGTCTATTCATCTCAAAATTTATGGACAAGTTAATGGTGGAACAGAGATAGATTGGTTCGCCGACTAATTCAAAAAATTATATATTAAAATAAAAATTATGATTAAAATTATTATATATTTTTATTATATTATTAAAATATATAAACATATTATAATATTATAAATTAAATTATAAATATTAATTATTTAAGTTTAAATTATTGATTATAATTATATATTTTAACATAAAAATATTATAACTTTTAAATTTATCTAATAAAAATATAAATTGATAAATAAAATCTTAAAAATTATTTACTTTATATTGTTTTAAAAATATATAAGAAAAAATATTGATAGCTCGTCAACCCACGTCTCATTTCAAATGGACTGAAATTTATATTTTGTTTTGATTAAGAGTCAATCTAATTTATTTGTTTTTTAAACTAGAGGCAAAAGAAGTTAAAAAAAATAATAAATTATTCTATTTTATTTTCTATTTATCATATTTTTTGCTTTATTATTTTATCTATGACAAATAAGAAGTAATTTCTTCTTAAAATTCATCTAAAATATTTTTTTAAATATTTTTAATAAACTTTTTTAGGATAAATTTCTATTTAAAAATAATATTATTTACAAAAAAATTCTCTGACCACACAAAAAATAGTATTATTGTTAAATTGATTTTCTTTTATTGATACTATAACTATTACTATGAAATAATTTTATCATTAATTCAACAAGATCAATATTTTTAGTCATTAAACAGGTGAATTGTTTAATTTTAAAATTTAATTGGAATAAAATCAAATTTAATAAAATAAATATTTTAAATATAATAATGTGATAAATATATAAGAAATTTATTAATAAAATAATTTTGATTAAAAAAAGTATAACATTAACAAAATAATTATTATTTAAAGTTGAACTAAGATAAAAAAATTAAAAATTTATTTTTTTATAAAAAATATCTTTTAAAGAAATAAAAAATATTTTTTAATTCTTTTATCAAAATCAATTTAATTAAAAAAGTAATCTATTATTTTATTTTACGAATTTTGTATTGATTTTATAATTTTATATAAATTTAATTAAAAATTATTTTTTAAAAGCAATAGAAAATTTCCAAGTAAATTGGACCCGATTCAACAGTTTAATTCGATCCTATTTCTAAAAAAATGTCAAAATAAGAAAAAGAAAAATAAAAAACAACAATACAAAATTATAATTAATTATTAGAGATTAAGAAATAATATTTATTTATGTATTTATTTTATTTATACTTTATAATATTTTATTGTTTTTATTTGTATAACCTGGTTCAAGATTAATTCGATCTGATCTTCAAAATACGTCAGAATAAAAAAAATAAAAGAAAAATATTATAATTAACTATTAAATATTAAAATTTAATATTATTTTTAGTTTTAGTTTTTATTTATAATTTATAATATTTTATTGTTTTTTTTCTTATAATTTTTAACTTTTGATAAAATATAGAGCTTTATAAATTTACAAAGTTATTTCTATTTTTATAAATTCTTATAAATATAAATATATTAAAATTTAAACTGTGAAATCTGATCACAAATTTTTAAATATTTGTATAAGTCATTACATTCTTATATATTATTTTAAAATTTACAAGAAGTGTTTTACAATGAAATAATATTTTAAAGTTTTAATCTAATATAGGCATCTATTAATTTTAAAAAGTTATTAACATATATTAATATTCAAAAAACTAATATATTTGGATATATTTTATTTAAAGAGAATGAGTTAAAAAAAAAACTAGATTCCCATTTTTTCTCTTCACTAATTTGAAATAAAACTGGGAAAATAAATAATAATAGGAAAAAAAAAGAAAAAAAGAAATCATCATCTTTGATTTGCAGAGGTCCTATATAATGGTCATACCACATCTCGCAGCTTCTCTCTCGGCTTTCTCCTTATAAACTTCCGATGTGTTTTTTTCTTTCTCTCTCCATAGTTTTGTTTTCTTTATAAAATTCTGCAATCGGTTTGGCAACTGAATTTGCATTGGGTAATCAAATTATTAATAATTGGAAAAGAAGACGAAGAAAAAAAAGGGTGGGGAGGCATAGCCAGATAATGAACCTGCCCTCTGTTCTTAATCTCATTGTGCCTCCCCTCAGATCTTAAGATTTGCCATCTGGGTCGTCTTCAATCGGTGGGTTTCGACGGAATCTCGATTGAAGTTTTGATCTTTCTTCAATTCAGTCTGCCTTTGGATCTTTGATTATTGAAAAAATTTTGTGTTTTTTTTTTCCAGGATTGCTTAGCCTTTGATTCACTGCTTGATGATTTTCGATCAAGGATCCGATGTTTTCTAATTGAATCCGACAATATCTATTTTTGCATCGTTAATACAGTCTCTCAGTTTGCCTTAATTTAAGGTATTGTTTGTAGTGTTTTTTTGTTTTTCGTTATGCTAGGGACTATTTGTATTTGAACAATTTGATACGATAATGTTATGTTTCGATTTTACCGTTCCGGGATTTATTTGCATTTTATCCCAGACTAGGATTTTGTTTGTTGAGTTGAAAAAATGAAATAAAAATCATGCTTTAGCCTATTGTTGTGTAAGGAATTGGATTGGATCCGTCAGGAACATTATACCTACGGTTAGTTGTGTAAAGAAGGTTGTTTTGTTCATTTCCAATAATGGTGCTTCCATTTGCATTTTAAGTTTATGAGCTGGAGTTCCTATTAGATGAAGTGTGTCTTTTGCTTGTAGATAAAATGCAATCAGATAATGGCAAGTTATTTATTGGGGGAATATCATGGGACACAAATGAGGAGCGACTCAGGGAGTATTTCAGTACTTACGGGGAGGTTGTGGAAGCAGTGATAATGAAGGATCGGACAACAGGTAGAGCCAGAGGATTTGGTTTTGTTGTTTTTTCGGACCCAGCTGCTGCAGAGATAGTCATAAAAGAGAAGCACAACATTGACGGAAGGATGGTAATTCTTGTTATTTCCCAGTCTAAAACTTGCATTTTGACAGTAAGGTTCACTTTTTGAATTGTTCAACCTCGGAAGGTAGCATTTTTTGATATTGAAACGTACCTCATAGCTAAATTTGCTAGATTCAAAATCTCGAAACTTCTTAGCTAGATTTTAAAATGGAGCATGAGTGAAATCTTTTTTTAATTTTGTTATTGTTCTCTTCTCTAAGCATCTGTTGTAAGGATTATAGATCTTTAAAGCTTCTTTATTTTCTTATCCATGGTCATACTCAATATCGCTAGGTTGAGGCGAAGAAAGCTGTTCCAAGGGATGATCAGAACATACTGAGTAGAAACAGTGGCAGCATACATGGTTCTCCTGGGCCAGGTCGCACTAGAAAGATATTTGTTGGAGGTTTAGCATCAACAGTGACGGAGAGTGATTTCAAGAAGTACTTTGATCAGTTTGGAACTATAACAGATGTTGTAGTTATGTATGATCACAACACTCAGAGGCCAAGAGGTTTTGGATTTATCACTTATGATTCTGAAGAGGCGGTTGACAAGGTTTTACTAAAGACATTTCATGAACTAAATGGTAAAATGGTTGAGGTCAAGCGAGCAGTTCCTAAGGAATTATCGCCAGGACCAAGCCGCACCCCACTTGGTGGATATAACTATGGTCTTAGTAGGGTCAACAGTTTCTTAAATGGCTTCACTCAGGGGTATACTCCAAGTACGGTCGGAGGCTATGGACTTCGAGCGGACGGTAGATTCAGTCCAGTTGCCAGTGGTCGAAGTGGATTTGCTCCATTTGGTTCAGGTTATGGAATGAGTATGAATTTTGAGCCTGGTTTGAATGCCGGATTTGGGGGAAATGCAAATTTCAATAGCAATCTTAGCTATGGCCGGGGAGTAAATCCTTATTTTATTGGCAGCTCCAATAGGTTTGGCAGTCCTGTTGGATTTGACAGTGGTAATGGAGGAAACAATTCTTTCTTCAGTTCTGTGACTCGAAATTTGTGGGGTAATGGTGGCCTTAGTTATGGAACAAGTTCTGCAAATTCCAATGCGTACATTGGATCAGGGAGCGGAAGTGTGGGAGGGAATACATTTGGCAACACAGGAGTCAACTGGGGTGGTTCTTCAGCAATTTCTGGGCAAGGAGGAGGGAACAACATGACACAAAGTAGTGGCAACCTGGGATATGGAAGTGGTGACAATAATTATGGTTTGGGGACTGGAGGGTATGGAAGAAACACTGGTACCACTTTTGCACCAACATCTTCGTACTCTGCATCAAATGGTGGTGTTGATGGAGCTTTTGCAGACTTTTACACTAATAGTTCAGTTTATGGGGACCCCACTTGGCGCTCTTCAAATTCTGAGAGAGATGGATCTGGTCCCTTTGGTTATGGACTTGGTGGAGCAGCTTCTGATGTTTCTACCAAGAGTTCTCCTGGTTATGTTGGTGGTTATACTGTTAATAAGAGGCAGCCAAATAGGGGTAAGAGTTACAATCTTTTTGGCCATTTTTCTCTTGTTCATATTTTGGATTTTGAGTAAATGTCAGAACCTTATTTAATTGATCTTTGACTAATGTATTTTATCTTTGCTAAGTTTACTATTATTATGGAACACTTTTAATCAGTTCTTTGTCTATTGTTCAACTAGATTTTGTTTTTTTTCTCTTTTAATTAGATTCATATAGTTAGGTCTACTTGTCTCTAAGAACAATGACTATCGTTATTTCATTGTTCTGTGGTTCTTCCTATTGAAAGGGGGTGCACTGACCAATTATATAGTTATCTATGTTTGAGTACAGTATACTTTTGTCTCATTCCTTGCATTCCGAACTTCTTTCCTTTAATTAGAGTATCTGTGTGCCCTATTTTGTCGTGTCAGTAAGCTTCTTGCAGCACAAGTGCATCTTTAGGCAGCTATAATGTCAGCCATAATATATTGCAGCACAAGTGCATTCCAAGAGGTGGTGACTGTGTCTTGACTCTCGGTAAATCTCATTATCATAATGAGAAAGTAGGTGAAGAGGTGGAATAGTTAATGTTCTTTAAGTGTCATTTATGAATGAAAGCACGAACCTTTATTATAAAAGGGGTCCTAGTGATGAGAGAAAACTAACTGGCCTAGAGAAGGGGGCTACCACCCAAAGTAAGAGGGTGTGTTGTAATGGGAGGGTTTTATTAGGTATGTCTAGAGAACTTGTAATTTGATTTGAGATAATGAATATTTGTTGAGATGTTCCATGAATGTAGGCAAGAACAGTCACACCATGTAAAATTTGTGCCTTTTGCTATTTCTATTGGTGATCTTCATTGCATGTTAAAGGGATTTTTGCTGACATATCTATATGGTTTTTCTCTCTAGTCTTGTAGGAATTATACCTTGTAGGCGGTAAAAATTGAGAGGTCCATAGATATCAGAAAGTAAGCTTCAAATTGAAAGATCGGCTATTACTTAAACAAGTAATGTTAAGCGTCACAGAACATGCTGACTTCATTTCAGCATTGGTTGGGTCAGTGGTGTCAAATATTAGATGGAATTTCTATAATATCTAACAGTAGAATAAAAATGTCCCATGTTTGAGGGATGAGAAAAGTAAGCAAGTTGGACAGTGTTGTTTTATAAAAAAAAGAACAAGGAGTGATATGCTTTTATAATATATGAAATTTCTATTAGTGATCTAGATGTTTATTTTATTGGTACAAATAGAATGAGTCTGCTAGAGGCTAGATTGAACTGTACACGGACTTTTGTGTGGTGTAAGTGCATCAGTATTTTAACAAATTTTGTCGACAAACTAAAGCAAATTTGTTGCTGAGCAGTATAACTTAATAAATGCAAAGGTGTTAATGGAGATGATTATAATGGCTCATGCCTAATTGCAACTTTTCTTTTAAAATAAAAACAATCGGGAATGGACTTGTGAATTCAAAAACTGTATGGTTTAGGGCTGTATTGTAAGTTAGTAAACGGATAAAAAAATTGGTTGGAAACACGTGGACCATAATTCCATTGAAGTATTAGAATTATCATTTTCATATATATATATATATATATATAGATGGATAAATATTGTAGGCTCTTTTCAACAGTATTGACTTCATCTTTTGTGTCTTTCTTGCACAAAACAAGAAATGAGGTTAAGACCGTCTTTTGGATAGCAGTCATAGATGTCATGTAAACATCAGACTAGAACTAGTTCTTCAATGTGCTTTATCTTCTTAGTTGTCTGAATGATTTTTTGAATGTTTTGCTGAACGTGTTAAGATTTTAGAGTATGAAATCATGCTGTTAAACATTCTGTTGCATGCAATAAATTATCTTATGGGAATTGAATGTTTTGTTGTCTTTTCTTCTCCTGGTCGATCTTGATCTTCTCACCTAAATTCTGGTGTTTAATAGTTAGTCAGGAGGGCTGCTATAACCCAAGTTCCTTCTAGCAGAGCAGAATCTGTTGTACATTGTTTTTTCTTTATGTTATGTTATACATTGTTCAATTTTCTTCTTACATAATCTAAATTTGTCTATTATTGATATTACAATTCACTACTTTTTTCTACCGAATGTTTCTTTGTAGTGCTCCAGTTTTTCACATGGACATATAAAGTGGATGGAAATTAATATTGATACATTCTAGTTGTGATGTGTCCATTCAATTATTCATTTTGTATGCCAACACTGATAAACTTGATTGTTTTGCTTCAGGAATCGCTACATAGGAAGATCATTTTGATGACACGAACTTGTAGGTGAAGATAATCCAGTGAAGCAGGTGAATTGTGAATTTTGCACACCACTGTTGTTACTGTATTTCGGTTTAAGACGCAAGATGTTTGGTTTTCTAGAGCTAACTGAAGTGCCTGTTTTGAGGGTTCAGATATAGAGATAGATTACAAGGGAATGTCAAGGTTTGAGTTTTTTGAGTTACTGTTTAGGTTTTGGGATTTGAGTGAGATGTAAAATCTGATTGCGGGATATAGCGGAAGTGTATCATGCACCACTTGTGAGGCAGCAATATAAAAAGATGGACAGCATTTTTATTTTTTTTCTTTTTCTTGGGTAGATTTTTATTTTTTTTATTTTTTTTTTTTGTCTTTGATGTCTTGCAAAGTTGTGGGTTCGTTCTTCTCAGGAATTGTTTGTTTCTTCATCCATCATTTTGGTTTGCTTTTAGCAGATTGTATCTGAGGTTTTTGTTTATTACTAGTGTGAAACATTGAAGGGATACCCATCTAGGGTCCCGTGAATAAGTTACCATATGCTCTGATTCTTTTTCTAAAGGGGAATATTTTATGCTACAAATTCAAGCCACATTGTTTTATCCCATTGCTATTTTTAACACAGCTAGGTTTGTACAACTTGTGACCATCATTAATATATTAGCAATGCACTCAATAAAATAACGTCAGAAAATTAAACACAGATGAATTTCTTATCAATTTGATACAGTAGATTTGTTTCAGTGGGCATTTGACGTGGACATGAGGGAGGTTTTATTACATAGTATTTCTCAAAACCTTGATGTTAACTACAAGTTAGTATCCAAGTTTTGTCAGCAGTTTGCTTGTGTTGGTCACCTAATCCTGCTGGGATAATTAATTACTCAAGAGGCTCTACTTGCCTTATCATTTCACTGAATTTTTTAATATCTCCAATTTCATATTCATTGCATGCATTCAAAGTTTTACACGTTCATTGCATCTAAGATATTTTACCTCTTTCACTGTTGTGACCTCTTAAAGTTCTATCCCTTCAAAGAATTCCGGTAGATTAAGGAAAACTCGTCAAAGTAAAACTTTTTGGTGTATGGCACAAAAAGCAATGGATTTTTTAATTCATATATTAGCAAACGTTTTTCATGGCTTATTTTTGTTTCAATTATTATTGCTTTTGGCTTATCCCATTTTTGAAAATAGTTTGCTTTTCATTCAAAATACTTATTTTTCTTTCCCCTTAGAAATATATTCTTAAAATTTTAGCTGATTTTACTCTCTATTTATGTCTTTCCAGTTCCAGTTGTGTACAGAAAGAAAAAAAGATCTTATGAGAAGTTAGTTGTATCATTATAATAATGTTTTTGGCTAAAAATATATTAGTAGTTTAGATGAAGAGGAGAAAAATGACTGAGATTCTAGTGAGAAAAATGAAAAATGTCAAACAAAAACTTTATTGCAAAGCATCATTCAAAACAAATATATTCATCAGGAAAAGTTAAAGGAAGACAGAGCAGACAGCAGAAGTGAGAAGCCACGGAGGGGAATAAAGTAAAAACCTTGTCTACGAGTGGATCCAAATTTCTTACCCACGTTTTTAAGTTGGGTCCGTTCTTTTCTTGTACTAGTTTAATCCAATTTCTGTACTTTTATGCACACCATATCCTTATTTCTTTGTAACTTTGCTGGGAAATAGAAAAGGTTTGTAATTAGATAGTGGGGAGCAAGAAGTATGGAATAAAATACAAGTTCCAAAGGAAAGGAATAAACATGGTTGGTACTCTCTTTCTATTCTTGGAGATACAAGGTTGATTACAAGTACATGAAAGAAAAGAGGGGTTGTGAGTTTGAATCTCTCTTACGGTTAAGTTGACAATTTTCTTTTACATTTTACCATTATCTTTTTTTATATTTTACTATTAATTGTTTTTAGTTTTTACACATTTTACCATCATATTCGTAATAAAATAGTATCGTCTTACAAAATGGATAATAAAAAGTCTTTTTTTTATCAGAACATGAAAATACATGAAGGAGTGAAAAATATAGTGACAAAATGTGTAAGAAAAAACTCAAATGATAATAATTAAAGAAATTATTCTAATTGAGTGTGGGAAAATATGTAATTAGGCTTATTTTTTTATAACTGTAAAAAAATTGACGATAAGAAAGTTTTATTTAAATATTAAAATGGTTTAATATTATAAACACTACTAGAAATTCTCTTATTTTATGAGAATGTTTTTACAAAATTTTGTAAAAATTACAATAAACATGTTTTCTGTAAATTTAAACAAATTTTTATAAGAAAATTAAAAAAAAAACTAAATTTCGTAGTAGTGAAAATAAAATTACTCTTCAACCAAGTTGGAAATTGTTAATGATGATTTATCGAAGAAAAAACAAAATCCATATATATATATATATATATATATATATATATATATATATATATATATAGAATATATTTTAACTTTTTATTTAAATATGCAAGTTACGTAATTTATCGATACAATTTGTGTATACCAAAAAACGTGTGGTATACTTAAAGATAATTAGGTTCTTTAAACACAGTAACTAGATGATACATTTAATTTAATAATTTAGTTTTTTTTAATTAATCTATAATAATTTATTAGAAAAAAATTAGTACGTATAAACGCACCAAAATATGTTAGGGTTTAATAATTTTTAGCTCCTCTCTTACTTAATAATAATGTTTGAACGACACAAAATTAAGTGTACAAAACAACAAACATTTGGTCATTCTATTTCACGTCGAATGTTACATACAACACTTTTCTGGGTAACATTTCAAGCCTGTCTCAGCCAATTATATATTATTTTTTAATTCAGACTTATTTTAATCATGCTTTAGTTGATGATTGAATTATATAAGTTTCAACACTAAACATATTTAAATTATAAATTTTGGTAAGTGAAAGATAAAAAATTGAAAGAACATTTATAATATGTTCCCAAAAATTTATATCTGTTGTGCAAAAGAAAGCATGTTATTTATGATGAATTGTTAGAAATGGTAAATTATGAGTGAGCAGAAGGAGAAATTAATGGCATTTCATTGATATCATTAATCAAACAGAATCTAGCAAATGTATGTTTGAAAATGACGATGATTGGATACAAAATTTAGTAAAAGAAAAGCGAAATGGAAGAATGAGGAGAATGTTAATTGTGTATGGCACTTGCAGAGGCTTTGTCAGAGGTAGAAATGAAACCCTCTCTCCTCATCTTATCTTCCTTGGATTTCCTGCAGAAGAGAACCCAAGAATTGACCTCCAAGGCAATGCAAAGGCCAATGAGAGTGGAGAGCCCTAAGCAGTATGTCAACTTGGCGTAGGACCTGCTCGCACCCATCACCTCAAAACCTTCGAAGACATTCACAAAGCCAAGCACCACACACGAGTACCCAACAAAGTGGTGGTAAGACTTCCAATACTTTCTGAACTTGTTCCTTGTCTTTGGCCTAAACAACAGTGCCAGAGTCTGCAAAGCTCCCAAACAAAACACTGCAATTCCAAGCTTCCGGTGAAGCCTGTACTCCACTCCCGGCGACAGTTGCCCCAACCGGATTCCTATGCCAAACCCCACACTTCCCAGAACGAAACCAAACAGTTGTATTCCTGCATCATGCAAACTTTTCTTTATTTCTGCATTTTTTATTTATTTATAACTACAATATAGGTGGCTATATATAAGAATCTTTGTACTTCAGTAGAAATGGTTATTTAAAAAAAAATGGTCAAATTAAAAGTATTGATAGTTGAATTGAAATTATGTAACATGAGGAGTAGTTTTGATGCTCACCTGCATGAGCATAGAACCATGCAGGTCCTAGTGTTTGAAAGTGGCGAAGGTAGCGTGCGGTGATGGCTCCGATGGGTAGTAGAATGCCCCAGGAGATGGCGTTAACGGTGCCATGGATCACTCTCAACATAGTCAGATCCGTGTGCTGAGGTGCGGAGGATCCTGACAGCACGTCAAAGGTGGCAATGGAAGAGAGGTCGGTGGAAGTGGTTGGATGAATGGTGGGGGAGTAGCCCTGCACGTAAAGCCCCCTGTTCCAAACAAGGTGAATCTTCGTTTTGTTCGTTTGCAGCTTCATGGTGCCGTAGATTTGGATGGCGGCGCCGTTGTGCACGGTGGCCATTTTTCCGCCGTACATGGCGGCGGTGGAGGAGAGGAGGTGGATGTCAAGAGGGCGAGAGAGTAGTGGAGATTTTTGAAGTTTGACTGTGGGGTCTAAGATGTAAGGAAGAAGCACTATTTGGCCTGAGTTTGGGTCTGGGAAGGCTATTAATGCACGTGTTCCTGTCATTTCAGGCGAGGTGGGATTTATACCCCATCCAACCCACCCAGAAGGTGATATGAAGCTTCCAAAGAAGACAAGTTCCAAGGTTGAGTTGTGAGGGTGGAATGTCCAGGCTATGGAGGCTTGTTGGGTTGGGAGGTTCATGCATTTTTGGAACGTTTTGGTGGTTGTTTCAACCGTGCAATGGGATGAGAATGCAATGTGGGGAATGGAACACAGAAGGAAAAGGTAAAGAAAAAGCATGGTGGCGTGGATGGATGGCTGGAGAAATGGAGTGAATCAGTGATGGAAAGGGAGAGAGTTAATGGTTGAATGCTTTTGTTGTGTTTTGCAATGATGTGTTAAGGGTGCCATTATGGATTTTGAGCATGCAAAAGTGAGAAACATTGGTGCTTGACTTTGAAGGGAAGACAATGGTGTATATGTGCGTTTGGTAGAAATGGGGCATTGTGATTGGCTTTAAAATTCGTAATATGTAGTATCAAACCAGATATTATGATGTCGATCCAGTGCGGCTACACCTTTTGATTGTAGTTTTCATCTTCACGAGATAGGGTAGATTGATTTTTGCATATTGTGCTTGGCTTTGAAGCTATGCCATAATCATTCCACTTCAGAAAATTTAGTTTACCATTAAGTTTGTTTTTACGCAAATGAAACGAGTGTTTTTATTTTTTATTTATTTATTTAATTTAAAAAAAATTAGAGATAATTTTGAAAAACTAGTTTTAAGAATTAAGTTGAAAAACTGGTTTTAGAAATAATTTTAAAAATTATTTTAGATGAAGAAAATAACATCATAGATAATGAAAAATCATGGTAAAATTTGTATAATTTCACAGTAAAAATTATCCGTGAAAACGAAGATACCATTTATTAAAATAGAAAATTAAAAACAAAAAATCTTTTATCGTATTTGATTTTTTTAATTATTAAAATTTAAAAATAAAAGAATAAATTTCGAAAATTATTTTCACAACATAAGTATCAAATAAATTTGTAGTTTTTAAAAACTAAAAATTTTAAAATTATTTCTAAAACCAGTAAATAAACGCAGTATCAAGTATTTATAATATAGATTTTATTCTTAAACAATTGCTATTAGTAATTCTCTTTGAAATGCTTGCAACATCATAATCTCTCTTGTCAAAATATATCAATTAAAAAAATAAAGTAGTTTGTTGGTATATATTGGGGGCTATTTAAAACATGTTTCGTTATTGAGATCTCATTAGTAAATTTGGTTCCAGCCGAAAATGTAACCCAACTAAAGCATTTTGGCAAGTAAAAAGTAAAAAGGACGTAAACACATGGACCAAAAGAGAAACGCTGAATATAAATATTAACAGAAAATAAAAATTAAAGAAACAAATAATTTAAATAATAGGTTAGTCAAAATCCAATCTTCTATTTACGTTGAAGTTATATTTACATAATTGTCAACAGATGTGCATGGACGATCCTTGTGTTGAAGACTGATTATCTCGCTAATAACTTGTTGTTTATCTGCTTGAAAATGCTCGTCCGCTGAAACATTAGGGACAGAGTTAACTCACGCCACCAATTCAAAATACAAATACTGTACATTACAAGTGATGCAAGATCTTTATTTATACCTTTGTCGCTGTTGAAGTTTTCTAGAAATTGCAAAAGCTTGTGTTTGTTTGTGACAAGGACGCTCACAATTTCAGGAGGCTTATTTTGATTTGCAACGAACAACTGTCAGTAAGACAAATTACAGTAATTAAACTCAGATCTCAATTTAGAATCAAGAATGTGTAAGAAATAAATATTCTCTCCATTCCACCACCTTGAATACGTGGAAGGCGTCCAATTGAATTGTCTTATTTGAATCCTGTAAATTCAGACAAAAAGAGTGAACGAAAATCGTAAGTACTTTTATTTTACGTTTTGCAGGTCTGAAAAATTAATGTGAGCATGGGAGAAAGCATACTCTTAAGAGATTCATGAGGATCCTCATATTTTCCAACGAGCTCACATACTGAACCATTACAGCAGCATTCGAGCGATCCAATAACATATCCCCCAATAACTGTAACATATTTGATATACTATTAGGACAGTGTTGAAATTATAACATTAAGTATAAGCTACGTATTTAAAAATATATACTGTTACCATTTTATAATCAACGTAAATCAATCAAACTTTATTATAGAATAATACAACCTTCAATCTGTCTGATTCCACGTCATTAAAGACATGAAGTGGAGAAAGTGAAAAATGAACTTGGGACTTAAGGAATCAACTACAGAAGAAATATTTACCTTGATAGCGTACCGTCTGGTGAAATAACTGGTGGATTCAAGCAACTGAGAGTTGTACTCTTTGAAGAACTGACAGGCAGAGAGTAAAACGTTTTAACTGATACATCTTACAATATTCATAAAACATAAAACGTAAAAAGCTACTGAAATTTTGGATTAAACCAACCAAATTACTTGTGGTGCCGAATAAATTTGTAGAAAGTAAAGAAATAAAGACTTCATTTATTCATATAGACTTACATTTACGCATGCTGACATCAACTATAAGGTGCAGAACCTTAGCATTCCACGGAATATATATTGTAGCCAAATGGAAGTTATTAACTAAACTTTTACTCTATGCATGGTGGATGATAATACATTGATAAGGGATAATTCTATCCCTCTTTACATTGTCTAATATTTAGAGACGATAAAAACATGTACCTTTTGCATGACATAAATTCTAATGAATTTGTAAACTTTGTATGGCGGACTTACCCAGTCATAACTATTTAGAAGAAATTCGGCAACAGTTGATTTATGCCTTGTCAATAACTCCTGTGTTATCAGTTGGGAAATGAATCAGCTTAATTTCATTTTGAAGAATTCGTAATAAGAGCAAAATAGTGGTACTAAAAACTATGTTAGCAGCATAAAATATAACATTTTAATTAAAATCAAACTTTCTAGTTGTGATACGATTTTAGCTGCCCAAACCCATCCATATAAAACAATGATTATAAAACAAAGTCCTAAATACAAAGATATATAATATCATAAACATACTTTAAAAGTTGCAACAGCATCCGATGCTATCTCAAAATTTGGTAGTTGAATATAGTCAAAATACTTCTTCATGTTCTCTGATTCCAACACATGTCTGAAACATAAATGAATCTTGTTAATTTGAATTTAGAAGAGGAACAAGAAAGTAATTAAAATTTCAAGGTCATCTATGAAGATCCTTTGCTATATATTTTTAATCTCCGGAATGTAGAACAACTAATTAACATAATTATGATCTGCACGCATGTTGGAAACCTCTATACGAAATTAAAATGTGATAGGAATTCGTACCTTGCTACACACTGGTGGCGTATGCACTCCCTTGCAACCGCACCATACGTCAAAGCAATGTCACCCTCTTGCTCATAGCTAATCAAATCAACTTTGTTAACCATTTATGCAACGCAAAATATTATGAACTAAAAAAAAAAAAGAAAAAACTCGATCTGCGTTGAAGATTTTGATACCCGCAAACGAGCATGTCTACAAGATCCAAGTTTTTTTCTAGGTACTGAGAAGCGATTATTTGCGAATTAACTCGTTGCCTTTGCAAGTTTGAAATTACATGGGCTGCATCTTGGCGAGCCTACGCCAACGTATAAATTAATTCTAACAAGTTTGAGAAAAAAGATGAAAAAAAAAATGTATAAGCTGATAAAAGGGTTACCCCGAGTTTGAGTTTTGACAGATAGAGGATGAAAATGCGAAACGTGTCATCTCTGAAAAACTCGCGAGTGACCTGAGAACACGCGTCGGGACTTGGCTCTGATTCACCGTTTCCATACAGAATCGTCCTTAATCCCTGTATCGTTTTGCTTAGCTCGGATAGCTGCAACATATTTTAAAATATGTATATCATTTAATCACAACATCAAAACTTTCGTAGCGTAATAACAGCATTTGTCGCCACAGGAATCATATCTGTCTTCAGTTTTTGGCAATAATGAGAAACACAATAAAATTAAGACAGTGGAAATATGCAGGTAACGTAAACCACGTAATATGGAAGAAAACCGTTGCTTATATAAATAAATAGTAATTACCTTCTCTTCGCGTTTACTTTCACGAGTGCATGTTTTGGAATCAACGAAGATGATGAGTTCTCGCGCATGGCGAACGAGCTCCACCGGTGTTTTGGGCTTTTGCTTGAAGAGGGCTTTCTTCATGTCTGTGAATTGATTGATTGATCGATCAATTGATTTGAATTTGTTAATGTTAACGTTGATTAGGGTTTTGCATATGTGAAATGAGAGAAGGTGTGTTGGATCTAATTATTATGCATGAACGTTTGTGCGTAGAAAGGTGTGAAATGGTTATTTTGGGATGAGAAAACGAAGGTGGGTTGTTGACAGAAAGAGATAAATAATAATAATAATTATAATAATAAAATAGAAAATAGAAAGTAATAGAAATGGTAATTAATTAGGAAACTCAAGCTAAGATTTTCTGTTTCCCCAAATCTCACGCACATTTTCTCTCAATTGACTAATTTCTTCTTCTTGTTACACCTTTCTTCTTCTTCATTATCTTCCATTTTTTATTCACATTATTTTTTATTATCCATTTAAATAATAAAAATTAATTTTAAACATTTCCAAAACTAAGTGATTTTAAAGTTTCCGTTAACTTGGTGTAATTTTCTGGGTTTTAATGAGATCCCAATATTTTAATTAGCATTAATACATGTTTTAAATTAATGATAATATTTAATTTAACATTATTAATTATTTAAATTATATACATTCCCAAACACAACTACATGACAAATTAACTGGATTAAGAATATGTGATTAAAAAAATAAACTTATTTATAAAATTTAATGGGTGATAAGTAACTTGTAACTTTGTTCTTTTATTTTTTAACGTACACCAAAGTCAAATATATTATATAGTTTAAAATTTTAAATAAACTTAAAATTTCTCTCAATATGATAGTTTTAATTAAGTTTAATCCTAGTAGTTATTTTTATTATTTTAAAATCGTTGATGTTTTCTTAATACTTTTTTATTAACTCCTTTATCATGATCCAAAATTAGTTTACGGTTAAAAAGTATTTTATAAATAAGATTATTACTCATAAATTATTTTTATTTTTTAATATCTCTAAAACCATTATAAAAGTAAAACAAAAATGAAATAAAATTATTCAATTAAAATTAAACTTATCAGATATATAATAGTTTCAGTTTAATAAATTTGAATTAGATTTGTCCATGTCCTAATTGCATCAAATCATGATTTCCAAATTGGCATTTCTACTCAGAAAAACTCCTAATCAAGCATTAATTTCTTTCATTCCAATTCAAATGAATGGATAAAAAAACTTTATTCGAATAAGTAAAGATACTTTGTAACACTATTTAGTGAATAAATAATATTAACAACGAATACTTAATTTTTAACAATTAATTATAAAGTATTAAATAATTTAGAAACACATGTAAATTAACTTAAAATTGAAAAAATATGTTCACAAAACATACAATTTGTGTTATAAATGTTGTTTCAGATTAGACAATATTACTTAATAATATCTAAACACTTGTTTAAAATTTTGTCTCTTATAAAGGATAGATATTAATGAAAAAAACATTTCAATTATTAGTTTGTAGATAAATTATAAGTCTCATAAAATTAAATTAGACACTCATGTTAATTTGTAATGTTAGGATATTAGAATAAATTTGGTGTTGAATGTCTAAGTAACATACCTGTAAATTTAAAATAAAGATAAACAGCTGATTTAAATAATAATATGTGATTATAGTTAAACTTTAAAAATTAAATCCTTTATCCTATAAATTAAATATCTAAATTCAGTTCCAATGAATAAAAATATTTAATTAAAAAAAATTACATGATAAGAAGTACAATTATTTTTGTTGTTAAATATGTTATTATGTAATTTCACAAAATTTAGTTTTGATTTATAGTTTTAAAAGTTGATTAATTATTTTTCATATTTTAAAAATTAAAAAAATGTGAATTTAATTATGTTATTATTTATACAAATAAAATTTATTATTAAATATTAAATTTAAGTATAAAGGTGATTAAAATTATAGATTTAAATTTAATTAAAATAAATCATTATTATTAGTAAAATTAAGTATAAAAGAATGATTAAATTGTATATTTGTAGAAATTCGAGTACTGGATTGGTAAATTTTAAAAATAGAAAGACCAAAAACCTAATTTAAGAAATACGAAGATTATTTTGAAGAAAGAGAATCTTGCAATTTGAATATAAAACAAATAATTAGAAGAACAGAGCGAGAGAGAGGATAGTTGACTGTGGGGCTTGTGTTGTGTTTTGTTAAAGTCCCTTACTTGATCTGATTTATCGCAGACCTCAGGTATCTCTCTATGTTTCCTCTTTCAATTCAAATTTTGTGTTATTGTGCTTCCTTCCATTTCTTGTAATCGTTCTTTAACCTATTAAGCAATGCGCACTACTTTGCCTTTCAAGTGTTTGATCAAAGTACCCACTGCAATCTTTTCACAGAAATGGCTTCTTTTTATTTTTAACGCTTAAATGTTTTTGGCTTTGCTTGTTTGATGCTCATGTTTAGCACACTGCCCCAACCTCGTCTCCTACCTTTACCTCGTCAATCTTGCTCTTCCTTTTTTTTTTTTCTGTTTCTCTTTGAAATACTTGCTCTTTTATTTCGCAATTTCTGACTCTCACAAAACGTTCTTAACTAATCTCAGTTTTTGGGTAGTTCCAGCGGTTTTTGAATTTTGGGTTGCTTATATTAGCAACGGAGGGATGTTGAAACGGGAAAAAGTTTATATCTAGTTGATATTTTGAATTCTGCATTTACCAGATAGTCAAAACATGAAATAAATATGCTTGGTTTCTTGTTTGACATGCAGCTTTCCAATGTGGCTGAGAGTTATGATTTTTTTGAGATGGGTGTAGTTTTCTTGAGTTATATTTATTATGCCAAAAAATATGACACAAAAAAGTGGGAAACTTTTTTTAATTATATACTTATATAATTTTTTTTTGAAACAGATATGGTTATCCCACCCCCAGTGAGGCCTCCCAGGATTACAAATTTTCTCAAACCTTATGTTCTGAAGATGCATTTTACCAACAAGTATGTGAGTGCCCAGGTGATTCACACCCCAACTGCTACTGTAGCCTCTTCTGCAAGTTCACAGGAGAAAGTCTTGAGATCAAGTTTGGAAACCAGTCGCGATGTGGCTGCAGCTGCAAAGATCGGAAAGATATTAGCCGAACGACTTTTGCTCAAGGACATTCCTGCTATTTCTGTTCACTTGAAGAGAGAACAGAAGTATCATGGCAAAGTTAAAGCGGTTATTGATTCTCTCAGGGAAGCTGGTGTTAAGTTGCTTTGAGATGCTTGTGTGTTCAATTATTATTCTTGATCGATCTTATCTTCTTCCGTTTTTTTTTTTTTGAAGTTGTCATTGTTGAACATATTTCAGTAAGACCTTAGTTAATTACCATATGAGAAATAAAAATGTTGATATGCAGGTGTGTTTTGTTTTATTGTTTGCATACATTCTAAGTCAGTCGAGCAGAAAAGCATGTGAGTGAAAGAGTGAAAGGACGTACGACCATTTGAGCATTTCTAGTTGTAATATTGACACATTGGAGTATGTTTGTTTTATTCATTTCCCAGTTTCCAATGTCAATCCATGTCTTCGTCGTCACTGGTAGCTGAAATACAAACACATTGGAGTGTGAATGTTTTATTCATTTTCCAGTTTTCAATGCCAATCCATATCTATTATCAATTGTCATAGATGTTTTACTGAACTAACGGTATTCAAACGCACACTTATTTTGCTTAAGACCATAAAATTATCCTAAGGGATATCAACTGAGATCCACTAACCAAAATAGCAGATAGACATAGACTAACAGGGCAGTGCTCTCTTGTTTGGATCTTACACCAAGATGTTCCGCAGCAAGATGTTGCAGTGCTCTTCTGCTACTTAAACTACTTAAACCCAAAGGTAAGTTTCATTTGGAATGTAAAATGAAAAAACAAAAACTGATATCACAGCCAACTTCTGCCCCTGCATCCTTTTTATATTTGTCAATAGACAATTCGTTGGAAATGCCCAATGCACTTACACCAGCACACAGGATGCTATGCAATCAAACAGTACACAAATATCAATGGTAAATTAGGCACACACTTAAAGCTAATTGCACTTAGGAACCCTGAAACATAACTGGTTAATTAGTAACATAATTATAAATATATTTATAAGTATATCTGTATATGTATTAAAGATTTGTTATTTCCAAATAAAGGGATGCACTTCGAAAATAAAAGCATATTCGCATCTTTTATTAAAAAAGAAATCATGTTTAGAATTATTGTGATAAAATTAAATTCATATATAAAAGTTATAAAATTAATGACTAACATAACGGTTCCTTTTTTATTAATGGTTATAATTGTACCTTTACAAAAAAAAATTATTTACTGTTTTTAAAAAAATTAAAAACTTGTTTAATAAAAATATTGTTAAAAAAGTTTGTTATTTAAATTTTTTCGCTAAAACTCGTTTATGTTATTCTTCAATTTCTTTTGCGTCACTCTTTTTTTATCTAAAACAATTTTTAAATTATTCTTAAAAATGATTCTTTAAATTTAAAAAATATATCTATATCAAATAACGGATTAGTATTTCAAGTATCTAGTTATAAATTGATTACGCTATTGTAAATAAAATAAAATAAAATAAAAATCCAAAAATCAATGTTTCATAGTTGTTTTTTACGGTAACGAAATTTAAAGGTAAAAGACTTTACGCCAACAATATTTAACCCTTTTTATAAGAAATATTTTATTAATATAAGGAATTATAAATTAAATTCTTAATTTAATCTTTGTTTCTTACTTTAACTCGAGAAGAAATATGAAATTGTCTTAATACCTTAATTAGAAGATACAAGTGATGCTCCTTTTCTTTCTTTCTCAAAAAAACGGACAATATGTATTGGCTTCCAAAAACAAAGATGGTATAAAGAAAAAAAAATCTGAATGTTTCCCATGAATTTATTTTAGTTAAGGAAATGCAGAGAATAAAATTCTTCAAATTATAATTAATTGCCATTTATATTTATATTCACGATACAAGAGCAAGATTCTTGATACATATACAGGTATAAATAGTGTTCCACAAATTATGTTAATATCATTCATCAATAAAAAGTAGAGGACAAGGAAACAAAGTTCACCAATAACAACATGGTTACGAAGCTGAATAACATTTCAGTTAATGTTTTATTCTTACTGTTGTTCACTATTTCTTGTACAGCTCAATCAAAAGTCATTGATATAAAAAAATTTAGCAGAAATGCAGATATAACAGAGGTAAAATTCCATTGATGAATTATTGTTGTTGTTATTGTTATTATGATTATTTGTGTTTGATTCATGAGTTGTGTTGTATGAAGGCTTTCACAAGAGCTTGGAAAGAAGCATGTGCATCAACAGGTGCAAGCAAAATTATTATACCAAGTGGAATACACAAGATGAAAGCAGTAAATGTGCAAGGTCCCTGTAAAGCTTCAGTAGAAATTCAGGTTGATGGCACAATTCAAGCACCAGCTGACCCCAATGCACTCAAGGATGCTTATGAATGGATCAAAATTCAATATGTTAACTCTTTCACCTTATCAGGTAAAGGTACTTTTGATGGTCAAGGTGCATTTGCTTGGAAGCAAAACAACTGTGGAACATACCAGAATTGCAAGAGGCATTCCATGGTAAGTAAATTGTGTATGCACATAATATTAATTTATCTTAAATTGTTAGCACTAGCTCTTCTGCCAAAAAAATTGCTAATGAGTTTAGTCTCTTGTAAATAAAATGTGAACAGAATTTTGGCTTCAATTTTCTGAACAATTCGATAGTTCGAGATATAACTTCTAAGGACAGCAAAAACTTTCATGTGAATGTTTTGGGATGCAACAATTTCACATTTGATAACTTCCACGTTATAGCTCCAAAAACCAGCATTAACACTGATGGGATTCACATTGGAAGATCAACTGAAGTGAAAATTCTTAACTCCAACATTGCTACTGGAGATGACTGTGTTTCATTGGGAGATGGCAGTAGAAAAGTAATTATCCAAAATGTAACTTGTGGACCTGGTCATGGCATTAGTGTTGGAAGCCTTGGCAAGTATACAAAAGAAGAGCCTGTAGAACATCTTGTGGTCAAGAATTGCACTATAACAGGTACAGACAATGGTGTAAGGATCAAGACTTGGCCTAGTACTCCAGGAACTACTACTGTTTCTGATATGCATTTTGAAGATATTATCATGAATGATGTCCGACAACCAGTGATAATAGACCAAGAGTATTGTCCTTGGAATCAGTGTTCAAAGAAGGTACATATATTTTCAATCAAAAGTTATTCTTATTTGTGTTTGATCATTACTTTCTTTATACTCATACTACAGTAGCTATAACTTCAACTACTGATCTTCTGTTTGGTTTTACTGAATAAACATGTATGCTGTACAATGTGGTTTCTTATACATTTTTTGTCCATTTTGTGTTTGCTTACAATGATTTAGGATCCATCGAAAGTAAAGATAAGCAAGGTTACCTTCAAGAACATTAAGGGCACTTCAAAGAGCAAAGAAGGGGTGATTCTTGTATGTAGCAGAAGTGTACCATGTAAGGGTGTGGAATTAAGTGATGTGTCACTTACATACAATGGAGCTCCAATAGTTGCTAAATGTGTTAATGTCAAACCCAAAGTTACAGGAAAAGCTCCCATTTGCTCAGCTTAAAGTGGGTTGAGACAACATTCTTTTTGATTAGATCTCTCATCCCTTCTATCAGAATATTATTTTGAGTTCATCACAATGTTCTGATACAATTGTATATTTAAGATAAGTTGGTTATAAGTATAGGATGCTTAAGTGCATTTGCAAGTTTTATTCTTATTTTATGTATTTAAGAGTCATTCATTTATCGTTTATTGGGGTGGGGAAAAGACAATGAACATCAAATAATTTGTTCAACAATAACATACATGCAAGAAATGACCATAAACTTTTGGTTTCTACCTTTTTTGTATCTCATCGGTTGTGGCATTGTTGAAGCCAAACCATGATTAGAGGAATGTAAGAATATGAAATTATGGTGATACTAATATACATGCTCATTTTGCTAGAACTAGTACCTATTAGGTTATCTCCCATATAGTTGGGGCTTTTAAAGATTGTTTACAATTAACGTGAAATTACTTAAATAAGTATTGTTTGTGTTGCTTAAGAAAAAAATATATTCTATATGAAAAAAAAACAATGATTTTTTTTAAGTATTGATATGGATTCAATTATAAGATTTACAAAACTAAATTATTTTTATTTTAACAACCGTACTATTGGAATGATTTTCTTTTTGTAAAAAGGGAAATTTAAATGTGTGATATTGTAAAACTAAAACAAATAAGTTTCATTGTGATGTAATTAAGACTTGAGAGAGAAAAATTATATACAAGATTATACGTTATTACCATATATTTATTACGTATTTAACTAAAATTAATATTGATCAAAATATTTAATAGTGTAATTACATTGCGCAACACAAAATATAATATTGAATTAGTGTAATTATATGATACAATACAAATATTTTCGTTATAAATTAATATCAAATTTAAGTACTTGTTAATCTAACTTTAAATTATATCTTGTGATATATTTAAAAAAAAAAAATATATATATATATATATATATATATATATATATATATTCACGTTAATTATGCCTATAACAATAACTGAATGATAATGAAATATAAGTGTTGTGAAGAAATGAACAAAACTAGATAAAAATAGATAAACTTCGTACCGATTAAAAATACCAAATCATAAGAAAACATAAACAATTGTTTGGTTTCATCGATGTCACAATCAATGAGATAAATAATACCCAAAATTATTTAAGAACACAAAAATCATATTGATTAAATATAAATATACAAGTTTACTTTGACTAGTATCGCTATCTAATAGAAAACACTTCACCCGGTGCATTGTACAATATGATAAAACAGAGGATGCTTTGTAATTTTTCTTTTAGGATTTTCACCAAAGAAAAAGATCTCCAAACTAAACTAAAATCTATGAAGTGTTTGAAGGTAATAAAATATGTCGAACCATTCATACATATTACTTCAAATCATGTTATTTTGCAGTGAATCCCAAAATTGATCTGTGCAACACAACAGCTTGAGCAGTACAGGAGGGAAGACTAAAACTCAAAATTATATCAAGACCCAGATTGCGATCTATTCTTGTTGTAGTTGCCATATCTTCGAGAGACGCCAGAATCAGACAAGGTGTCCCATACCTACAAACCACAAATTAAAAAGTTATTTCACACAGAATCAAAGAACAATCAACAGCAAGAAAGTATTGTTCATCCCCCTTTTCACTTACTTGCAATTTTCCCTTTGAGCCTCCTATAGCCAACAAGAAGGGGTTGTCCTCTGAAAAAGAAATTTTAAAGATAGCTCCCTAATAAACACCATAAAAAGGAGAAATCATCAGTTCCAAATAGAAACTTTCCCATTAGAATATGAGTGAAAAAAAAAAAAAAAAAAAAGAATCGTACTGCTCTCGGAGATTTAGATGCTACGCAAGAGGGTTGGTTGTTCGTCAAATCCCAAAGTTTTACCTATGACAAATAAGGTGCCAAATCAGATGAATTCCAATCAGCAAAGTATACAGGAAAAAAAAGACTTCACTATTACCGATTTGTCCATGGATCCAGTGGCAAGAAGCTGCATGAAAAAGTTATGTCAGTTAAACTAAAATACATAATGATTGGTATTCTCGTCCAAATCAAATCTTAAACATACATACATTAGATGCTGATGGATTATAGGATACTGAGGTAACAGGTTTGTCATGTGCATGAAGTGTAAAAGTAGAACTTAGATCAGATGAAGAATCAGAGTTGGCTGTCCGAATATCAAAACCCTTGACAATACCATCTTCAAGACTCACCTAACAAAACAATTAAATCACTCTTACTGAAATAATACTTGTTCAACCACAACATCAAAAACTAAAATTTGATCCAACAGAATAAGAATTGATCCCTCTCCACCCCAAAACCTTTTTGGTTTATGTAATATATATATATATATATATATATATATATATATATAGGGGAGGGGTAGATAAAGAATATTGGTAATTATATCATCAAACTGCAAAAAAAGAGCTAGTATGTTTAATGAAAAAACATAATTATAAAAAAGATGTAATGTTAGAACTCGGGTCTCAGAAATAACTATAACCCACCACAAAAGAGTGCTCAGTGTGCGGATCCCACGCCAAGCTCTCTACATCAGCTGTGACTGACCACTTGTAGCCAGAATGTGTTGGCATCCTTCCATCCCTCTGAAAAGGGTAATAGATATAAACGTTAGATAGTTATATGAAATTTTAAACAAGAACCAAGATTTTCAGAGTTCAAATACAATGATCTTTAAATGGATTGCCTCTTTCACTACATTACTATAGAATCAAAGTGCACAGTATAACTAGTAACCAATGGCAGAGTAAAATCGAGAACTGCTGAGTAACCAAGGAACAGCGAATCATTACCAAGACGACAGTATGATCAAATGAACCACTAAGAAGAACCTGTGGTGCATGATGATTCCAAGCAACTGCTTGAACCTGTAATGAAAAATGGACAAGAGATAAATCTGAGACGTCAGGACATGTATTGACTCAAATATTCTAAAGAGGTAACTGATGATTTAAAAATGCATTCAATGATTCAACTGGGCAAGAGACAAATATCTTCCATTATCAACAATATGGAGCATTGTTCTCACATACACATATCTGCATTGTTCCATCTTGGTTCATGATTCATAATGGTACAGTAAAAATCACCTCAACCTAATGATGCTTTAAAACATGAAGAGGAAAAAGTCTGATTCGTCAATAGAATGAATTGACCTTATGATAAAAAAATAAATTATACTCTAGATAATTTCTTGCCTTGTCTGAGTGATGCTCCATTGTAATATCACACTTCCCAGTTACCACATCCCAAATCTTTACTTGCTTGTCAGCACTGGCACTTGCTAGTATATTCCTTTTTCAAATGTCAAGAGATCTATAAGGATGACAATAAAAAAAGAAAAAAAAAAAAAAAATATATATATATATATATATATATATATATATATAAATAAAAGAAGGGATCAAGTTATTCCAAATGTAGATCTAAATGAGTTATCCCTCATCCTCACCCTTTATTAGTTCAAATCTAATGGTTTTAACAAGTAATTCATCTTTAACCATTAGATTCAAAGAAAATTAAAAGTGAGTATGAAGAGTTACTCTTTAAGTCATTCTTGGACAACATAATCTCTCTGTGTGTATATATACACACACAAAAATTAGGTTCAGGAAAGCACCCAGCAGAGGAAACAAAAGCAGTTTTAATTCTACAAACCTGTACTCCTTGTTCCAAGCAAGACCAAGTACCGAGTCAGTGTGACTGTCATCTTTGTATTTGATTGATTTCTGCTACAAAACAGTTTAAAGAATAAGAAAAGGAGATGCTATAAAAGCTGGAAATCGGTTTTCAATAAGAAATGGCCAGACATATTCACTTCAAAAATCTGAAGCTTTTGAAGAAAATAATGATGAAAAAGGTTATTTAGTTCAAAAATCTTAACCTTTTTTCCCTTTTTCTTTTTCTCTTCAAATCCACCCAAAACAACACATGGCTGCACCTCATCAATCTGAGAATGAAGGAAAATACAATGTATTCAGCACAAAAGATCTCTCTTTCTATGTATGAAGTTTCATACAGCACAAGTTAGATTTCTGTACTCAATGTACTTACAACATCAAGGTCCCAAATTTCTATGGAAGGTTCCATTGAACCAACAGCTATGAAGTTCCCTGTAATCAAAATGAAATTATATTAAGAATAAGATAAAGAAAAGATATCAAGCAGGTATCTAGTAAAACTTTAAGCAGATATTGCAAAGGTGATGATTTCAGGTAATGCAAAACCTAGAAGAAGTTAACCAAAAGAAAATTTTTAATGGTCAACCCTACTAATCTCACCATTTTGTAATGAAATTTAACTTTTAACTACAATTTTTTCGCTTCAAATTTGGATGAAATGAATTGTTTATTATTCCAGCATGCTGAAATGGAGGTAAGATCATCAGTGCAAATAACTAAGATGGTCTACAAGAATTTGGTCAGACTTTTTATATTTTCACTTTTCTAGGAGTCCTTTCAATTCAACTAATTGTTGTAAGCTGGGGATGGAAAAAAGGTTGAATTGCGCAAAGCAAACAATCAACAACTTGATCCACACAAATGTACACATGACAGGTATCTTGCTAAGGATAGTTTTAACCTCTTTCTCCTCCCTTAAGAGGGCAATCAAGCCAAGCTGTGCAAAGTGGAAACGCTGGAATAATGATGTTATGGTGAGGATACATGTTCATTTCACTGGAATTTGCATCTTCGAGTACCCAAACCTGCAGTGCAGGAAGACACGCGAGGTAAGTATACTTTTTTAGATAGTAACCAAAGTAGAGGCCATGACTCAACTTCACAAGCCAAAAAACATTTAACTCACCTCAAGATGACTGACATCATCTTCAGTACATGCATAAACAATGACAGAATCAGTTGGATTAATAATCATATCCTCGAGATCTTCGGAATCCTCATCCTGAAGCATCAACATAACAACTTAAGATTATAAGAAGTGTCATGCTCATAAAGTGACCAAGTGTTGAAACTTACGTTTTTATCTTTAATATATGGATCCATGTCGTTCCTCGGATAATAAAGATCACCAATTCCGGAACTGAATAACTCAACTCCTAAGCAAATGACAATGATAGTAGGTAATACAATAAATGCAAAATTTATAAAAAATAATCAGAGAAAACATTCATGTTAATAAGAATAAAGATAGCAGAAAAAAAGAAAAAGAGAATTATAATTTACTTGTTCCTAAAAACATCATCAAAAGATAACAGAAACAAAGAAAAAGAGAATTATAATTTACTTGTAACAATGAGAATTATAATTTACTTGTAACATTGAGAATTTGAATTTACTTGTAACATTGAGAATGATAATTTACTTAATATTGAGAATTATAATTTTCTTAACATTGAGAATTATAATTTACTTGTTCCTGAAAACATCATCAAAAGATAACAGAAAAAAGAAGAGAATTATAATTTACATGTCCTGGAAACATTTTCCCAATTTGTTTCCGAAAATATCATCAAATGATAACAGAAAAAAAAAAAAGAATTTAGATCCAAAAAAATATAAATAGTATGCATAGAAACACAATCTAAAAAATTATTTTGACTAAAAGAATATATGAAAAAAAAAAACACTTACGAATTTCAAAATTAGAATTTTCACATAAATTAGGACTTCAGCAAAAATTAGGATCTTCACATAGATTAGAACTTCGGCAAAAATTAGGATCTTCACATAGATTAGGACTTCAGCAAAAATTAGGATCTTCACATAGATTAGAATTTCAGCAAAAATTAGGATCTTCACACAGATTAGGACTTCAGCAGTCGAGTACATCACAGTTACCTTCTTTGATAATTTGGCTCACATTCTCCCATTTGTGAGACTTCCAGCGGAAAAATTCCGTATGGCTCACAAGATATATGATGAGAGCACTTGACTTTAATTGAAGCACATCACACAAATTATATAGTCATAAATTTAATAGTTCCTCCATTTTGGAAAGGTATGCAGGAGCACAACATTGCCTTTTTGCTTTCTTGGTATGCATTCATATATTTTTTTACGAAGGATACAAATGTATCCGTGGGTGACTATCATATAAAAGAATATAAGTTTCAAAGAAAGATAGAGACACCTTCGTCTTCGTCATCGTAATGGTCCATGTCAAGGTCCTTTAAGGCAAGGGTTATATCGTCACAGTTTCCGGAGGATGCTTTGCCTGCTTTGCCAACTGCTTCTGCTACTGTTAATGCTTGCGCCACTACCTCATCGTTGGCGGCTTCATCATTACTGTCTTCACTATATATATAAAAAATTTAAAAAGTGAATGTTAGGGTTTAATAGTGAATGATATTCAATAGTTTTGTCGGAACCTAAAGTACCTTGCGGTTTTGTGGTTGGCAATGAGTTGTTGAATTTCCTCTTCGGGAGGAGGATCGGCGACAACAGGCTCCGACTTCGAAACCCCTTTCGGCACCCACGAAATCGCAGAAATCATTTTTGTGTGAGAGACGACGCAACTCAACGTAATGAATGCAGAGCCAGAAGTGGCAGCAGCAGCCCCGAGCGTTGGGAGCAGAGAGAAGAGGGTTTATTAGGAAAAGGAAAAAGAACAGGAAGGGGGGGAACAACCCTTTATTAGTAGTGGGAATTTCATGGACCCAGGCCCAATACAGCCCAAACCTCTTTTCTGGAGATGCAATTCGCATTTAAATTTTATACGATCTTCATTCATTTTTTTATCTTTAAAAATTGATTTAAGCTTTTTTATTAAAATAGGGATATAGAAGAATATTTATAATAATGAAATTATAAAAAAACAAGGAGAGTAAAATAAGAATTGGGAGAGACTGTAAAAACCCATTGGCCCAACTTTAATTTTCCTTTCCAATCCCGCTAAGCCACTCCTCTCCCTCCCCCTCCTCAAGCGTGGTTGCTGGCTACTGCTCCTTCGGCGATGTGAGTTCCTATCAACTTTACCCAACTTCACTCTACTTCATTTCTTTCTCTCTTCTTATTTACGTACTATGCTCACTGGGACGCGCTACCAAACTCTGTTAGGTTTTTTCTTTCGTTCTGTTTCTACGCTTCTACGTATGCTATACCGCACTTTCAGTAAGGTTGATCTGGATAGCTGCTGAATCAAGTAATCCATACATTTCATGTTCTTAAACTCGAATTTATTCATTAAATGTGAACCCCTCTGTTGTGTAGTGTAGCTATATTGCATATTTTGTTTTCTTTTATCTTCTGACTCTTTTTGGAAATTAACCTAAGAGGTAAATTGATACCTGTATGATTGATTATATTTTGCTTGCAGGCATATCAGCTTAATCTCTTATCTTTTTTTTTTTTTTTTCTTTTTTCTGTTTAGAGAATACATCAGGGAATTGCGTTCGAATTTCAATGTGTAGAATTTGCTTTCACCTAGCTTTGTGATGGAATGTGACGTTGGAGGTATCTCTGATTCATTCATTTGGCATACTTGTAAGAGAAGAAGGGTTTATAAAGGCTGCATTGCTCCATCCGTTGGTATCATGACAGAAACTGAAGCCTTTTTGCCTATCTTGAACTCAAGCGATTATTATACCAAACCATCTGTGAAGGAATTAGTGGCCAGGGAGCTTTTTGAACCTGGTTATTGCGGATGTGTTCCTGATTTCACTGTTGGAAGATTTGGTTATGGATATGTCAGGTATCTTAACGAAACTGATGTGAGGGGGTTACATATAAATGAAATTGTCAAGTTTAATAGGCATGAGATAGTTGTATATAGTGATGAGAATCATAAGCCTGTAGTTGGTCAGGGCCTTAACAAGGCAGCTGAAGTAGTTTTGGTATTAGACAGTGAAATATTGAAGTCTAGGGTGGGGAAGGAAGACGTTATAGTGAACAAATTAAAACAAATTACAGAGAGACAGGAAGCACAATTTATTTCCTTTGATCTAGTGACTGGTGAGTGGAAATTCTTAGTTGAACACTTCAGCAGATTTGGGTTTGGAGAAGATGATGAGGAAGACATCGTTATGGATGATGCCGAGGTATATGATGTTCAGAAAGAATCACCATCAAATACCGATGAAGTTGAGCTTTCTCATTCTCTTCCTTCGCATCTTAGGCTTGATCCTGTTAAAATGAGAGAAATGAGATTATTGATGTTTCCTGATGTTGAAGAGGTAGAAGATTTAAGTCGCAAATCGTCTTCTGACAAGCAGTATTTGCGGCCTTTACAAAGTTCTGCTCAGGCAATCAACCATCGGTCCACCCCACCAGTTGCAAGAAAAACTCCATTTCCATTACTTGAGTATAAACATGGGAGTTTTGATTCAAATTCTCCTGGAGGGATTTTGATGGTTCAACAGCATAAGGGAATGCCTCTTAGGACGATAAAATCACAAGGTTTTAATCTGGATCTCAAACATGAAACTCCAGTATCTGGAAACTATGCTCACAATATAGTTGATGCTGGTCTCTTTATGGGTAAGTCATTTCGAGTTGGGTGGGGACCAAACGGCATTCTTGTACACTCTGGTGCACCCGTAGGAACTAGTGGTAATCACAGGGTGTTGTCATCTGTTGTCAATTTGGAGAAAGTTGCTTTTGACAATGTGGTAAGGGATGAAAATAAAAAAGTGAGTGAGGAACTTATTGAACATGCTTTGGTATCTCCATTAAATTTTCATAAAGGAATAAACCATGTGATGAAAGAAGTTGAAATAGGTCCCTGCAAGTTGACACTTCAAAAGCTTGAAGCTAATCGCATGATCCTGTCTGAGATTTCACATCAGTACTGTGATCTTATTGAGAGGCAACTGAGTGTTCCTGGGTTATCTTCCTCTACACGTTTGGGTTTGACACACCAAGTAATGACCTGGGAATTAATTAGAGTTCTTTTTTCTGATAGAGAACAAAAAAGTCAAATAGAATCTTTGGGTGCTGACAATGAGGAGGATATGATGCAGGATATGAAGGAAATTTCTCAAGATGTCGACCAAGAAGCAAACCCTCTAGTAAGGAGGGCGGAGTTTAGTTATTGGTTGCGAGAGAGTGTTTCCTATCATGTTCAAAATCAAATAAGCTCCCTAAATGATTCTGATTATCTGCAACATATTTTTGTACTCCTGACTGGAAGGCAACTGGATGAGGCAGTTCAACTGGCTGTGTCCAAAGGAGATGTGAGATTGGCTTGTCTACTTAGTCAGGCTGGTGGTTCTACTGTGAATCGCTCTGATATTGGAAGACAACTTGATATTTGGAGAAATAAAGGGCTGGATTTCAGTTTCATTGAACATGACAGATTGAGACTCTATGAATTGCTTGCAGGAAATATTCATGATGCACTGCATGATGTCAAAATTGACTGGAGGAGGTTCTTAGGTTTATTAATGTGGTACAAATTACCACCAAACACTTCATTACCCATTGCTTTTCAGACTTACAAGCATTTCCTTGATGAGGGAACAGCTCCATATCCTGTTCCCCTTTTTATTGATGAAGGAACATCAGAAGAGGCTATCAGTTGGACCTCAGATAAGCACTTTGATATTTCATTTTATCTAATGCTTCTTCATGCTAGTGAAGAGAAGAAGTTCAGCTTTCTGAAGGCTATGTTTAGTGCATTCTCTTCCTCCCCTGATCCACTTAATTATCATATGATTTGGCATCAACGGGCAGTCTTGGAAGCTGTGGGTGTTATCAGTTCTAATGATCTTCACATTCTAGACATGGCATTTGTATCTCAGCTATTGTGCTTAGGGAAATGTCATTGGGCCATATATGTGGTCCTTCACTTGCCCCTTCGTGAAGATTATCCATATCTTCATGTAAATACGATTCGGGAAATATTGTTCCAATACTGTGAAACTTGGAGTTCAGATAAGTCTCAGCAACAGTTCATTGAGGATTTGGGCATTCCCGCAGATTGGGTGCATGAGGCTTTGGTATGTAGCATTTCTTACTGTTTCTTTATCATTTTACAAAAGAAGAATAGCAATGGCATGCATAATCTGTTGCAATACCTTTTAACTTCACTTGTCTCTCATACAATGGATGATAGATAATGATGAGAATGGAAAGGAATTAGGGGAAAGAGAATAATTTCCTGATTGTGGGAGTTTAAACACAGATTGGAGTGGAACAGAACATTAGGGTACCATTCCCATCAATTTGTGTTCCCCGTAAATTAAGTTGGAATGGGGGAAACTTGAGTTTCACTCTGTTCCTATATTTGTCTTCCTTCCCTGTTTGCTCCAATATGCAAACCCTACCGTACATTCTGATGATATTATTAATTCATTGTGTGTATATATGACATTTTCACTTGGCTAGAGTTTTAAAACCTATATAACATTTATATTTGTTAAAGGACAAAAACTGCTTATTTGATTCATACGGGCACTCATTATGATCAATATATGAATAAAACTGAATTAAATTCTTGTCCTGATATTCTTTACTGATTAATGGGTTGTGCTAATGCTTTAAATGTGAAAAAGTTTTGTATTTTTTTTTAGTCATTGTTGTTTGAATAATTTTGTTCTGGCGGTGCAGGCAATTTATTATAATTACAATGGGGATCACACAAAAGCCCTTGAGCAATTTCTTCAGTGTGCATATTGGCAGAAAGCTCATACTCTTTTTATAACTTCAGTTGCTCATAGATTATTCTTGCAATGTAAGTCGTGTGTGTATATTGCTTGGTAAAAAATACAAATAAATGCTTGTAAAAGACTTTTTTTTTTCTTCTGATTATTTCTGGGGTATTGTTTAGAGTTTTCACTAATACTTTTTTGCAATTTTTGTGAATCATAATCAGCTAGAATTACCAACTATATGAACTTCTCATAAATGCCCATTAAGTCATTGCTGCATTAAATTGAAACAGCCTTCCTGTCTGAACACTTTATGATGTAAAATTAGTTCTGCTTAAAGACAATTCCAGACTCTAGGCTACTTTCTGGAATGGCCACAAGATCACGTGGGTTGTCTCGATTCTCCAAGCATGCTGTCAAACAATGTTTTCACTTTGAAACATGTAATCCATACAACTGATCTTAAAGCATAAATAACACCTAATCTAATTCTGCTGTACTTCTTGGTGTGGTTGATATGAATTTGGTTTTGGTACCAATTGACAGGATAAAGCTCAAAAGCAGTAAGAGAGGGCCTAGATATCATCTGACTAGATCAGATGACCCTACAATTACAAAGTCGTAACTATGGAAACAAAACATAAGAAAACCTTGGACTACCAAATAATATTTGTCATCACTAAAAGAAAAACTCTGTAAAAACTACATGAAAATTCCCCTTCCTTTATCAGCACTACTTTAAATTGCAGGAAATCCTTTTATCACTGTACTTCTTTTCAATAGCAGAAATTACTGGATTTATTTCTCTTAATTAGATAAGTGTATCATAATTAACTTATTCAATAACTTGTGCAGCAAAGCATACTGAGATATGGAGGATAGCAACTTCGATGGAGAACCATAAATCAGAAATTGAAAACTGGGAGTTGGGAGCTGGAATTTACATTTCATTTTATTTGATGAGAAACTCACTTCAGGGTGATACCAGCAGTTCCATGACTGATTTGGTATGTCAATATCCGCCCTCCCATCATCATTTATGTGAACAATGGCTATTACTTGATCCTGTCCTAGTTTGATTATGAACTGTAACTAAAAGTTAATTTGTTTGATCCTTAGCTTGAACCGATGGTATGAATTTCTACTGTGGTGCAGAAGACAATAATGCCTTACCTTGTCGTTTGAAATGCTTGTAATTGTTCCAATGATTGCATGGGAAAATCTTTTAATAGACTTCAAAACATATGATTCATGAAGTTAGGTTACAGTTGTGATATTTTTTTGTCTGTGGTATGTATGATTCATGAAACAAAGTTGTTATAGAAAGAGGCTGACATCCATTTCATATTTTCTATTTATATTTGGTAATGTTGTTTGCTAGATCAGGAGAGTGAATATTCACATTGTGGTCCCAATTTCTAGAGATTGGACACTTTTTCTCATTTAATGTCCAGTTAAGATCATATAATTTCTTGTTTCAGGATTCACTTGAAAGTAAAAATGCTGCTTGTCAGGATTTTGTCAGTCAGCTAAATGAATCCCTGGCCGTTTGGGGTGGCAGACTACCTGTTGATGCAAGGTTTGTATGTTATCCTTTGCTGTGCATGAAAAAATGTTTGCAGTAACTGCTTGTTGACCTGTTATAGGTCGGCTAATATACTTATCCAAAACTCTTTTTTTTTTGTTGGCCACCATACTTGTAAAGAGAAAGAATCAAGATATGATAATACAGTAATATATTTGCAGTTTTACTTGCTAGTGTTATTGAAGCTGGTTTTACTGTTAGTTTACTTCATCCAAGCCACACATCCTTAACCCAATAAATTCAGCAACTGTAATGTTTTGACACATTATTTCATTAGTTGACCGTATTTATACCATGTGATTTTGTAGGGTGGTGTATTCAAGAATGGCAGGCGAGATATGTGATTTGCTGCTATCAGCTGTAGGTGAGGGTGCAACCCGTGATGAACAATTTAACTGCTTTGACACTGCTTTCAGTGCTCCCATTCCAGAAGATCAACGGTCTGGTCACTTGCAGGATGCAGTGTATCTTTTTACTAGCTACCTCTCAGAGATATCTACGTAATTCCACAATTTACCATTAATGTCAGTTATAAAGTCCAATAGAATAGAACTTAAATGTATTTGCGAGGCAGGTTTTTATCTTCATATTATTCATGAGATTTGTGCTCTTTTTTATCTTGCTCTTGTATGATAAGCATGAGATGCCGCGAAATAACATTCATTAATTTTGTCTGTATGCTAACTGATAAGTGATAAGTATGGATGGGATAAGCTTTTCTTGTGGTTGTTGTTATTGTTATATTGTCTATTGAATTTCTACATGATCTGATCACAGAGAGTTTTGAAATGGAATGAATTGGAAATTGTATATTCTAAGTTTCAACTTATGTAAAATCATTACACGAGCCAAACTTAACGATCGCTAGCATGAATTATATAAAACGATGCCATTATAAATTACATTAAATTTCGTTCGGGGTGTTTGGTATTAGCTTATATTCGTCTATATTTGGTTTGAAATTTTCAAATGATCGTTCGTTTGAATGTAAATTTAATTTAATGACTCAATAACGACAAGAATGAGTTTATTTTGATATTGCATATTAATTGTACATTTGATTAAAACTTAATATAAAATTATAACTATTTCAATCTAAGTATAGTTGTTAAAGTATATAAACAAATGAATTAAAAATAAGTTGAGGCTCAAACTTCTTTTTTTCTCATTTATTTTCAATGAAACATTTATCTTTTTATATTCTACATAATTCCTTTTCCGGCGTACTATTTCTTTTTAACCAATGAATAATAATTTCAGAGCTATTCCTTTTTCGGCGGATCAAGGTTCTTTTTGTTTTTCTTTCCTCTTTTTTTTTTTTTTCGTTTACCCCTCATAAATTTCTTTCTTTTTCCTATTCTGTCTCCTCACCATTTTTTCCTTTACAGATCTTGAAGTTCCCCGTAGGAACTAGCGAGTTGCCTTCAACCCCCGATGACAGAACCATATCTGCAACTGACGATCTGACAACCCCAATTTCTCCGGCAACTCCGCCCTCTTCATCTTCGACGGGTAATTCTCCATTAACCCTAAAACAAAAGAAATAAAAAATCAGTGAACAATAAACCTAAAAATTGAACAAAACGAAATAAAGGTTAACACGAGCTAGCATAAGCTCTCTCGAGCATTTCAAACTGAAAAAAAAAAAGACGTCTTCATCTTATGCTTGAGCTTGCTCTGACCCTCACTCGAATTCCCATGTATTTTGTTACTTTCATCGTTATTGTTGTTCTCTTCCGCCTCCACCTCCACCTCGTTTTCTCTTCTTGACCTTCATGGATTGATATCAAACTTTTCTCCTTCAAACCCTAAAGAGTCAAGAACGAAGTCACACAAATAACCTCCGTCTGTTCGTTTCACATAACAGTACAAGTGCGAAGGACGAGGACAAACAGGGAAAAAGACAATAAAAGCCAGAACAATAATCTTAGCCTTTAATTTTAAAATAGAGAAGTTGCACGTATGGTTCTAAAATAAAATTAAAATTCTTTTACAAAAAAATGGAATGATTAAAATACAATACATGTGATGGTCTAAGACGGTGGTGGTGAGGGATACAGTAGGAAACTCCTTCGTATCCTCCACCGTGGGAAGGTGCTTGAGCAGAACTAGAAAGTGGAGAGAAAAGAAGGGAAAAAAAAAAGAGAAAAACAAATTCAACCATTTATTTAAAAAATAATAAATCCAACTGCTACTAATTCCTTTTCCGGAGACTTGTGTATAACATCTGTACGTAATTAATTTATTTTTACTTATAAGAATAAATATAACCGAAAACGATAACGAAGTACATCATTTACCAACCAAACGATAAATAATTAATGATCTTATATTTTGTTATCATCTATAGAGAAAAGATTCAAAAATATAAAAATAAAGTTATATATTTTTCTCTTATCTCTTAAGATAAATATATAGATAACTTTATAATATTTAATTTATATTTATTTATTTTTAAATCCGTCTCACTTTCTCATCAAATTAATAAATATTTTTTTCTTCTATTTTATATCTTTTTCTTTATTGACACTTTTCTATCTTTTTACCAAACATAACCTTGAAATAAATGTATCCTTCTAAGAATATATAAGAGATCGGGAAAGGCCAAACAAGAACTGGAATCAATTATTTGAACCTCAACACAACATAAGGTATATATTTCAGGTCTAACAAACATAGATTAGAAGATGTATTGTGAGGAATGATATTGAAAATTTGAAGTACAACACAAGCAGTAGTTTATATTTCATCATCCCAGAGATCACTGAGTTGGGGCTTGGTTGGTCCACTGATCAAACGGCTCTGATTTATTTGACTTATTTTATTATGATCTTCTTCTGTTAATGCCCAGTCAAATATCTGCAGATTCTGGTTCATCCTCTCCTTATCGTAGCTCTTTGGCACAAAAGTGACTCCTTGTTCATACAACCATCTCAGACAAACCTGAGCAATAGACTTGCCATGAGCCTCTGCAATCTCCTTCAGCACATCGTTCTCCATCACTTCATTTGGACCCCTGCTTGCACCTTTCCTCAGAGGTGAAAACGCAGTTATCACTATCCCATTTGCGCTGCAGAACTCTCTCAGCTTCTTTTGTTGCCATGCAAGGTTCATCTCCACCTGTAGCAGTTGTTTAATAACAAATTAATATCAATTGATCTTATCATGAACTCTTCACGTGAACAAAAACCACACAATAAGACTATTACTTGATTCACCACGGGAAGGATGGTAGCAACAGACAGCAGATTCTGAAGCTTCTTCACAGAGAAGTTGCTGACTCCAATGGCTTTCGTGAGGCCAAGTTTCTGGCACTCTTCCATGGCTTCCCACACACCCTTCACATCAAAAGGCAAGAGGTCTTCTACCTCGATTGGAAATGAGAACTTCCCTGGCTGAGAACTGATGGGCCAGTGGATGAGATAGAGATCCAAGTACTCTAGTTGAAGAGTTCTGCACACCAAAAAGTTGGTGTCAGTAAAGCTACCTCTTATATTTGAAACAAAATGGACCAAAGTTATGTTCATCAACTTTTACAGTGGTTACACAATAGAGCTTTTGTAAAAGCTGGAATGTTTTAATTCATATAATAAGTTTAATTCATTTGATCAATATATTTTCATAATTTATAGCTACTTATGTAGATTTCTTCAAAAAATGGTCTCAAATAGAGTTCGTCACCTAAGTGATTTGCGCAAAGCAGAAACAACAAGATGAGGATGATTGTCAGTGACCCAAAGCTTGGAAGTGACAAAGAGGTCCTGGCGAGAGACAAGGCCAAGGTCAAGTGCTTCTTTGAGAGCTTCGCCAAGTGCCTGCTCAGAGCCATAAGCAGCAGCAGTGTCAAAGTGTCTGTAGCCCTGCTTTATGGCCTCAATGATTGCCTCCTTTGTGTCTTTCTTGCAGGTGAAGTCTGGGGCAGACCCCATTCCCACCACTGGCACCCTCTGTTGGGAAGATGAGTTTGGAAGCACCACTGTGGGGATTTCAATAGCAACCATTGTAACAAGTGCTAATTAACTAGTATAGTTAGTGTACTATGGTATGGAAGAGTAGTATCAGTGTAATGTAAGCAACACTACTTGCTTGAAGTTGATGGAAACTGCTGGGGTGGTTACCTTTTTATACTGCAAAATTGATTGTTACATATTTTCTCTTTTTCAATTATTTGACCAGCATAGCTTTGAAATTTCTGCAATTAGAGGTTAGGTGGGTAATGGTGAGATCTACCTCCATCCTTCACATTCTTATTTTATTCAACACTAACCTTGAAGCTTGGTGGGATTGTGACTGATCCACTATATAATTCTGTATCAATGCCTGTCTATTCTTATAATCAACTTTTTTATGATAAAATATTAATAATATTTAATTACATATATAAAGGTTAATTGAAACAATAGTTATCTTCAACAATATAATATTTTTTCCATGTTATATTAGTATGAATGCTTCTAATTATAGATAACTGGAGAGGGTCCAGTTTGCACATGTAATTGATTTTTTTTTTTTATCTTTTGCATAAAAATAGAAAAATCTAATCAATGGTTAAGAATTTGGCCAGTTTTAAAAAGACTGGAGAGAATCTTCGATCCACCAAATCTTGGTGGTTGAAGCTATATACTTCATAATAATTTATAAACTTTGACAAATCATTAAGTGTCTGCAGTGATCTGTGACTTATCTTTGTTATTTTATGTAATATAAGAAACATTCGAATACATACACCACAGAGTAGGTGTACAGATTTGATATGTATCTGAATAGTAGGACAAGATATCATTTATAATATTCCGTTACAACCGCTTAGAAAAATTAGAAATTAGTGATAAGATAGAAAAAAAGAAAATACTCTTTTTAAACGAAGGTAACTGATAAAGAATGTAAAAATTCTTTCATATTTTTGAATCATTCAAGAATCTAAAAGAATTACTCTCATCATCGTAATAAAGTTAAACTCTAATATTTTTAAATAAAATTTAACTTATTTCTAATAAAAATATTCTTCTTATAAAAAAATTTTACTATCGGAATCACAAAGATTCATTAAAAAAATAAATGTTAATAATAATTTATTAACCTATAAACTAAAAACTAATTAATAACTGATTGTAACTAACTGAAATTGTGATAATCAAAAATCAATCAACTATGCACTCTTTTGATCTCCGAAAAGATGATATCTAAGTTTTCAATTGGGTTTTTATTATAACTTTAAAACAAAATCAAACTAAAACCCATTAATTGATTAATCCAAAACATAATTTAGTCAACCAATAATATTTATTAAATAATTGTCTTTGCTCTAATCTTTACTATAGGTTATGTTGTCGTACATTAGAAATGAAGAAAGAAATCAAATGAGATTTAACAAGTACAAGTAATAAAAAAAAAGATATATGAAGATGAAACAAGAGATTTTTTTATGTATGTATGAAATTCTTTAATTTAAAGGTTATTTTAGTTTATCTTATTCAAAGTTAACTATAAATTCATTGCAATTTTTATATTTTAAATTATAAAACACAATTTAGAGAAATAGATTATAGTTTCGTATTACATTTGCTTGTTTTGAAAATAATATTGACTAGAAAAGTAAGTTTTCATTCTTTTGTGAACTCCTTTCTTATCAGCTTTGGACACATCGCAGCAGAAAACTGCATGATCTGAAAAGTAGGGTTTCGTTGCCAACTTGGTCTTCGCTTAGGGTTTAGTATTCCAAAACTTCATTACCTCATTCTGCTATTTTCAACTTTTCAAAATACTTTGATATTTCAACACATGTGTGCGTTTGAAACATGGTTTTCCTTTGAAAATGGACAAGAATTAATCAAAATGAGACATGAATAGGACCCTGAAACTCTCCAATTAATTAACTAACTGTTTGCTTTTGAGAAACAAAAAAATTAAAGCCATGTGAGTTGAGTTTGTGAAGTGAATTGTGGGATGTGAGAAAAACTAGAATGAAACGAAATTCAAGTCAAATTCGGCGGCACTCATAAGTTATGCGTAATACCATTAAATAGGAACACTTATCAAGTCATAAATCTAATCTATATATTTATTGATTTGATTTATATTTTTTATTGTCAATAACAGTAACAATTAGATAAAAAATTGATTAAACAATTACTAGAATTTTAAGTCCGTGCCTTCACTAATTTATTAAAAATATATATATGAGTTGTGTCTAGCATTTATTAAAATATGTTAATCTATAAAATGAGAGAAGCTGTTGAAAATAGGGATTTTGAAGTCAACATTAGGCAGAATAAAAATCAAAAGCATATGCATGCATGATGCATGGTTTGATAAAATAAAAGGTTTCTATGATCTCTGGCAAACATATTATAATAGAAATTAAGTGTATTAATTTTTTATTAGTAGTTTCTTTATTTAATTTATTTCTTAACTATTCTTATTTTCTTGATTTATTTACTTTTTGTTATCTACTCGTAATTACGTATATTTAAAAATAAAAATCAAGATAATTGAAATAAAATAACATAATAATTAATAACAAATAAATATAAAAAATATCATATAAATAAAAAATATATAAGAACTTTATTCACCTATATTATTATTAAAAAAAATAACAATTGAAATTTTTTAAAAGAAACAAAAAAGATTAAAAATTAAATTAAATTCAAGATTATTTTAGAATAGAACTTGTAATTATTTTTCTTAAAAAATATGTAGAAAAACAGTAAAAAATAATAATAAATACAAGATAAAAAAAGAAAAAAATTAGAAAGAAAATTAAAAGTTATAGAAAGATACAAAATTACATTTCTTATTTTATATTTTTCTATTATGATTGAATAAAAAATTAATTAACGTTCCTTATATTTGTTAGTTTATCCATTCAATTTCTCTTTTAATAGTTTATTATTTTACAAATTTTTAAGTGCGAATGGAAAAAAAATAAGTAATTAATACTCTTTAACACGTGACTCAAGACACAAATTAATTAGATAAATTATTAAATATTTTACATTTTTTTAATGACAATTGGAGTGATTCTTGTATGCAAATCATATTTATACATGCAATTCATTATGTTTCTCTCACCTCACCTAACTTTTTTTATTTTATTTTATTTATAATTAATTTCTCACAAGTAATTCAAAAATATATTTTTAATATATTCATGAATTTATTCTAAATGATAATATAATTTAATTTATATTTAAGTAAAATATATATTTAAAATAAAATAAATTATTCAATATATTTTAAATTAAGATAATTTTTTTAAAATTATAAATAATGTATTTAGTGAATTAGATAATATTTTTTATGATAAATATTGTAAAATTTAATATTTTTAATAAATATTTTTTATATTTATTTTTATATTTAATAAACTACTTAGTAAATGTTTATATAATCAAATATTATTTTTCATCAATCAATAAATTATTGGGTCGACATTTGGATTATTTATAATTTTTAAATTATCTATCTTAATTTAAAATAATTTAAATATCAAATATGAATTTTATTTAAATTAATACTATATTATATTATTATTTAATTATATTTTAATTTATTTTGATAATTTAAAAAAAAATAATTAGTTTTTTATCTTAAATAATTTGTGAGAAATATTTAAAAATAAAAATAAAAAGTAAGAATATATGAGAGAAAATTATAATAACACGTTATATATAACCTCTTAAAATTTAACAACTTTGTATTTCACGTAAATTTTTTTTTTTAATCTCTTTTCAGCAGTTTTCTCTTCTAATACTTCATCTTTTTTTTCTCTTTTAATATTTTCTTATAAGTTATCTAAAATATAAAAAAAAAACTAATTAAATTTAAAATATATTTAAATAATAATATAATTTATTCTAAATCTAAACAAAATACGTATTTTATATTTAAATTATTTTAAATTAAACAATAAAACTTTAAAAATTATAAATATAAACGTCGGCCTTGATATAAAAAATAGGTAATTATATAAATATCTATCCAGTAGTTTATTATATATGAAAAAATATAAAATTTATTTATTTATTAAAAATATCAAATACTACAACGTTTGTCATAAAAAAAACTATTTAATTAATTACAAATTATTTATAATTTTTAAAATATTTATCTGTATTTAAAACACTTTAAAACATATTAAATAAATTACTTTATTTTAAATATGTATTTTATTGAGATATAAATTATATTATATTACTATTGAAAATAAATTAATGTTTAAAAAGTTTTTTATTTTTAGTTATTGGTGAAAAATTAATTATATAAAAAAATTTGAAAAAAAAATTGAAGTGAAAATCTTAATTATCATATTTTGAAGATATGTGTGTAAATATAATATATTATAGGTGTCTCTGCAATAATCACTCTATAATACTTTTGCATCTGGTTTAATTTTGAAATCAGTTTATTTCAACAATTCATGTTAGAAGATAAAATAGGTAGTTTTTTTTTTAATTAACGACGAAATTAATGCTATATATATATATATATTAATGACAAAGTTTACATGTGTTGAAAATTGAAATAATACTTATTAATTACAAAATTTATTTACTTTCAGATTTAACTCTGTTATATAATAGAACATTCATTTTAATCTCTAATATTTAAGAATACATGATATTTATTCTTTAACATGTTAGTAACACATATACTAAAATTATAAAATAAAATTAATTGAAACCAAAACCATATGACAAAATTATAGGAACTAAAAATTAAAATAAGTATATTATAAAAATTAGAAACATAGTTGAGTTATTAAAAAGGTTCGCGACATTGAATTGATTATAATTGATAGTTATAAATTTGATAATCAAAATATTTTAATTGGTTTGGATTTAATTTAAAGTGAAAAATAACAATTCATTTTAAATCACAACCAGTTAAATTGATTATAAATATTATAAATTAAATAAATTAACAAGGACATAAATCACAGAATAATATATAATAATTTTTATAATAATTTTTGTGTGTATAACGGTTAGTTGTCAAATTTACTAAAGTTTCATTTATATATTTCTTTGTAAATTGGCATGTTTTCATTCCCAACAAAATAGTCTAAGTTTATATATATATATAATCTACTAAAAGTTATATTTTTAAAAAATATTGGTGGTGGTTGTTTTGAAAGAAAAGATGAGAAAGAGAAGTGAACAGTAGCATGTTTATTTTCTTATATTTTATTACATTATGGCAACAACTCACATACTGGAATCCCATTATTTCAAGAGTGAGAATGCATTTGAGAAAAGAAAAACATATTATCTGGAAATGAATCCTTGGTTGCATTTTCAGAAAAGAAGAAAAAGTTCTTCAATTGAAAGCTCAAAAGCAACATGAAGCATAAAATGCAATCCCAAGGCAAATGGAACATTCAAAGTCAATGGACTACTACTCATATTTCATCATCCCAAAGGTCACTGAGTTGTGGCTTGGTGGGTCCACTGATCAAACGGCTCTGATATATTTCATTTATTTTGTGATGATCTTCTTCTGTCAATGCCCAATCAAATATCTGCAGATTTTGGTTCATCCTCCCCTTATCGTAGCTCTTTGGCACGAAACTGACTCCTTGTTCATACAACCATCTCAGACAAACCTGAGCAATAGACTTGCCATGAGCCTCTGCAATCTCCTTCAGCACATCGTTCTCCATCACTTCATTTGGACCCCTGCTTGCACCTTTCCTCAGAGGTGAAAACGCAGTTATCACTATCCCATTTGCGCTGCAGAACTCTCTCAGCTTCTTTTGTTGCCATGCAAGGTTCATCTCCACCTGTAGCAGTTGTTTAATAACAAATTAATATCAATTGATCTTATCATGAACTCTTCACGTGAACAAAAACCACACAGATAAGACTATTACTTGATTCACCACGGGAAGGATGGTAGCAACAGACAGCAGATTCTGAATCTTCTTCACAGAGAAATTGCTGACTCCAATGGCTTTCGTGAGGCCAAGTTTCTGGCACTCTCCCATGGCTTCCCACACACCCTTCACGTCAAAAGGCAACAGATCTTCTAACTCGATTGGAAATGAGAACTTCCCTGGCTGAGAACTGATGGGCCAGTGGATGAGATAGAGATCCAAGTACTCTAGTTGAAGAGTTCTGCACACCAAAAAGTTAGTGTCAGTAAAACTACCTCTTATATTTGAAGCAAAAGGGATCAAAGTTATGTTCATCATCTTTTACAGTGGTTACACAACAGAGCTTTTGTAAAAGTTGGAATGTTTTAATTCATAAAATAAGTCTAATTCATTTGATCAATATATTTTCATAATTTATAGCTACATATGTGGAGTTCTTCAAAAAATGGTCTTAAATAGAGTTCGTCACCTAAGTGATTTGCGCAAAGCAGAAACAACAAGATGAGGATGATTGTCAGTGACCCAAAGCTTGGAAGTGACAAAGAGGTCCTGGCGAGAGACAAGGCCAAGGTCAAGTGCTTCTTTGAGAGCTTCGCCAAGTGCCTGCTCAGAGCCATAAGCAGCAGCAGTGTCAAAGTGTCTGTAGCCCTGCTTTATGGCCTCAATGATTGCCTCCTTTGTGTCTTTCTTACAGGTGAAGTCTGGGGCAGACCCCATTCCCACCACTGGCATCCTTTGTTGGGAAGATGAGTTTGGAAGCACCACTGTGGGGATTTCAATAGCAACAACCATTGTAACAAGTGCTGGTTAGTATAGTATAGTATAGTATTAGTGTAAACAAGATGCACCTCTACTACACTACACTATGCTGGAAAGTTAATGGAGTCAGAGGTTGGGTGGTCACCTTTTTATACTACAAAAAGTGTTCCATGTATTCCAATTGTTTTGCGCAAACTAGTTTTGACTCTTGATATTGTTGTTAGGTGGGTTAAGCTGAGCTCTATCCCCATCCATCATATTCTTATTTTAATCTCTAACCAGCAAATTTGGGTTGTAAGTTTAATTCCAAACTCTAATAATTATATTAACGTAGATGTCTTTCTTAGACATTTCATTCAAATTGTTCAGAGAAAGTAGCATCTTCCACTACATCTATAATAATGTATCAGTTAGTTGGGTTGGGATGGTGAGTTGTGACTCTAGCCAAAGAAGCTTTTTTTCCACATGAATCTTTGACTTATTCTCCTTCTCTTTTTGTTTCCTTTCTTATAATCTTCTTTGGCTGCTTGCACAAGAAAAATAGCTTTTGTTAACTCCAGTTTTAGTCACAGGCATGCTTTGTCATTCGGAAAAATATGTTTCACATGAATGCAGTATTTTGCTTTTACTTTTTAATAAAGTATCGAGATTTTTATTTTAATAGTTTAGTTTTTTATTAACAGGGCACAATGAGGTTAGAAAAAACAAAATTAGGTATTTGAAATGTACAAGTGACCAACTGGAAAAACTCTACTTAAACTTTATAAACGTCACACCCGTTGTGTTGACAGAGTGGGAAGCTGGTTGCCTTTTTCAAATCTTGTGCAATCACAGATCCGATTGTTGAACACACTAATTTGGCTACTTTTCATCTTCTTTACACTGACGAATGGGAAATTTTGCCCAAGAATAACAGCAATACTGGGGAGAATGAGTCAACCTTTTGTTATGCTTTGCCCCATTATAAGATGATGATAATGCATTTTAGGTTCACAATGTTACTATTGATTTCCCATTATTCCATAGCATTGATGTTCTTTAGTACATCTCAAAGATAAACTTATACTTATTTTGGATACTTTGAATATCTCATTGACTAATATATTTTATAGGAATACCCTTGAACTTTGGTGCCATATGCTTTTATATTAAAAGTATTATCTATTCTAGTACATACCTAAAGTTCAGACTTTTTACATCGACATCACAATTTTTCTTTTCTTTTCTGGAGAGCAACATCATAATAATGTATTATAATCTACACCAACTCGCTCTGCTTTTAAATTTTAGAGGTAAACCCTGTAGTTGGAGAAATGATTAATTCTTAATATTTTCTATTTGTTTCTGAGTAAATTTTAACATTAATTTAATATTTTGTATTTGCAATAAAACGAAAACCACATATTTTGAAGTCTAAGGTCATTGGCAGCATGGTCATAAGCAACAAAAATTCTTCATCATGCCCCTTGAATCCAAAATTCACTTTTTTTCACTTCTCATCCACAATTCTGATTTTTTAATACACACTAATAAGGTGTGTAACAGTTTTTTTATTCGATTTAGAGATTGATTCCTTTAAATGGAATTTGAATATTAAAAAGTTTATGTTAAAAGATAATTAACCTCTTTATTGATATTTTTCTATAATTAACATGAATGTTAATAAAGTTGTCAAAAGTTGACAACATAAGAATCTGTAGCAAATATAGTTTTGTATGATTAAGATCAGAAGATGTTGACAAAATAACATAGTATCGGCGGCTTCTGACTATTAAACTGAGCGATAGGAACAGCAAGTATCTGCTCTGTATCAAGCAGTTGGTGGAAAGATGCTATGACTTAATTTAAAAAACAAAAAATGGAGGAGGCAATTTTTGGTTTACATTATCAATAAAATCTTATCACACAATTTTACACCAATAAGTTTGTTGAAATTAGCTAAAAAGAGCACGTTGTTTTACATAAGTTCAAATACACTTCCTACAGTATTTAACATGATTCCAGATATGAACAGCAGATTGTCTAGCAGACTATTAATATATTACAGAAAGAGGTTTCAAACTTTCTCTTCATCAGCTATTCATAATATATGTGTTATCATTGGCTCGGTCATATAATACAGGAACTGATAGACATGGAAGAAGCTATACAAAAGAACAATGACATTTGATGCATTGCTTCAGAACCCCTTGAAGGCAATGTTTAGCCAGTTCTCATGCCAGTGAAGCGATGAAGGTGATAAAAAATGTTGAAAGTATGATACTGTGATACGTGATAAAGTAATTCAGTAGTGTTGATCATCTACCAAGACAATGAATTCCCTCTAATCACCGAGGTTTCGCAAACGCTTCAGCACATCTTTTTCGCCAGTTAGTTCCTTGACCAAACCTTTGAATTGCCAGAAAATTCAATAACTCATGGTAAAATTAAACAAAACTAATATAATAAAGAATACTGAAGCCAAATACTATACATGAGAGAATTTCTAAATCGACCCCTACGTTTAACACAATTTCAAAGTGCAATGGCACATTGGAGCTGATTGAATTCTGATCCTAGATATCAATAACTTGATGATTTCCCAGATAGATGAAGTACTAAAGTAGTAAATATTCAAGCATGCAGGGCAGCTAAAAGTTCTTTCCACAAAAGGGCATACACAACAATAGATCCATCATTGAATAAATTCTTACTGTTGGTATAATCGCGACAATCATGTAGGCCAATTCTCAAATTTGTTTCCCATATTTTGTTGAATTCTCTCGCTACTTCAACTGCCTCCTTAGTTGAACATCCAACAAGCCAGCATTTGTTTCTCGGCAACTTTTGTAACTTCCTCACAAGAACAGTTCCTACGAATATGAACAGAGGCCATGATTTTATTAACCTAAAAGTAACAACATTTATGGAGAGAAAATCCAATCAGAAAGTTCAAAAGCCGTCACAAAAAATCGGTCCAAAATGGTCAAGGTTGTTGTGACTAAAGGTTGACTTTAAGATGTCATCTTAGAAGAACTAAATGCACCAGGAATCAAATTCTTGATGCTGAAGCTCCCACAATAACAACACAGGAAAAAATTTCCTCTGGCATCTTATGAGAGCAGACTTCATCATATGCTTTCATGGATGATAACAGAGGCCTACAAGGAAACTACATAAATAACATAAAAGTTCATATGATGAAGCAAAGTATTTCCAACATCCACAGAGACCATCTTTCATAGTAAAGATATTTAGACTGTGATTTGTCGTATGATTGTCAACTGCAATCACGATCTAGTATAACAGCAATAACACACAATAGCATAATTGAATTGATAGTTCCATATGGTATGTAAACTTCTAAATCCAATATTTTGTGGTAGCATTTAGCACTAAAATAGCTGGCAAGCATCTAAACTTCTCCAGAAATACTTAAAGAAAAAGAAAAAAAACTTTTTCATAAACAAAAACCAGTGTATGTACAAATTAAAAATCAATTTTGGGATAAACTAATACGAAACAACTTCTACAAACTAACTTACATAAAAGTTAACTTTGATTTATGAAGAAGTTTTTTTCTTTGTTCTACTTATTTCTTCTCTTATAGGTGCTTCTGGAGAAATTTACCAAACAACTAACATTATATACGCATCAGATGTATGAATAGCAACAAGCAATGAAAGCATAAATGCCTCTTGTGTGTAAGTGTGTGTATGTTTTAAGGGTATAAGGCTGTACGTATTTGTGTCATATGAAATGAAAGACGTCAATAGCATTATTATACTGCCTGTGGTAAATATTTCTTCAAGCATTATTATTTCAAGATTTTTTTGTATATAATAGCAGTTTAACTTTTGCACTGTCTAGTATCAAGCGTGTATATGATACCATTCAAAAGAAGTCAACTTTCTGAACACGTAAGACTAGTAATCTAGGTAACTAATCTCACCTGGCACTGCTCTACCATACAAAGCTGCTAGTGCCACATATATGTCTTCAGGATCTTTGGGCTGAAAATCAAAAACCAGAACCTGAAAAAGCATTATCATTGTGGTTAGAAGGACTAAATGGCAGTCATAGGTGATATGAAATTACTGAAACAAAAAGAAGTCCTACATTTCTATTCCCAATAAGCAGTAAATTAAATTACACAATTTACAAAAGACTGGTGGTTTAATTTTATTTTGAAGAAAGTGAGACTTTGTAATGTCCAAGAACTATCTATATTGAGCTTATCCATGAATTGAAGGGTAATTACTTGGTACTAGAAAAGAAATAAAAATATAATCGAGGAAGAAAGGAAATTAACCTGAGAAGGTGAAGAGGGTTTGATGATGACCATGAAATGCTGCAAATCCCAGAAATTGAGGGAGTAAGCAGCAGACATAAGCAACTGGGGTGGTCCCTTTGTAGCCCTCAGAGGCATTGCAGCTACGTACACTTCATCTCTGCCTCTTACCATTGCTGAGTTCGAAAACAAAGATACCATTTTTCTCCCAGAATAACTAACAAACCCAAATTCTAAACAGATTATACACACTCAAAACACCGCTAAATCAAGCCTCAATTCAACTCTATCTGCTCCAGTTTTTGTTCGCATATTCATATATTTGGGGCAGAGCATAACATGTAAAATAAAAATGTTTAATTTCAAATATCACTTCTTAACTTTAAAATAAGTTTATTTAAAATTTATTCTTTTCCCAAAAATACATAAGTTGTACTTGTATTTATTTAAATTAACTACATGCAATTATTTATAGTTTTAAAATGTTAATTTTATGTCTTTAGTTTTAAAATTTTACAAATACGCTAAAGATAAGAATATTTGTTAGTTAATTATTTCTTTAATTCTAAAATTCGTATCAAAGAATATTTGTATTAATATTAATAGGGGACTTTAGCATTACTATTATTAACTTTGTGATACAATTCAAATTGGTATTATTAATTTATTTTTGTTTAAATTGTTGTTTTATTCATTAATTTCTTTTTTTTTCATCAATTTAAATTTCTTTTACTTGTTTTTTTATTAGAATAAAAATAGACATATACATTGAAGTTATTATTATTATTATTATTATTATTATTATTATTATTATTATTATTATTATTATTATTATTATATATTACTTTTTAAAAAATATAAACTATTTTAAATTTTATTTTTTACTTAAGGTTTTCAAATAATTTTAATTTAAAATCTTTTATTATATAAAAATAAGTAAATTACATTAATTATTATTATTATTATTAATTAAATATATTTTTTATTTATTATATTTATATTTAAAATATAAAAATATATTTAATTATTTTTTCTTTATACAAATATAAAATACGTATAATAATAATAATAATAGTGTATCAAAATATTTAATTACAATTAATTATTTTTCAAATTATTATTTTAAAATATTTATAAATATAAAATATATAGTTTATTAATTGAATAAGTTAATTTTTATTTAATTAATTTAAAGGAATAAAAGTTTTTATTATTATATTTTATTAAAAAACTAATATATAATAAATTAAAATAATAAAATTTAAAATATATAATATAATAAAACCTAATAAAAAAATTAAAAAATAAAATAATATTAATTATTATTAAAATTGATGTAAAGATTTAAAAAAAAACTTTATATTTTTAAATTTATTGAAGAAATTTAAAAATTCAAATTGATTATAGAGATTAAGAAAATGTGAAACAAATAAAAATTAGATAAAAGAAAAATAAAAATATAAAAATATAAAAAAATAATTTTATATATAATGTGAAAATAAATATAAAGAAAAGATAAATAAATTTATCCTACTTCTTTCCTGTCAACTCAATTTTAATTTTTTTTATCAAAATATATCAATCTCATTAATTTAATTATTGTCCCCTCTTATCATGACCCATCTTATTTAATAATTAAGATCAAATAACATGACTTTTAGTAAAATTCTGATAGTTAGTCAATAATATATCATACTTTAATCTATTGGGCCAATCGGATTTCAATGAATTTGATCCTTCAACAAATATATCCAACTTTAATCAACTTACTCCAATTAACTTTGTCATGTGATATAAAATATAATAATCTTTCTTTTCATATTATATATATATATATATATATATATATATATATAACTAAAATATAATAATTATTAAATATATAATTAGCATTTCGTACTGATTAATAATATATTTGGTGGAATCAATCTTCCGCCGCAACTGTTGATCGGCTTCTAATCACACAATTTTCCTTTTATTTTAAGGATAACATTCTCCTTTTGTCTCTTTTTTTTCCGTCAACTATATTTTTCTTCTTCTCTCATTTTGCCATCTAAGAGCATGGAATAGAAATACTCAGTTGGCAACAAGACATAAGATACTAATAACCTACATATTTATTTGATCAAACAAAGCTATCCTGGACGCAGAATGACACAAGGACCATAACCCATTCGTACTAGTGCTTACCTTGGATGGAGAGCCACACCCTAATTCCTGCATAGAGCGCAGAGTACATGCAACTCCTGCACATGCCATGTGGTGGTTTGAGTACGGAGTGATTGCCATTTTTAACTCAAATGGCTCACCTCTCTTCCCATTTAGCTACACGTTTTTATTGGACCACTAAACACAAAGAAAGCAAAAGACATGCAACAACCAGACATAATGCAACTGAAAAAAATACCCTCTCAAACACTCTCATGAACTGCACATTTCCCCCCTCTTCACATTCTTTACTCAGCCTTCTCAGTTGGAGCCTCTGTCACTGCCACCTCCTCGCTCTTCTCACCCTTTGCGATCACTTCCTCCTCTTTCTTTTCATCTGGCCCTTCTGTCTCAACCTTCTCCTCCTCACTTTTCTCTTCTGGGGCTTCTGTGTTTACCTCTTCCTTAGCTACAGCATCAGCTTCTCTCTCTTCTTTAACACCATCTTCTTTCTCGGTCTCCGTCACTGGTTCTGTAGCTTCTGGTGTCTTCATCTCAACAGGATCAACATTCTCTTTTGCTTCCTCAGCAGCTTCTGTCTCACCTTCTTCCTTTGAAGTTTCCTCTTCGGTCTTCTCAACTGTTGACTCTTCTGCGACAGTCTCAGACACAACCTCTTCTGCCACTTCTTTAGTCTCAACTTCAACGGAGGACTTGCCTTCTGATGCTGCAGCTTGTGGGGCCTCAGTAGTTTCCTCCTTGGTTTGCTCAGTGACAGACTCTGGTGCTGGCGTTGGTGTTGGAGTCTCAACTATCTCTTCTTTCTTTCCCTCATCGCCCTTCAATGATGACTCAATTGTGTCCTCTGGGAGGGCAACCTTTGCTGATACAACCTAAAGTTCCAACTCAAACGGACAAAGACATAGTCAGATGAAAATTCATATGTTATTTATTAGAATCCTAAATTTAACTCAGCTGAGAGAAAAAGAAAAAAAAAAAAGCATAATAAGGTGGTGGACATGCAGTTTCAACACTCTTTCCTCTTCTTTACTTGTAACCGTAGGTTAATGCACCCTTCAAACAATTGTTGCAAAATATACTATAAAGATGGAGTTAACAGCTGCCAGTTTAATATAGATTTGATATTTCTTTTAATACTCTGACAAATATGTGACCGATAGAAAAGGCTTCTTTGTCTGTAATGACAAACAAATTGAAATTTACACTTAATCTACTTCATACTTTTCTGTATAATTTTTTCACTGAAAAGAAGTATAGGAAAGAAGTTCAATCTTTTTTGACAGTATTATTTAAATATTGATAAGATCCAACTGGCTTCTATCATTTTACTGTCAGAAAAACCATTGGAATATTGCAAGCTAAAGAAGGAATAGTTTCCTGCCTAAGATAACAGAGAGAAGTAAGGATAGGGGGAACTGAAAAAAAAAATTAAGTAATGCGAAAACGACATAAGCAGGTTCTGAACTGAGGAATCATGTGAATTAGAGTAGAGAAGGAAGTATTTAATAGAATTACCTCAACAGTGGCCATTGGAATACCAAAGAATATGCAAGTGATTGAAATGGAGCAAAGTTGAGAGTGATATAGAAAACTAAGTGTTTGATGAAAAGAAATGAGCATCAAGCGTGGCTTATATAGAGGTAAAGGGCTCAAGTAGATGAAAGAAATGGAGAGGTGGGGACGGTTGAAGAATCTTGGGATTTGACCCCTCCATCACTGAATGTTAATGAGCATGTTTGGCAATAATGGTGACAAAGGCTTAGAGATGAGGCTATATTGTTATTTTATAATGCTTGTTTCGGATCTCTCTACTGGGAGGCTGAATAATGGAGGACGATTTCATTGAGATCATCATTCTTTTGGTTCTAAGTTTATGTGCTTTGTGCAGTCGGATTCACAGGGGGAACTATCAAATTCATGCATGCCCATTCAATCATGATTTGCTGCTAAAATAATAATAACCGCGATGTGCTTGTAACAAATGGTTCTATCTTACAAAGAAAAAAAAAGGTTAGAAAAATAGTATGGATCCAGTGAAAAGAGATTCGATTGGATATCAATTTTAACTTTCACCCACAATTCACTAGGGTTCATGAGAAGTAATTCGTACCAAACAAACTATTCTGCTTTTAAAAAACTTATTTTAATTAAAATCAGGAATCTGAAAGTAACTGTAACTTGTCAAATAATTTTATATTTAAAAAATTTGGTGTTTCACCGATGGAATCCAAACAAACAAACAAATAAAATAAATAAAAGTGAAAGGTTCCAGATCAGACCCTGACGCAAGTAAAGCAACAAACCGTCGTTCACCTAAACAATGTGGGCCTTGGTCGGCGGTGGGCCATGGGCCCATGTTAGTAGGCCCAGCTGCGAGGAGATTCACATCTGGTACCGTATCTACCTCCAATGGATACGTGCCACGTGGAAATCACACACCGACCCCTCTTCGTCGTTTTGTGGCTCCTGCTTTCTCATTCTTTCTCCTTGTGATTCTGATGTGATGAGATGAGACCACAGTTGTAAAATCAAAATAGGTTAATGATGCCACCATTGACATGTTCTGTTGTGTTCATTTCGTATGAAATATCGAATAAACTCCTCGAGTTTATGATTTGGGCATCTCAAGCATAGAATGGTTCATCTTTCTGCCTCAAAAATAGAATGATGAGGCCTAGGAATGACAATTTGTGCATCACATCACCCTTCAAATTGGAATTATTCACCAACCACCACACGCTTAAAAGTAACTCTGGTAGCTGTAAATATGGAAACAGACACATAAAAAAAAGTTATTGCCAAATGTCTTTGTCCTTCTTTTTTTTCATATGTTGACCCTGCATTTCTGCAATCCGTGGTAACAACAAAATAAAACTAAAAAAAGATGAATTTTTAATTTTCATTCAACATAGTAAAACTTCACTTCATACTCATCCATTCAACTTCAATGGGAAGGAAGGCTTACTCAGTGAAGGTGTTTTTCTTTCTTTCTTTTTAGTATCCAACATAATTCAATAGATTGAGATACAAACCCTCCAACTAAGTAAAAAGACATGTCTGACAAAAAACTTGGTTTTTCGTATTTCATTATTGTGTCTTTTTTTATCAACATAAACACTCTTGCAGATTGTGTGAAAACTAAAATTTGTATAGTGCAGTATTGAAAACAGTTTGTAACTTATTAATTACCTTTACACTCAAATTTTACTCTCTATACTCCTTATTTTATTTTTATTTTTTTATATTCTCCAAATATCCTTTTTTCTCTCACAGCTTCACACTTCTTCACAAATTTTACGAAAACTAGTTTTCATAGTTTAGTTATATTCTAATATATTATCAAAACTATTATCTAGTGTCTTTTTGCACCACAACTTTTTCTCCATGACGTAAAATGATAGGCAGTGCAATAGTAAAAGAAGTGGTGTAAAAAGCATGAAACAAACTCTAAATTTTGGACAGTTAAGCCCAGTATCCAGTAATCAATATTCCAATATAAAATGGCCATATAAATAATAATATTACAAATATCGATAGAAAATTTGAACATATATATTTTATGTGCACTTTTATAATATATATAAGCAATTACTATACATGAAATGTCTTCTTCTTTTTTAACTAAGTGTTTCCAAAAGTTTTAAAGAGGAGAATAATTGCACTGAATAAGTATAATAGAGACCGTGCAATAAATAGAAAGATCATTTTCTTAATCCTAAAAATGACTCCAGAATTGAAATGATTTTCAACAAAAACATTTGGTGTCCCCTCATCAAAAGTCAATAACGCAACATTAAGTTGGCAGAAATGTGAACAGAGATTTCGGATCACCACATGATCATTTGCTCAAATTATCCATAAACGTCTCTTTCCTCCTGAAATATTGACCATCTTGCCAAAAAAAAACAGGTTACGAGACAAATAAGTCATTTTTTTTTTCTCATCCCTTTCCTCATTTTGCTTCTAGTTAATGATCATTTGTGGGTGTTGGGAGACACAAACTATTATAGCATTTTTCAGTTTCACTGATCCCTTCAAAACCTTTTTGGGTAGCTTCATTGTCTATATCCCGTTTGTTTAGTGGGATTTTATTCACAATTCTTGTTCCTTGTGACGGTTGATGAGTTGATCACCTTCTCTGTTGGAGCTGTATCAAGTTCCAAGAACATGGGAGACAAAGAAACTGGAGAGAAAAGTGAGGCAACAGATAATGAGAATGAACATCCTCAAAAAAGTGAAGGTGAGTCCGTGAGCAGGCAAGTCAGTGAGACTTCTATCTATGCTCCTGAAGAAGAGGAGGATGAACCAGGATCCAAAATCGAATTGGGTCCTCAATGCACTCTTAAAGAACACCTTGAGAAAGATAAGGTTTGCATGTGTCTACTGAAATTTAGCATCCCCACATAATATCATGTTTCTTGTGTTTTCTTTATCAGTTAATTCACTTTCTTTGGCTGGTTTGCGGGGTTGACATAGGATGATGAGAGTTTAAGGAGATGGAAGGAACAACTTCTTGGAAGTGTAGATGTGAACAATGTTGCAGGTTTTTATATCTCTTGATTAATCTTTCCCTCTCTTGTTTAAGATCTACTACATTCATAACACCCAAATGGTATCCAATAATCCTTTTCCTTTTTCATATATTATGATACGTTTATTTTGCATTACCATTTTTGTGTGAGCTTAACAGGCATGGACACGGTGTAAAAGATTTTAGATTGTTTTAGCCAGTTATGAACATTTTTTATTACTTCTGAGATCATTTATAAAACTTAGCAAAATCGTCATTTGAGATGATGGTGTATACTATTTTTTAAAGTGTTGAAATCGATTTATAACTCAATCTTTCTTTCCAGAAATTTTGGACCCTGAAGTGAAAATCACTAGCTTATCTATCGTCTCTCCTGATAGAAATGACATTGTTCTTCCCATTCCTGAAGATGGGAATCCAAAGGGTTTATGGTTCACTCTCAAAGAAGGTAGCCATTATCGCTTGAAGTTCACCTTCCAAGTGAACAATAATATCGTGTCTGGCTTAAAATACACCAATACTGTTTGGAAGACTGGTGTCAAGGGTAATTTTTTTCTTTTGCCTAATCCATTCCTATATAAACTTGTAGCATGCAAAACTGAAAGCATCTCTTACAAAAATTCTAATTTCAGTGGATAGCTCCAAGGAGATGCTTGGAACTTTCAGCCCTCAAGCAGAGCCTTACACACATGAGATGCCTGAAGAAACCACACCTTCTGGACTATTTGCAAGAGGATCATATTCTGCAAGATCAAAGGTAATTAATATTTTCTTGCACATGGATTACAATCTATAGTGCAACAAAAATTTCCACCAAGCTAATGCTTATGTTGTTCTTAACAGTATATATGAGAGATCAAAGCATCAAATTCGAATTGATGTGTCTTTTTTATCCAATGAATTAATGATACAAGAATGTGTTATAATATTTTCTTTTGCAGTTTGTTGATGATGACAACAAATGCTACTTGGAGATCAACTATACTTTTGATATTAGGAAGGACTGGGCTTGAACATGGATGACAACCTACGCAGATTGCTTCTGCATCAGTAACTCTTCTCCATTTAGTCGACTATGTTTTCACTTTTGTTCCATGGACTTAATACATATGGTAGTTACTAAGTTTTTGTTTGTACTAAACTATTTTTCTGCATTCACTAAAAGAGACAAAGGCCTTAATTATTATTTTTTATATCTTTTGCAAATCTAAATGTTGGACGCAATGATGCTTTTGCGTGTCCAATTGTTTTGTTTTTCAGTCTTTAATATAATTTAAAGCAAAGTTGTGATATGTTATGTGGGCATTTCAACCATTTAGAAATGAAATGGAAGATAGATTCTCTTCTGGAATGAGAATTTTTCTCTTGCTTTAACTGTTGTGTGTTGCAGTCTTTTTGCCTTTTTCAATCTTTGTTCTTCCAACGCTTCACTGTTAACATTAGCCCATTACTTACTTGTCTTGAATCGTTCTCGATTAATCACTATCTCAGTTATTTGTTGTTAAAATTTTCAAAATATTAAGTTTAACGAAAGAAAAAACGATAATTAGAAATTAAAAATTATAAAAATGAATTCAAATGAAAAAGGTAAAATATATTTTTTGTTTAGATATTATTTTATATTCAATCGAACTGCATGCAATAGTTATCTTCGGTTTCGGATTGCTTTTATAAAGAATGGAAGAGTTAAAAACATAAATACTAAAAAGTAAAATAAAATAAATTGTAATTGGATTTATAATTGGTAGTAAAAGTAGTTAAGAACGTAATCGTATGCAAAATGTTTCTTTTTCATTTTAGATATATTTTAAGCAATTTTATTATATATTGAAATATTGTGATGTAATAATATAATTATTATAAAAGTTGTTTCGACAAAAGAATTTTATTTAATTTTTTTTTCTTTACAGTGAAAAGGGAGAAGATCCATTAGAAGAGATTTTATATTTTTTTTATCATTAAAATAAAATTCAATAAAAAATTTAAACTATAAAATATAATATAAATTTAAGGTTTTGCAAAAAACAATTTTTTATATATTAATAAACACCTAAACTTTTTATTATTAGATATTATATTTATTTTTTTACCACTCATTTCAAATATTTAAATGTGTATTAAAACTTTAAATTTTAATAAAATAAAATTCCTTTTATAATACCTTCGTATTCTACTTTTGTAAGACTTTAATATTTAATCAACCATGAAAACATGAGTACTATCATTTTGAGGATCAATGTAAGACACAAACTCTTTTTTTTTTTTTAACTGACAGATAAATATATTCCTCGTCATGCATATACTCACAACATTCAAGGTGAGTCTAGTACGGACAAAACATTAAAAATAAAAATAGAAAAATACTCTAATATCAAGGATAGCATTAAAATAAATATAAAAAGTGTTATTAGAATTTAAAATAAATTGAACCTTACCTTCATATTTTCCCTAATATACAAGCATACAAATAATATACTATAACATAGTTTACTAATACTATTTTTGTACACATTTATGCTACAATTTATATCATAAGGTTGTTCCGTTTATTTCTGTCATACATGATAAAAATCTCAACAGAACACAAAATTGTTTATTACACACATTGCATTGTATTTGTATTCAAAATTTAATATTTATGATATTTGAAATGTTAGTATATTCTAATTGTGACTCTAACAACATTTCTTCTTTGTAGTTTTCCTAGGTTAGGGTTTTAATTTGTAGGCAATTAGGTAACGTGTTTGTGTATTTAGTTTTGTCTCCCCATTTTTTAATGTGTATTTGTGATGGGTACATATTTTCCTATCAAGATACTCTAAAACTTGGTTTTCTATTACTTTTGTTATATATGCATGTATGTTGTTCATAGATTGTTGAAAGGAAATTGTTTTTTAAGTTTTTGGAATTATTAGATGTTGTCATAATGATTTTTTAAAATACAAGTTTGAAGCTAAAATTATTGTCATTCTAATATAGAATATATGTATAATTCGTTATCATTGTAATTTAAATATTATAACTAACTATAATTAGAATTGATGACAAAATTGACGCCCAAACTAATGTAATTAATAAACTAAATTGATATTTTTTTTTAATTCAGAGACTACCCAAATAATAACACTCCACGGGGTGAAGAACTAAAACATAATTTAGTAAAAAAAAAAAAGTGTATTGAAGATTATAGAGCATGTGAAGAGCATGGTGAGATTTGAGTATAGCAATGGTATGGCTAAATGTCAGCTTCATTTTTGGTGATGAAAATAAATAATCTAGAAATGAAGTAGGAAGCATTATGTGTGTCGGTTAGCAAGATGAAAAAATGGGAGATGGAAAATGGTGGGGTAGAGTGCAAGGTTGGTCTATGATGGACTAAGGAAGTAATTAGTTAAAGTGGATATGGAAAGGCCACCATACAAGCATTGAAAAAGTATGTTCCAGATATGCATTTTCCATTAAAGTATTTTTATATCTTCACACCACAAGTAGAAGTTGAAGTAGAAGAAGTAGAATAGAACCACCCTCCTCAACGTCCAATACAACCATCTCTTTGCTGTACTCAATACCCTTCTTTCTCTCTCTCTCTCTCTCCATCTTCCCTTCCAGCTGGTACTTACCCTCCATTCCATCTTTATATACCGTCCCTCCATTTCTCATTCTTCGTCCTTCACATTCCCCTTCTCTCTCTCCCTCTCTGAATTCCTCCTTTTCAGGTCTGTGCTCTTCTTCAATCTCATTGTCATTCGTGCCTTTGCTTTACTTTTGTTGTTCTGTATGTCCCTCAATTAATGGTTTGGTGCAAAGTTTTAGCTTTTCTTGCTTTTCACACATCAATGTCATTTTTGTCTCCTGGGTGCTTCTGGTTTTGGATCAGCTACTCTAGATCTGTCTCATTTCGTTATGGGTTTCATGAATGATGTGAACTTGCCTTTGTGGCCTTCACTGCCCTAACTCACCCACATTTGGCTTGGGTTTGTCAGCAAGTTGGAAACTTTGTAGGGAAAATGAACTAGTGACGGTTTCATTCATTGCCTTTGGGGGCCATGATTGTTTTTTGAAAAATATATAAAATCTTTCAACTTTTGTCACTAGGTGTCTGATCTCGAATTTATCATTTAGAAATTTACTATTGCGTGATTCGCATGTTCTCCTAAATTCAACGTTCTTCGCTGGTGTTAAGCAAACGTAAACACATTTCAAGTGTTCCTCGGTTCTATCGAACTGTTATAGTGTGCATATCATGCTCCGATCTGATATTCTCTCTGCTTATACTAGCTCAATTTGCATTCCTAGATCTTCCCTTATGCATTTCACATTCTGTTGAATATCTTTATCATTTGTCTTTTGTTCTTTTATATTAACTTGTGTGAGATCTAGTTTCAACCATTACTTTAGTTTGTAGATATTATTAGTAAGCTATAGACAACTTTTCAGCGAGATGTAAAGAGAAGGTTAGGTAGAAAAATTTAAAGGGTTTGTAATTGTTTATATTATTTATTGATTGGAGATTGGGTTTGAACTTGGAGTTCATTTTTTATTCCCGCATTATTTAACTTCTACAATGGTGGGGGTAGGTTTTGTTATGAGATCTAAGTTCTAACCACTGTGGAGATTTTTTTTCTCACAGGAATTTGGAGAGACTATCGATATTGCAAGGGTAGGATAAACCAGTAAGTATCCCAGGAAAATATGGAGTTTTCTATGATTTTCATTGTTAGCAACATCATGCTGCTTCTCAGTTCAGCATCTGCCAAAACTGCTAGTCCTCCCTCACTAAGCCCAACTCCAGCACCAGCCCCAGCACCGGACTTTGTTAACCTTACGGATTTGCTCAGTGTTGCTGGTCCATTTCACACCTTCCTTGGATACCTTGAGTCGACCAAAGTGATTGACACTTTCCAAAACCAAGCCAACAATACTGAAGAAGGAATTACTATCTTTGTTCCTAAGGACAATGCCTTCACATCTGCGAAGAAATCTGCTCTATCCAAGCTCACCTCTGACCAGATAAAGCAAGTTATCCTCTTCCACGCCTTGCCACATTTCTATTCTCTGTCCGACTTCAAAAATCTTAGCGAAACCAGCTCCACTCCCACATTTGCTGGAGGGGATTACACTTTGAATTTCTCTGATATTTCTGGGACAGTGCAGATTAGTTCAGGATGGTCAAAGACCAAAGTGAGCAGTGCTGTTCATGCCACAGATCCTGTTGCTATATATCAAGTTGACAAGGTGCTACTTCCTGAGGCCATTTTTGGCACTAATATACCTCCTGCACCTGCTCCAGCACCAACTCCTGATGTTGCCCCAGCTGCAGATTCTCCAACTGAACACAGTGCAGATAGCAAAGCATCCTCTCCATCATCTACTCCTGATGGCTCCTCTTCTTACAAGCTCATCAGCTATGGAATCTGGGCCAACCTTGTCTTGGCAACTTTTGGTGTGCTGGTGCTCTTCTGATGGGGCTCTTCCTATTGAATATTTAATTTAGATTATGTTTATGTATCTACATTGGTGCACTTGCTTTGATTTGAATCCATTTTTTTGAACATAAGTGTTATTCAATATCTGTATGAATGTGATTTCTGCTATTATACCTTTTTTTTTTAAATCTCATAGCATGTGGTTGTCATGTTATGTGGTTGTTATGTTATGACTGTATCTACCTTTTTTGGAGAGTTTTAATGCCATCACTTAAAGTTAAAGTCTATTCCTCAAGTTGAGATTCTATTCCCTGTAGGGATGTTTCCCCCTAAATATGTTTATGGATTGGCTGATTTACAAGCCCTGTTTATAGTTCCTGAAATTTAATTAAAAATGAAGATTATTTTTAGGACCTTATAACGTTCCAGCTCCTGAAGACCCGGTATTTTCCTATCCAAGTGACATGTGACAGGAGATGCGGTTTTGGTAAACAATAATCAACGATACTTTATTCACAGTTCAGATCTTGTAACTATCATTAGCATTCTTTTCTGGTCCTTGACAGCTTTAGCGATTGGACCATTCAACAATCAAAATACAAGTAAAAATTTCCGTAGCAACCTTGCTCTGCTTGGTTTAGTAATCTTAGTTGATTAAAGTTGATAGTTCCTTGAGGAAAAAGAAAGGCTGATAATTATGAGATGCTAAAGTAATCTTGGGCAACAGATCTTTGCAATGTCATATTTAAATTAACTACAAAGATAATTAGGAATTGGTTCATTGGTCCTGTTTCATTCAGGTCTACATAATTTCAATAACGTAGTCATATCATATCAGAGGTGACTCATTCTGAATAAAATAATTAGGGTTGATCATGAAAGCCTGCAACAGTATGCATTGAGCTTTCTTCAGGGATACACTTGTTGGGTTGGAATTTAATGTGGCTTTCTGTGACTTAATTTTGAATTTTGTATTCCCTTACTCTTTAAATATTGCAAAAGGACTTTGAACTTTGTGTTGTGTTCTACATAATGATGGCCTCGGCTTCTGTCTCCTCCCATCATTTCTTTGGTAGCTCAGTTTTTGGTCTTTTTGGAGACGTGCATTGCAATTTGCATGCATCACTCAAATGTAAATTGGATTCGGAGCTTTACCTGGACTTAAGGCCCCAAGGTATTTGTGTTCAGAAGTATTTGTATTTGTTTCAAACAGTGGCATCATAAGAGAGAATACACATACATACACCACCAAGAACAAAAAAACATGAAATAAGATTACATAAATTATTTTTAATTTATGGAAAAGTTTATTTTATTTATTCTTCTAATTTATTTTCTATGAAACAATTTGTCGAACCAAACTTCAAAGAATTAATGCATATTGTCACTTCAAAGGAATCTTTGTTAGCTTGAGTGTTGTTATATCTTTTGCAAATACATACCTACTCGGTGTGGTCTATGTCTTAAGACTTATCACTCTCTTGTACTCCTTCAATAAACCTTTTTTTTAATTTTCTTATATGCTCCTATTAAATTCATAAAAATCCTGTCCATTGATTTAACAACGATTAATAAAAGTAAAAACAAAATATTAATACAAAATTAGAAAATCAAATGAATTAATTGTTTTATTAGTCTATATGCTTTTTGTCCAAAATATCTTACGATAGAGATCGGATGAATAATATGCTTGTTTGGTTGATTTGGATGAAAAGAACTTGAAAAAAATAAAGTTAAAACATTTCTCATATATATGTTTGGAAGGAAATTGAGAATGAAAAGTGGTAAAAAGTTAAATAAATCCACTTACCTCCATATTTCGTTTCCTTCTATTTCTCATGATATAACTAGAAAATGCCAATGAAGATTTGTTTAAAATTAAATCACCTTTATACAATATAAAGAATAATATATAAATAATGTTTTTTATGTAAAAAAATGGTTTTCGCTTGAAAAAATTAATAAAGAATATATTTTTTTAGAAAATAATGTTATAAAAGAAATCATATAAATTTGTATTTCTTCATCTAAGTGCAACAAAAATTTCTACTCATCTATTTCTTATTTCTATCAATCAAAACAACACATTTTTTTCCACTCTATTTCTCTTTTATTTTAATTTTTTCTATTTCATTTTTAATCCAAATAAATGCATCAATTTTTAGAATTTTATTCCACTCAAAAACTCATTTCAGCGAACATGCGTTATAACTCAATTTGAATAAAAGATCTGTTCTAAAAACATTGTCCAATCCATCTAACAGAGACTTGTGAAGAAACCGAACATGGAAATAACACAGGTGTTTTTAATGTCGATAATGTTGGGTTAGAATAAATCTATGTCTCACCAAGTTTGATGCAACTTTATTATGCTATGCTTTCCTTCTATTTTTATCACACGGTCTTAAAATCCTCCCTACAATTTAATTTATAAATTAATATTAACTAAAAAAATATATTTCATAATATCTTGAAAACTTGAAAAAATGTATATTCACACAACTTTTTGTCTTCTTTAATGTTTTTCGCAAAACATATAATTCGTCTCAAAGATAAACGTGCGAATCGTGAAGTGTTTATTTACGTATATATTAAGGAAAGTGGAATAAATAAATGTCGGTACGAGATTATATTTTTAATTCTTTAACAATGGCATGTATATAGAGTAAGCCATTTTTTTAGATAATGAATTATATAAAATATTAATTTTGTTATGATTTATGTGTATAATAATATAGTTTAGGTTGTTGAGATAGATCAATTAATATATTTTGGTTTGTGAAAAGGGAAGAGAGAAAAGGAAGAAAGTGGAGGAAAGAGAGAGTGAAGTGATGCCAGGTGTCATTCGTGTTTAATATTGAGGGAAATAGGAAAGCAGAGAGTGAAAGCATTGGTGGCGTTTGATTTGATTATTTGCGTTCCATTCCCTTTGTCTTCGCGGGTCCTTTCGCCAACACGTTTTTTTCTCCCAACCCCATTTCCTCTATCGCGCATTCAAACAAACACCTCTGTCTCTTTCTCTGAACAAGAAAACCATGACGAAACCTCGCAATCTCGCTCTCATTCTCTGACTCTCTTAGGTACCTTTCTCAATTCTCATTTCTCAATCGCTTCCTGCCTTGTCGCAATCTGCCGTGGATCCGTGTGATTGGATATTCACGCATCGTTCGTTTGATTACGAATGCGTTAGCTCTATTGGCTCATGAGCGTCTCATTTTTTGTGTTTCGCGTCATTGTTATTCCCAGTGTTTATTGTTTTCCTCCAACATAGTCGAACATGTCTAGTTTCGTCGGCGTCCTTGTTTCTGATCAAGAGCTTCAGAGCCAGTTCACTCAAGTCGAACTTCGAACCCTCAAATCCAAGGTCTGTATGTTTCTTCCTTTCTTCTATTGTTTTTTGTCGAAACCACAATCTCGAACTCAAACGCGCCTTCTGTTTGTTACGTTCCTTTTAGTATGTGTCGGAAAGGACTCAATCGGGACGTGTTACTGTCGCAAATTTGCCTGCTATTTTTAAGAAATTGAAGATTTTTTCTGAACTGTTCACCGAGGATGAGATTAAGGATGCTTTGGCGGAGTCATATCAGGACATGGATGAAGAAATTGATTTCGAGTCCTTCCTAAGGGTGAGTTTTTATTTTACCTCCTGAAAAGTGTATGATCTTATATGTTCCTGTGTTTCTTAATTTAATTTTTAGATGTCATGTTACTAAGAATGACCTTTTTATTGCTGTCCCGAAGAAGTTTCTGGTTGGTAAACGCTTTGATGTTATTTGATGTTCAAATTGCCGTTTGGCTCTTCATATATATGCTCCTAAAATGAAATGAAGTGGTGATTTTGTTTTTGTTTTAATTTTAAATATCTGCGGGGGCAGGTACATACTAATTTATTTGGGAGAGTTTTGTGGGTATTAATTATATTTATATTGGACCTAGCAACTTAATCAGTGACATTGAATGGCAGGCACATTTAAATCTGCAAGCTCGAGCAATAGCTAAAGATGGTGGTTCAAAAAGTTCTTCTTCATTTTTGAAGGCAGCTACAACAACTGTTCATCATGCCATTAATGAATCTGAGAAAGCTTCTTATGTCGCACATATTAATAACTCCTTGGCTGAAGATAACTTCATGGGTCAGTTTCTTCCAATTGATCCACAATCAGATGCATTGTTTGATCTTGCAAAAGATGGAGTACTTCTCTGGTATTGTCCTTGACTCGATATCAGTTCAATTTTTATTATTTTTTTTAAATTGTCTCTCCTTTTTTCCACCTTGACTTTGTTGTTTATTTATTGCTGCAGCAAGCTTATCAATATTGCTGTTCCTGGGACCATAGATGAGCGAGCTATTAACACAAAACGAGTTCTTAATCCATGGGAAAGAAATGAGAACCATACCCTTGGCCTCAATTCGGCAAAGGCTATTGGGTGCACAGTGGTTAATATTGGTACACAAGATTTAATTGAAGGAAGAGTAGGTTCAATCCTTCTTTTGTTCCCCTTTTCATGTTTCCAGATTCCTTTTTTTTTTTTTTTGACAGACTTAACTCATTTTGTTTTTCAAAATTTTCCTGTTCGGTTATTGTAGCCCCATCTAGTACTTGGTCTGATTTCACAAGTAATTAAGGTAAAATACTGAAACTTGCCTCCCCCCTCCATGCTTAATATGGAACTCAGATTAGGATGTTGACACCATAAAGAGTTATTATTCAATTGTAAGACATGTAAACTTATGCTGCCCTTTTTGTTTGGTTGACTTTTCATTATGGTGGCGACATTAGATTCAATTGTTAGCTGATCTCAATCTGAAGAAAACTCCTCAACTTGTGGAATTAGTGGAAGATGACAAGGTGATATTGGATAATATTGTTCCTTCTATTCGTAGTTGACCAAGTATGATGATTTTCTTTCCTTTACATGTCAGAAATGTAATAAAACATTGTATTATGTTGTAACATGCTGGCAGGACGTGGAGGAGCTTATCAGTTTAGCACCTGAAAAGGTTTTACTGAAATGGATGAATTTCCACTTGAAGAAAGCTGGATACGAGAAACAAGTTACAAACTTCTCTTCTGACCTAAAGGTGAGGGAAATGCTTACTAACATTGCATGCCGGTCTAGTCTAATAAATATCATCCAGCCTTCCTTATTAACAACCTTTTCTTATGTCCACCACTGCCTTTATTTTTATGCCTTTTAAATCAGTAAAGCAACTGTAGACCTTCTTGTTATGTTCTGTTGGCCTTGACAACGATCCACTAGTTTTCAAGGAAAAGATTCACAATATTGCCCTACATCATGCCAATTGCTGAATTTTTGTGTGGCTAGTCTTTTATGTGCTTGAGAGATGTTTCCACAGAGAGATATAACATGATTGCAAGTTGCATGAGTCTACTATATCTACAATTTCTTCTTTTTGCAGGATGGAGAGGCTTATGCTTACTTGCTGAATGCTCTTGCCCCAGAAGTGGCTGGCCCATCTGCCCTAACCACAAGTGATCCAACAGAAAGGGCTAGCTTGGTTCTTGAGCAGGCAGAGAAATTAGATTGCAAGAGATACCTCACTCCAAAGGACATAGTGGAGGGATCACCTAATCTTAATCTTGCATTTGTTGCTCAAATTTTCCAGCATAGGTATGGTTAGTTTAAGAGGTTGCAAATGTGCTAATGATTTCATTGAAAATTCATACAATAAGAACATTTTGGGATAAGCTTCTAAGAGCCCATGCTTTGGTTTTTCCTTTCTGAGAATGGGGGTGCCACCTATATCATGTAACATTGTCACTTAAGCTTATGTATTTCATTTGTTATGATTATCCTGAAATAGGCCTCTGAGTATAAGTAACGGTTCTTCATAATTGATTCATTTGTTTGGGAAGGGTTAGTGAAAGTTTAAGTTGGAAAATGTATACAGTAAAGGTTGGACTTGACTGAGTCCGATGGTAAGTTTCATTTAAACAAATCCTATAATCTATGTTACTTGTACTTTTGTAGGAATGGCCTTACAATATTTGACAGCCAGAAAATGAGCTAATGATTCAATTGAAAATTTATACAATAAGAGAACCCATTCTTTATTTCCCCGTTCTATGAATGGGGGTGGGGGTGGCTGCTATATCATGGTTGTCACTCAAGCTTATGTATTTCATTTGCATGATTATCCTGAAATAGGCCTTTGAGTACAAGTAATGGATACGGATCTCTCTAATTGATTCATTTTTTAGTGAGGGGTTACTGAAAGTTTAAGTTACATGTATACAGTACAGGATGGATCTTGAGCGGATTCAGATGGTAAGTTTCATTTAAATAAATCCAATAATCTCTTTTACTTTTACTTTTGTAGGAATGGCCTTACAACTGTTGACAGCCAGAAAATGTCCTTTGCTGAGATGATGACTGATGATGCAGAGACATCTCGGGAAGAACGATGCTTCAGACTATGGATTAACAGTCTTGGAATTGCCACTTATGTCAATAATGTTTTTGAGGATGTCAGAAATGGGCAAGTTTTCCATTCTTTACTTGACTCATCATCCGAGTCTTACATTTTTCTCATCATTTCTGTTTTCAACTAATGTCATCTTTTAATATTATCCTTAACTGTAACTACTGGTTCTGATTGTCCTTATTCCCTTTTATGCAGATGGGTTCTATTAGAAGTTCTTGACAAGGTTTCACCAGGATCTGTCAATTGGAAGCTGGCCACAAAGCCTCCTATTAAGATGCCATTCCGCAAAGTTGAGAACTGCAACCAAGTTATTCAGATTGGAAAGGACCTAAACTTTTCGTTAGTGAATGTTGCTGGTAATGATATTGTACAAGGGAATAAGAAGCTCTTACTGGGTGAGTTTCATCCTGTTTGTGGTGATTTCTTATTGGTAGAGAACTTTTTATAATTGGGTAGTGGGTTTCCTCTCTTTTAACATCTGCTTGAATTCTGTTTTGTCATCATACATTGGATATTTTGGTGGGTCAATGGGTTATTTTATGCTTCCCCTCTCTCTAGTTAAATCTTCCAACTGAAGATTATCAATAGCCAGGATTTGTTCTTGTGATTCATTACTGTGGTATATCAGAATGTTATCTATAGTGCTTATCGAAGTTACACCCAGGAAGATTTATTATTCCATTAGATTTGATAGACTTGAACATTTATTTCTGATACTTTAAGGAAGAAAATAAATTTTCTTTTTGGAAGATGAACAGTGTAAAATATGATTGTTGTAACCAGAGATAGTTGCTTGAAGGGTGGAAGCTTCAGCACTTTAAAGCTTTGAAACTAGCAGGCTTGAAGGTTTTTACCTTGGAAGATTGATTCTTCAGTCAGATTAATAGGCTTTAACATTTATTTCTGATTTTTTTAATAAAAAATAGTTGAGATTTAGAAAATGGGAAGTGATGATGTGGAGCAGATAAAATAAAGCCATGTAGCTCACTGCTAGCCATTTCATCTCTTAATAGGGTGGGTTCACTTAAGTTGGGGACTAAAACTATACACTAGAGTATCGAGAGACCAAAACAATAGAAAAACGACAAAGACTGAAATAAAAAACTACAAGGACTAAAGTTATCTGAGCCAGCCAGCAATATATTATTGGATACTTCTCTGATATTCTAACATTTTGTTCAAAATCTGCCAAATTATATGTCTAGGGATTATTCATCTCGGTTTTTTCTTGTCCCCAGCATTTTTGTGGCAGCTGATGAGGTTTAATATGCTTCAACTTCTGAAAAACTTGAGATCTCACTCCCAAGGCAAAGAGATTACTGATGCTGATATTCTGAACTGGGCGAACAATAAAGTGAAAAGATCAGGAAGAACTTCTGAAATGGAAAGTTTCAAGGTAATAGAACCATCTATTGAGAGTTGTGTGTGTGAATATGCAATTAATGCTACTCTTAATTTTACATTTCTTTATAACAATTATCAGTCTTAGACATTTTTACTACTCATGTTGGGAGAGAAATCACAGGCATCTGTTATCAATAGTACTAAAAGTAATTTTATTAAGGTATTGAATTAAGAAAAAGATTGTTCAATTTTATTAAGGGACGATGTGCATGATGGTGCTTTGATTTGGATTACAACTCATCTAATTTTTTTTATTCTGCTTCATCAGGATAAGAATCTTTCGAATGGCGTTTTCTTCCTTGAGCTTTTGAGTGTTGTGGAGCCAAGGGTTGTCAACTGGAGTCTTGTTACTAAAGGGGAGACTGGTATGCCAATTGAGAAATTATGCTGCTAGAATTCTGTTTGCAACTCTTTAATTTCTCATCATCAAGCATTATATTTGATATTAACGTGATGAGAATATGTTACCTTATGAGCAACAATTGGAGATTTGAAATGATTCTGTCACGAATTGCAGATGAAGATAAGAAGATGAATGCAACATATATAATCAGTGTTGCCCGAAAACTTGGGTGTTCCATCTTCCTGTTACCTGAGGACATACTAGAGGTAAGTTCCTAGATGATTTTAACATTAGTTTTCTAGTAATTATGCCAGTTGTCTACGATAAGGATTGTTTTGATTTAATCGGTTGCTAGATGATGTTTCTAAATCTTAAAATTGGAATGGTACGTTTCAACAATTGACCGGTTGTTGTATATGACGGAGAGATTGAGTGATTTATCCAACGTAGATAATATATATGGAAAAGCTTTTTCTTCTAGTATCTAAATATATCTTCATTGGGCTTCCTGCCCACATAAATGTTTCAAAAATGGCCATTAGTAAATCTTGCATATTACAGTATATTAATGCTTACCTAGATTTCATCAGACTTTTTATCTATCCTTTATTTGGCTGAGAAACTTTATGTCGGACTCTCCCTTATCTTGCATTTAACCTTGACAGGTCAACCAGAAGATGATACTCATTTTAACTGCTAGCATAATGTATTGGAGCCTGAAGAAACCTGAAGAAAACCACCCCCGTGAAGCAATGGCTATGACTTCAGTAGAAAATGAAAACGAAACAGATGTGGTTGACGATGTATCCAATTTAGCCATTGATGATACTGCTTCGGAGAATCCTAGCACTCCTTAAGTCATAAAGGTTGAAGAAAACCATAACCAATGGAGAATGAGTGGGCACAAAACACAATTTTGTTTATACAACTAAAAGAAGATGCCAACCTCTTGGTTCCCAGTTCGATAGAAGCTTATTGTTTATTATGAAAAACCACAGATAATAAGGATCTTGTAAATTCTTATTTTAGAAAGTTTCTTTTTTGTACTTAGGCATATTCTTTGATGAAAATTGCATGCAAAATTTCCCAATAATAATATGGGAGGAAGGCATCGTTTTATTCCTTCCAACTCTTCAGATTATTTTTAATGCGGTGCATCCATATACTTTTTGAAGTGTATGAACTGAACCAGGGATTATTTTTGCACTTCATTTTAGTGGGTTTTTAATTTCAGGTCTGGGATTCGATTACCATATAGGTAGTTCATTATGACAATTGGAGACCATGAATGCTAACTTTTTCTGTTTTCCTCCAAATTTCCTCAATTTTGTGTCAATGAAGCCAGCAAAATTGTAAAATTATACATGCACTCGTATAAAACAAAACAACAATATAAAGCACTTTCTTACTAGTTGAAGTTAGTTATGGGGCATAGTGTTTTGTTGTTAATCATGTTTGTAAATAAATTATTGACCACTACTTTTAACTGTTGTCCCTATTGACTCGACTTTCTTCATTTGGTTTACTTTCCTCATCAGTCTTATTAACACATATTCAGATCATTCAACTGCCATCCCAGCATTTTATTGCCTAAAATACACCCTTTCTACATTAATTAAGATTACATATAAATCTTCATTCTTCTGGTAGCTCTCCATTAAACGCCATAGCTAGTATATTGCTTTCATAATCGACCTCCTACACATGAGTTATTTTTCAGTTATGTGAATCGTTTTCGCCTTCCGTAATACCAACGTATCTAGTTTATATGATAAGCTTCAGTAGAAAAACTCAATCGGTCATTTTTATTTTTAATTATTAATATTTAATTTCAGTCATTTGTTTATACCTTAGATGATCATGGACTCATCCTATCCTACAACCATGAAAGAATAAAACTCTTATTTTTAGGCATAATGAACTAACTCTTCAATGACTTTGTAATTTGATCATTTTCTCTTTTCATTACAGAATAATTTAGGGTACATTTAGAGAAATTATTTAGTTAAGTTCTTCAAAATTTAACCTTTTTTAAATCTTTATTTTATTTATCTTGTGTTAGTCTTTAAAGTTATAAAAGTTATGTGCTTTTTCAGCTTTTATAGCATGTCATTCCCAAATTTCTTCTGAACTTATGTCATTGATAAAAATTGGTGAATAAAATCTTCTAAAGCAATAAAAACTATCTATATTGCACAAGAACACAAATAGGCTACCCTTTAGTTGATCTTTGCAACTTTCATCGACCATCATTATGAACAGAAGTACTGAACCGATGTTGATTGTTGAACCAAACCAAACACATCAACATATATATAATTGTAAACTCCCAGAGACGCAGAAGAAAATGAACAATGCATGTCTTCATTTAAACTCATCCTTCGCTAATCCATCTTTGCTTATCAACTTAGTCGTTAGTTGAAAAGTTGTAATAAACTATTTTACTAGTACTAGTCGTATTATGATTACCCAATCTATATTTTATATACATTATAAAACTGTCAAGACATCAATCGGAGTGATGATAATGAATTCAATCCTTCAACAAAGATTTCAGATTCACAATATTCGAATTCAAGATGTTGTTTAAGAAGTAGGTGGAAACATTTTGAAAATTAACTCCACCCAACCTCAACCATTCACCACGTGATCACATTTATTCATACACACCGTAATAATAATTCTTCTCATACTTCATTCATTACATAGCGTTGCTAATGCAAAACCAATTTCATATTTTTTAGCTGCTTTTCTTTTAACTCACCAAATCACTCCTCTGCGTAAGAAAATGCATTCAATCGAGTTCATAAGATGACTTGTTCGATCTAAGAAACACCTACCACCTTTAATTTCATCTAAATAAAACAATCAAATTTGATGTTGAAAGAGATTATAAGATTAATTAATAGTTTATGATGTCCATAACGAAATTTACATTTATGACCTACAAACATCCTGAAAATGAACAGGGCTTGTGTCATGCCCCGAGGGCGATTCCATTGGAGATTAAATTAGAAGAGCAACGTAACGTAGCATAACGAAACGTACCCCAAAAAAAAAAAGGAAGAGAGACAACAAAGCTAATGCTATTCATTAGCATCCGATCTAAGGGAATTTAACCGTCTGATCCTCTGATCAAGCTCCTTCATCACTTCAGGTTCTTGTTTTTTCCTTTGCTTTGATATCGTGTTTGTTGTCATCGAACCTATTTTATCAAATGCCACCTGCAAACACAATCAAACTTTATTTCAACAATTGCATTATTATTAAATTACCTTAGTGCCAAAATCTTCCTTATAGGTTAAACACACGAAATGATGATAACATGCAAACCATATAGTGCAACTAAAAATAAGATATCTAATAAAGGCAAAGATAGGAGATAGTGAAATGTGTCTCACTGTCAATAGATCATCCGGATCAAATAGGTGATGAGTGGTCAGCTGCAGAATGTTGATTACTTCACCAACATGATGGGTTAGAATTAATTCATCTTCCTTCATCTGCAATTGGGAGTCACAATTGTTGAAACATCCTTTCCAATGTAGCATACTCTTCTACATTTTGATAGAAAAAACAAGAAAGAACATAATGGCTACACTAGTGGTACCTTAAAGATTGCCAAGGCCACGTTAAATATAACCTTAGCACCCTCATAGAAGATAACATCCCACACGCGAAGAGTAGTCTGATTCATGGAAGAAGTATTAATATGGGGAACAATTTGACATTGCGATGTAGAATTTATTGCAGCATTGTTCTAACCTCTGAAGGCAGGCTTTTTGAAAAGAGGCAAAGGAACCACTCGGTAGCAACAAGGGAAACATCAAATTCCAAAGCTTCTAAATGACTCGCAATCCTGCATTTCCATCACTACAGTTTTCAGAAGATACTAGGAATCAAACATATGAGACACAGTTAACACATCAAATAAAAATACCTTGGACACTTTTTAGCCAGTAAATCTTTAAACACTCTTTGTTCCACATGGCATCCTGACAAGTTGTTTGTGTAACAATCATTAACCAGGACATTTTCCAACAAGACAGCAAGCATCCAAAATGCATCTTCTTCTGTCTTCATGACAAGCAACAACAATGCTGCCACGTAATTTAATCCCTGGAGCAATAGCATAGTAGAGTCAGCAATTGAGAAAATATGTGCCCAGGTATGCATGCAATATTTTTCATTTTCAAGTAAACCAAGTGTAATTGAGCATTGTCAACTTCGATTTAACTGAAGAAACTTTGTGGAGCTATAGTGGCTGAAGCAGTTGAGAAAACAAATGTAGGTACAACATTGAATCTAATCCATGCTTCAGTCACGCCATGTTGTTAATTTATAAGAGTGAGGGTTGAGAAGCAATAAGAGAACATTTAACCAGCATGTTACTAATTTGTGAACACATAACATCTAATCACAAAAGAAAAGAATAGACGACGCGTTTATTTTTATTTTTTTTTCTTTCATGCTGATAAGAAGCATTTATTGAATGAATGAGGAAGCCACAAAAGATATTTCTCTTCAAATACCTAATACAAGACAGAGGTAGGTAGTATCAAATTTATATTCATAACAAGTCAGAACATTGGTTTTCATGTACTTAGAAGAGGGAAGCTACTTCAAAAGAAAGAGCAGAGCAAACCCACCTGACAATACCCAACATCAGAATCACGGAAGGAATAAGCAACAAGAACCCGTCTGAGAGCAGCATGCCCGGCGGGTGTGTCCAGCCAGGGGTGGCCAGGGAAGGTTCGTGGTAGGTCCTGCAAATATGCTTATGGAATGATTAGAAACAGAATGTAATGAGCATTGTAACAAGTGGACAGGTTCAAACTCAAACAAAAATCAATAATCAAACATCATTTTAAGGATCGCATCAAACACCCTGAAGAACAGTTGCGTTTCCAAAACCATTAAGTGGACATTGTTAATTAAGTAGATAAAAAGCTTCCACATACCAACAAATGTACAAAAGCCTACAGCCCTAAACAAACTTCATCCCTAATCTGTACCAAGGACCACACAAATTCCCATCTCTTTCTGATCAGCGTTTACCCAAAGCTACATTTTGGCTCAACTAATTGCGTGCACTCGAAGAACGTAAATTGTTCAAAAGGGATATACCCATACGGCTCAAGGATCCTAATTGTAAAGGTTACAAACATAGGGCTACAAAAGCTTCAATTCTTACAGATCTTCCTTAACCTCGATATCATCCATAAATAATAAACTTTACTAATAGAGGAAAAACACACAAAAGAAACACAGACAATCATTCATCAAATTCTGCAGCAAGATTTTCTCTGAATTCTCTTTCAGAAGACACACACAATGCAAAGCCCATACAAAGTCATTTCTCCATCAAAATTCATTTGAAAAGGATCCACACACACACCTGCAAGCACTTGTCAAATAAAAGGCAACCAAACAAGCCAGAAGGATGATGATGTCCAGAACCATAATTAAGAAACTTGTAATCAAATTCAAAACCAAACCCAACAGTGTGCGATGATCATAAAAAAAAAGGGATGAGCTCCTCACATGATCTATCTGCCGGGTAGCAGGGGTGACCTTCCCCTCCACTGCTTTCGTCAAATCATCATAATAACTGTCAGGCACGGTGGACTTTTTCTTGGCTGCCCCTGACAAAGAAAACCAAATCTTAGGCCTAAGAACAGGGGGTATCCCCTTCCTGATCAACTTCTTCAACGTGATAGCATTAGTCAGAGCCGAGAATTTCAAGGAGGATGTAAGGGCACTGCCTGGCCCTATGGTGGTGTGCAAATACCAATTTGCCCCTTTGTTGGCCTCCAATGCCCACCAAACTCTTCCCTGTTGCCTCACCTTCTCCCTTACCTCATTCAACACATTCACATCATCTACATTCCCTTCAACTGTGAATCCATAAAGGTCTTGGAATTTCACGGTCAGATTTGCCCTCCTGGAATGGATGCTGGGCCTCAAAACTGATACCTGGGATTGGTATTCAAAGGCAAGGTCAATTTTGCTTTTGGTCCCATACATTTTTTCTTGCGTCAGATCAAGAAAGATAGCCAAACAATGGGACTGGGCTTGGCTTGGCTTGGGCGTGCAGACTAGGTTGTCTTATGGATTACAAAAAGGAAGGACCTTGTCAAATAAGAAAATTACCCACTAGTCTGAAAACGTGACACGGTCCATTATGAGGACCTGGGTGCTTGAGATTAGGTGAGGAGAGGCAGCAAATTTGTCAAAAACAAAATGGGTGCAACAAGATTTGGGGAAACAAGGGTTGGAGTCAGAAATTACAACAAAAGGGAAATAGTTTTGAAAGACCCTTTCTGCATCCTTGAGGAAGCTTGAGACCTTGATGTATTGAGCTCGGACATCTCCGGTGCGTCTATCAAAAACACTCAGAAATGTGAATTGTGGGCAGAAAAAAGGAGGGGGCTGAATATTCAAGCAAAAAGAGATGAAGAAACAAGTGGGAAAGAAAATGGAAAAAAAGAAAAAGAAAAGGAAAAAAAAAGGGGTAAAATCAGGGAAACTACAGATCCTTTAAGATGAATGTAAAATAGAAAGAGGAAAATGGATAATGAGATGGGAGTGGTGTAAGAAAAGGAACGGACTAGAAAGAATGGGACAAGAATAAAAGGCTGGAATTTAGGAAGAATTTTTGCATAGAAAGAGTGTAAAAACAGAACGGAGAAATAGGGATGGCAATCCCAGCTGGTGGCAACCTCTCGCCTCTGCTACAAACGCTCTCTCCTCTCTTCCTCTTTCTTTCATTTTTGTCTACTCATTTCAATTTCACCTTTTCATATATTATAAAATTACTACAATTATTATAACGTTAAAAAAAAAAAAAAAAAAAAAGGTGTTGGGTTTAGGTGAGTTGATTAAAATCCATAACTCATCACAAAATGTTTTGAACACATTCAATGTCTCCATTTGGATCATAATGTCTACTGTCTTTTTCTCACACTTCCATGTTTGCATAATTGTATCCTCTATAATTTCTATTTTCTACATTAAATCAATAGTTTTTAATTATTTGCCATATTTTTATTTTTTTATGGTAAGTATTAAGTGTGTCGTGTATTTTAAGACATTCAATATTTTCAATTTTTTTAGACTCATTTTACTTTATTCATACCCATTAAAGCATCTATTTTTATCCACAACAGATTTTATCACCCCATAAAGATTTATTTTGCCATCGTCTTCCTACTCATAATACTCGATAAATGGATTTTATATAATCTTTAAATTTAGGTATTTAAGGGACCACTAAATCCAGATCTACAGATAAATCCTACACAATCCTATCCTAAATTTGAGGTTTGTTTTAATTTACTAAAATAGATTTTGCTTTATTCAATGTTCATCTAATGCTTACAATTTGCTAACTACGTGTGATGCATCCAAAACTGAAAATAGGAAATTAAAAAAAAAAACGTTTTGATTCTTACGCATAAATAATTATATTAATGATTTTAGTTTGTTATTCAAAAAAAAAAAGTAAACTTGAGTGAATAACTAATTAATTGAGATTAGGTTTTCTTGAAAGTAAAGTTTGAATTTTGTTTACTGATTAAAAAAACTACGCACTTGTCCAGAATGAGTTTTTCCCATACAACACATGTAACGATACAAAGTCAAAATCGTGTAACTAGAAAGGAATGGTTCAAAATTTAAATGTATCACGTTACAAAGATAGTATATGATTTCCCATAACGTGCTTAGTGTTAAGAAAATGTGTTCATTATTTAATACAGTGTCACAATAAGTCGTGCCTATGACTCTGTGCTGCAAGGTCAATCAAAAATCAAAATACTAAATTTATTTTCATCTGTAGTAAGAATCCATTTATATTATTTAAATATTTTTTTAAATCCCATTTATAAGTATAACACTTAATAATAAAATTTATCTGTGTTTACTTTGCTTTAGTCTACATGGTTTCTCTTCATGATTTGTGTTATGCTTTTCTACCATTTGATTTAGTTTTCCAATCATATTAGTTGGTAAAAGTAAAGGGTAAATTGGTAAATTGGTGAGGACACGTTTTCTCTTGACACGTGTTGTACAGTTATGTTATTGTTTTGTGACCCACAAAATGATTATTTGGATTTGAGCAATGTGGGGCCTGTTTGGTAGGCCCGTCCTTTCACTAGCGCCAAATGGAAAAAATCACGTTTGCCTCACACTATTCTTCTTGTCAAAGTTATGGATAAGCCTCACAAAAGCTTCAGCCCAATAATTATCATGGTAGAAAATTTGTTTTACCTATATTCACGTAATATTTAAAATATAATATAAAAATCAATAACTTTTTTTTATTAAAAAAGAGTGAATTAGATTAATAGGCCACAATGCAGGTGTTCTTGTTACATGGGCCGGCTCCGTTTCTACATTGGGCTCAACCGGCCTGTTGACGTCCGCATGGGTCCCACTTTCTTCTGAATTCGACAAATTTAAGCCGTTCTTCACCGGTCCATGGTCATTTCAATCCATCCACACAATTTTGATATTTAGTAGGAGTCTATGGATAAGAATAAGAATGATTAATGTCTATCTTCTATAAGTTTTCATATTTATTATGATTATATTGTTAAATTAATTTTTATATTTAAGATATTGATATTTTAAAATATTTGAATTAGTAATTTAAAAAATAAAAATATATATAAATTATTTTTTACTTCATCTCTGAAATTCATGTTCTCGTAATCTATTCCCTAATTATGTCCAAGATTTTACCATAATTTCCAGCCAATCAAAAAGATTAATTACAGGCGCATTGCATGCATGCATGATTTGTAACCAAAAAAAAAAATCCTTGCTTCCACGCTAAGCATAATTGACTATGCCAACTTTTGAAAAAGGTTAAAACTGTATGTAGGTCCTTCTAAAGAAAGAACATGTTTAGGTTTTAGTCCTTGAGTCCTTGTATTATAAGAATAGATTGTTCCTATCACCAACCAAATGTAACCATGCTTATATGTGCTCAAGATGATAGCTGCTACCAAAGAACCCCATTAAAACTAAAACTGCAGATGCTCCAAATAATCTGTGAACGATGTCAGAGTTTAGTATATTCTCCCCCGCCACAACGGTTGGGAAGATTTTCAGGGATGGATGGTGTAAAATGAACCCTAAGCAATCAAAACGAACCTAACTGTGATAAACCTACCTTATGTTATGGAGTGAATCTTAAAGCTTCTGTACCAGTAACTAGTTGGGAGATCTAGAATCCTCTTAAACCTAAAAAGTAACTATAATGCTTGACCCTGATTAGTTTTTGAAGTATATACATCATTTTCAATGCGCAAGAAGCTCAATCTTGAAACAGCTGATTTTCTGCTAATTAATTTAGTGGTTTTTTAGCTTAATGGTAATTAACGATTTCAAATTTTAGATGAGATCCAATTTTCCATTTTTTTGCTCAAATTACATTTTTCATAGAATTAATTAAAAAATATTATTTTATTAATAAATGAAGTTGTTCAATGGTTTTTTTCATATCAGTTTAGTTTGATCCATCACTCTCTCAACTCGATCTTCAACCTTTGTCAGGTTCAACTTCACAGTTGTGCCCAAGCCACAACGTCTCAGATATTTATGTCTCAAACACTACATGGACACTGCATTTTTTATTAGTTTTTACTTTTGTTTTTAGAACTTTTGTGCTGATACATGTTGGATTTTTTTTAACAATTATAAACTTTCTAACTGTTTGTTATTGTAGTGTCACCTAAAATCAGTTCAAGCTTAGCAAGACTAATGTGTGACTTTGGATTCTGAGTCATGCCGTGAACTACACGTTTGGAAAGAATTGAAACTGAATGTGGTTGAAACAATATATGACAGAGGAACTTGAGCCAGGATCCAAGCACAGCACGGGGGAGAAGGAGGGAGGAGGTAAGTGCATATCTGATGAAGAAGCCTTTCTGTTTGCCAATGAACTAGCTGGTGCTTCTGTTGTTCCATGGTCCTCAACTCAGCTCTGGAACTTGGCATCTTAGAAACTGCAGCCAAGGCTGGACCTGGAGCTTACCTTTCTCCTTCTGATATAGCTGCTGAGATCCCAAATATAAAGAGCCCTGATACACCTGCCATGCTGGATCGCATGTTGCGCCTCTACAACATCCTCACACACTCTCTCCTTCAATTCCCTGATGATAAGGCACTATATATGGTCTTCACCCAAAAGCCGAATACTTTGTCAACAATGAAGATGATGCGTCTGTGGCTGCTTATTTTCTCATGGCACAGGACAAAGTCCTCAAAGACATATGGTAAATTGCTAAGATTCAAAGCAGTTACTCAAAGAAGCAGTGACTGATATAAAAATACTCCTGTTAAAGGAAAGATTGTGGGAAACATTTTCAGTTGAGGAGGGTGGATTTCCATTTAACAATGATTATGGAATGAGTGGCTTTGAATTCCATGGTGCAAATCCATGATTTAGCAGGCTTTTCAATAAGGGGTTGTCTGATTGCTCTGTCATCACAATGAAGAAGATTCTTGAAAAGTATAATGGGTTTGAGGATGTTGGATCTTGAAAAGCATGATTGCCGCCAAATATTCCACCATAAAATGTCTTAATTTTGACTTACCCCACGTCATTATACAGGTGCTTACAACTACAATTTAATAAATGGTTGGATTTTAAGACATTAGTTACATATTAATTAAGATGGGTGTTTGGTGTTAGGTGCAGGTGTGGAACATGTAGGTGGAGACATGTTTGTGAGTGTTCCAAAAGCTGACGCTATTTTTATGAAGGTATGTTATTAATTTTAATTTCTTCATCGATTTTCATTAGCTTATGTTTCACTATGAGTAATGTTTAAAGATAAGTTTGAGTTTCAAATGGATATTATGATGTTGTGTCATAGCCCAAGCAAAAAGAGAGAACAGAGAAAGAGTACAAGGCATTGGCTGAAGAAGCTGGATTCCATGCATTTCGAATTGCATCTTTTTCTCTCAATACTTTTGTTATGGAATTCCTTAAAAAGCCCTAATTCTTATAACATCTCCAATCATAATTTCTTCAAGATGTCTTCATCTTTTCACTTCGTGAGTTTTGAGAATAAATTGTTGACTATTTATGAGAGATTTTATCTTATCCTTAAACTTTAGTGACAAATTGTCCATGTACAGAATGTTAAATCTATTTATTATTATGAAGGAATTGTTAAAAAAGAACTTAAATATATTTTAAATTTCTATAAAATAATTGAGTTCTAATTTTTCTTTTTATATATATTTTTTTAAAACATTGAAATAGATTATGTTAACATTTATAAAATAAGTAAATTTTAGTTTTAATTTTGTAAATTATTTTTTTATTCATCCAAAAATTGAAATCATTCATTTTGGTCTTTAACATTTATCATAAAGTGGATAAATAATATTTACTTTATGGTTTTTTTTTTTTAAATGTGTCACTAGTAATATATAACAAACATTACATAACCGAAATAACTGATAATTTTTTTACTGGAACCAAAAATTCAAAATAATTAATTTTATAAATACAAAATCATATTCAAATATATATATTTTTTATGAAAAATAGGCTAAAGAAGACTTTTTCTTCTTCCCACCCCTAAGTTTTATAAACATAATATAATAAAATAATAATTTTATATTTTTCAGATAAAAATACGACCTCTCATTTAGATACTAAGCAAGGGTTCAATATTCAACCAACTCATATTCATGAATTAGCATAATTTCCATTTTCTTAAATTGATATTACTAAATTTATCTAATAATTAAACGATGTTAAACTACAATTTTTATAATTTCTCACTTGAATGATATTATTTTAATTTTTGAAAACGAAAATCATTAAAATAACATTCATATGTTTTGCTTAAAAAGATAATAATAGAATGTTAGTAATATAATTGTCATTCGTGTTAAAAAATAGATGTAGTTGATGACATTCTATAACATCTAGTTTTCTAGTTTTGTTCATATAATTAGTCATAAATTAATTTAAATATAAATATTTTAAAATAATTTTCAATATTATTGAGTTAATAGAAGTTGATAAAAGAATGTAATGATAGTGGATCGCATTTTAAATTTTGACTTTATCTTCGTTTTCGAATGATTTTTTTAAAGTCAACTCTTAAAAAAAGACAATAATATATTTAAAAATAATATAAAGTGAAATTTATTCTGACTCCATCTTTTCGTATAAAACTCAAAAATAATAACTCACAATATTTTAAACATTAAAATTGATATAATAATGTTACATGATAATGAACATTATTGTCTAAAAAATAAAATAAAATTTGATGGTCCAATATTAGTTATGGAATCTATAAATTATTTGGTAAAATATATATCAACCTTAATACATATTTTTTAAAATCAAAATGAATAAAACAAGAACAGTTGGATCAATAGTGAAAAAATGTAGCATTCCCTCACCTGTTACCCATGTTATATTCTGTTCACCTACACGATTACTTTTGTTTTTTACCTCCTTCATTAAATTTATTTGATTCCATTTAGATATAAATTAAGATTCTAGATAAATGTCATATTAAAAATTGCATTCTATAACAGATGTATTTGAGATAATCGTGAAAAAAAAAAAGATTTTTTCAATAACGGATTATTTTTATAATTGATAAAAAAAGATAATATTTAAAATCATTATTTTAAATAAGTTTGTTTGAAAGTTATTTTAAAATAAGTAATTTCGTTGGGAGAAAAAAAATCATTAATTTTGTAAGGATAAAGAGTATATATGAAATTGAAAAAAAAAAAAACAGTTGAAAAATAGATCATAAATCTACACTTTTTCATATTTAAAATTTTAACGTATTTTTTTATAAAAAAAGTTTTTACAAATTTAAACTTTTATCCTGACACATACAATTGAAATTTTTATTTATTTTTTATCTAAAACAACCAAATCTTGTAAATAACACTTTAATTACTTAATTTCACCATACTTATAACTATAGAAAATGTAAAATTAATTATATAATAAAAAATATTTTTTAAATATATATAATTGAATGTAAATGTTTTTATTATATTAAAAATATAAAATTGTAAATTATTACAAAGTGTTAATTTTATACAAATAATTTTTTTTTCAAATAGTTTTTTAACCATGTCCTTAACCGTTAATATATTATGATATATTTTTTAAAAATTTACATGTTACAATTCTTGTATTTTATATACACCACTAATTTTAATTATTATTATTTTTTACAGTGATAGAAATAATTGTCCTTTTTTTATTATCTGATCTGAACCATATTATACTGGAACTCATCCTATAAAGGGTTGTTTGCACACAATGCGGAGGGGAGTTTATAGTTTGAAACCCATCTTACGCGTTGACATTTTATTGGAAGAGTGACCAGCACTTTCCAATCAGACACTGACACGTGGCAAAAGAAAGGTAGCACAACGACACCGTTTCCAGTTTCAGCTAACACTTTGTTGAGATTAAAATCAGCAACTGTGTCTGTCGTGTCGTGTTTCATAGTTTTCTTCGTCAAAATTTGAGAAGAGACACACTCACAAAGGTATGTAATCATGTTATGATTTTGTGGATCCGTGTGTTTAAGATGGATGTGTGAATTAATCTATTGTTTGGCAGATGAGATTATTATCGTTGAGGCATGTTTTGATGTTCGCGGTAATTGGGGCATTGTGGAACTTGCAAAGGTCAGAGGGTATTCGATTTGTCATTGACAGAGACGAGTGTTTCTCCCATGATGTCAAGTACGAGGGTGACACTGTTCATGTCTCTTTTGTTGTTATTAAGGCTGATTCTCCCTGGCATTACGGCGACGAAGGTGTCGATCTCGTGGTAGGTTCTTTTTTCTTATCTTTCTCGATCTCCTTCTCTGTATCGGATAATGGTTTTGTTTGACCTTAATTTTGTGCTTCGTGACTCTTGATGTAAATTATTATTATTCATTGTTTTCATATATGTTTTCATTGTTTGACCTTAATTTTGTGCTTCTGAAGTTTTCATATATGCTATTTAGAATTGATAGGATCTGTTTCAAAATTCTGATCAAAGAAGGGTATAGAACCATAGGCACATGAATACAAAGTCAAAACTAACCATGTTTCGCGTACCTGTTGTTGGCTATTGGTTTAGGGTTTATATAGGAACAACCATCAATTTCATCCTTCAAATCTTACGTTCCCTCTAAATGATCCCTAATGTAAAAAAAGAAAACTCCTACCAATTGAGGGGATAACACTTGAGGAACGAAATTGATGGTTTATTCATTTGTATGCTCAAGCTAAATATATTATGTACATCTCTCTATTCACACCTTGGGGTGCAGAAGAAGATTTCCGTGTTTTTCTTTACCACAACCGTGAAACTGATATTTGTTTCTAGATCTTGGGATGTTCTATTAAACATATACCCCATTCTGGAAATTTTTATTCACTGCCCATGCTGAAATATTGGAGGGTATTACAGCAAAATCTAATGCTTATGTAAACTCCAAATGATGCAAAAAGATTATCAACGGTTAGGAGATAATTCACTGTGCAAAACAGTTAAAAATTGTTTGATTTGGTAAGCATGAGTACTTGTAGTCATAGATAGAGATGTTGTGCATCATATGTAGTTGTTTGTATGTATCACCTTTTACATTTACAATCATATATATAAATGGTCCACCCACATATCTATTTCCGTATTTGTGTGATACAATTGTTTAACATCTATATCTTTAGCAGTTGTGCAAATCTACATTCTGCATACGCACTTTGATAGGAATTACCTTTCTTTGAAATTATCTTTCCTTTTCCTTATCATCCTAAATTATCATATATCGGAATCTCATTGCACCACAACGTAAGAATTTCAGGTAAAGGGACCTTCTGGTGAGCAAATTCATGATTTTCGGGACAAGACCAGTGAGAAGTTTGACTTTGTGGCTCACAAATCAGGGGTCCATAAGTTCTGCTTCACCAACAAGTCTCCTTATCATGAAACTGTCGATTTTGATGTACATGTTGGTCACTTCTCTTACTTTGAGCAACATGCGAAAGATGGTAATGCCTCTTCTATGAAATCCTCTTATATTTGCGTTTCCTTAATTGTTTAGTCTAAAACAATGCTCTTTACAATGAGAGAATTTTTGTTGAAACTTTTGTGACTGTTTGCAGAACATTTTGCCCCTTTGCTGGAGCAGATAGGGAAATTGGAGGAAGCTCTCTACAACATTCAGTTTGAACAGCATTGGTTAGAGGCTCAGACTGATCGTCAAGCAATAGGTAATTGTTTAAGGTTTACTTTTTCTGTTTGTCTTACCATTTTCTCACATTTGTTTTATTTGTGTTAAAGATAAAACCCTAGTTTTTGTATGCCATCTTGTTTTTTTGATTCTTCATATTATTTTATAGTAAATTCCTGTCCCCAATGTGATCATCCTAATTTATTCAGCTAGCATACCAAAAGAGACCACCCTGTTGAGAACACTGCTTCATATCTTTCAGATAGTGTTCACTGGCTTTCCTTTGAGATCAAATTGTTCCCTATTCTGATGACTTAGGCAGTGTCTATGATTGGATTAAAATTGGGGAAAACTTTTGCAAATACAATGTCCATTTGGTGGCTTATGATCTGAAAAACAAAAACAACATACTAATAATCATCGCACTTATTGACTGCGGATGAAATGTCTTGTTGACTAATGTTTGGTATATGCAGTGAACGATGCAATGAGCCGAAGAGCAATACACAAGGCAATTTTTGAATCAGCAGCACTAATTGGGGCTAGTGCGCTCCAAGTCTACCTTCTACAGCGATTGTTTGAACGAAAGTTGGGCACCTCAAGAGTTTAGAGCTTCCAAGTGTTTTTTGGGAACCTGTAACAGTACAAATGAGAATTATATTTCAAATCTTTTTTTTACTGTTTTCATCACATGGATATTTATATAACTAGTTGTTCACCCCTACTCATAATACCTGTGGAAAGATGTTATTCAATGTTAATTATAGTTCATTTTCGATGACCTACCTTTCACTTTATTTACCCTGTTTTAAGCTCTTATGGCGTAAGAGAAATTATTATGTACTTTTTTATTGCACCGTTTTTAACGCACATCTCTTTCTCTTGTCAGTATTGAGTACTTAGGTAAAATATCTCATTTGAATTATTTTTATTTTGAGAAATATAAAATATAAATTTATTATCACTTATTATCATTTTTAATTAAATAATTCATCTTTAATTTTATTCTAATAATTTTTTTATTTTTTTATTGATTTTATTTTGTTTACTTTTATAAGTTGCTTAATAAAATAATTATAAAAAAATTTAATCTGTGAAAGAAGATTCTTCTCATTGAAAATTGCTGATAGTAACTCAAATTTTATTTAAGTTGCTTGAAATAATTAAATTTTTATTTATTTTTATTTAAGTTATGTAAAACAACTAAAATTTTATTTTACTTTAAGTAACTAAACTTTTATTTAAGTCATGTAAAGTAACTAAAATTTTATTTAACTTGTTGAAATAATTAAAACTTTATTTAATTGAAATTTTATTTAAGTTATTTGAAACAATTGAAATTTTATTTAAGTTCCTTGAATCAACTAAAAAAGGTGACTAAACTTTCATTTAAAACATGTAAAACAACTGAAAATTTATTTAACTTCTTTAAACAATTAAAACTTTATTTAAGCCCTCTCACCAAACAATTTTCTATGGTATATTTATTATTTCTTTAAATATAAAGAAGAAATTTTTTTCACAATTATGCAATGCACATGGGAAACAGGATAATTTAAATCTTCTCGATTGTTATAGCATGTACCAATAAATCATAAATCAGAAAGAGATAGCAAATGATGCTGACCATATCCATTAAATAAGAATATAGTTACATTCAAATATCGAACTCCAATATAAAGATTGGAGGATACATGAATGGATAAGAAAAAAAAAATCTGAAAGAATGAGGTGTGAAACCAACAAGTTTTGAACAAAAAGAAACTCCGGTAACAATTCACCAGAAATCGCATGTATCACGCGATATTTGTTTCTTAATAATGTCCAAAGTACACTACGTATGTATATAGAGCAAAGATTCCAGCAGGACCCATCATAGCTTTAATGAAGCTCCAGATTTCCGGGAATTATGCTGAGGCCTGGTAAGGCAAAGTTATCATCCTACATTTCCAAACTGTCATGAATTGAAAAAGCCTCCTCATGATTCTGCAGATGTGCGTACGCAGCAGAACCATTTTTTCTGCAATAATAAAACGGATGGAGAAATCAAGGCAAAAAAGTCAGTGTCCAATTCACAGGTTCACTGTTCACGACATGTCACGAAGACATCATCAAGTGGATGGAATAAAGGACCAAATGCAACTATTTATCCCAATCCAATCAAGTTTTTTTATCGTGTGTCTTCTATTGCATCACATCAAGCAAGGGCTCAGAGGACAGTAATCCAAACTTGATTAGTTAAGCATAAAAGCACATCGCAGCAAATTATATAAGCTGTTGAATTTAAATGGAATAAAAGTTGCTACTCCTTTTTTAGCGGAATACACCAAAAAGCTTTTATCTCCTAAATTTTTTTAAAAAGTGACTCCATTGTCGACCTGGTGGTCATATATATATATATATATATATATATATACAGATACATATAGTAGCATCTCATGCTTATCACCCTTGGTGGGTTTCAGAGATACATAGCTCTATCATCATCAACCTCGTAGAACTCTCTGTCAAATCCCAAAAATTTCAGATCTATTATATTATGGTTTCAACAAGACCTTAGTTGAACAAATACTAGTTCCTCCTAATCAAGAATAAACATAAACGAGACGATCCATGTTTTTAGTAGACATCAACATACAATACGAGAATTTGAGCATGAAACAAGAGCCCTCTTCATGATTCATGGAGGTGCCCCCATTTAAAGTTAAAAAGAAAAAAATAAATGAAAAACTTACAAAACGGGGCTTGCAAAGAGAGATTTGAAGGTTGCGTTGTGGTTTCGGCTTAGAGGGTAACTGGGCCTTAGAACCAGACTTCGTCTCATTGCTGGCTTTGGTGAAGATTACGGAGAAATCACTACCTGACGATGGATCATTCACATCCCATTCCCCAAACTTAGGTAATGGTCTACCCTTCTCCTGTAGGTCATTGCAATCCATGTTCATAATCGAATTCAAATTAGTTAAAATTGATTTGCAAAAGAAAAGACGGAGATGAAATTGTGTTGCATAGTTACCGCCATAGTCGCAGATGATGCAGGAGGTAGGAGGATGATGGATGTAGGTTTAGTTGAAGTGAATCTATTGATGTATATGTTAATGTAATGTAATATTTGTTGGTTCAACCTTTCTTCTTTTCTTTGATTTTCAGTTTCAAAGGAGGAAGAAGAAAGATACAGAGCATCCGAGAATCAGAGAGAAAACAAATAGTGAGAGTGCGCAAATTTCACTCAGATTGTGGGGCCTACCTTTCCACCCTTTTCAGCCAATTATGCTCAACCATTCTTCTTCTTTTTTTCTATCATCTTAATAATAATAATAAGATATTTCTTCATTTTTTTCATTTTGTGCTCTTTACATTTCATTTTATTTTAAAAGGTGATAAAAAATAGTTTAAAAAAATTATAAAATTATACATATTTGTTTTCGTAGGTGATGTCATGGGATTAATTATGACTTCATAAGGCAAACATTCAGGTAGATGCATACAAATTGGATCACTTTTTTTTTTTTTTTCATATACTCTTTAATCATATGTTAAAGAAATATAATTATTTTTTATTTTTTTTATCTTCTTTTTCACATACATGAATCACGTGCCATACTTATAATTTGATGTGAAATTCATGACAAGCACATCATTGAGAAGTTTGGTAATTAAAATTTGAGGTTAATACATACTTAAGGAAACAAACTTTTATTTTCAATTAAAAAAGAAGAACAATGAAATATAAGGGCAAAAGTATAAGGAAAAAGGAATTTTTACATATAATTGGTGTGCTTTGAGAGCTGATGAGACAAGGTGATAAAGACAAATTGTATTATGGGAACATGACAGCAAAGGTGAGTAGTGAATTGAATTCAGAGAATGAAATAAAGAAAAGTTGATTGAACTTCAACCTGGAGACAGCAACAGAGAGAGGTAGATTTGTGCAATAGAAGAGAGAAGGTGATTGAAGTCAAACATTAAGAGCGTTGTCTGGTTTGGAATGGGAATGAGAGGGAGGAGGCGAAGGGAAAGAAGCCCCAGGAGGTGGAGCGGGCATCCCGTAAACTTGAGGGTTGGTCTGAACCTCTTTCCTTCCTCTGGCTCTTCCGAAGAAGTAACATCCAAAGCCAAGAAGAAAACAGAAGATTATGAATGGGAGAGAGATCACTACCACCATCCCCATCTTCGATCTCCTTCTTCTTCTCTGAATTGAGAGAGTGTGTGAGACTCAGAATTGAAGTTTGGTTGCGTTGAGTTGGGAAGGAAGAAGAGAGAATATTTATTTATAGAAAGTGGAATGAGGCAAGTCTGGAATTGGATTCTTCTGTCTTTCTGTGTGAGGAGGGCTTAACGGTCAATTTTCTAACGGCCACTTTTCTGTCCCACAACACTAGCTGGCATAAACTTCACTTTTTCTTTGTTTTCTTTTTCTTTCCTATTCATCTAATAATCATATCAAGTTGAATTTCATTTAGTTTTATTTTAATCCATCATTCATGATTTCGTTTATATTATTTTTTTAGTTTTTTTCATAGTTAAATATATATTTTTTTATGACATTTAGTTTTGATAAAGGTTAATTAATTCATCTTTAAAGTAAAACATAAAGTTAATTTCATTTTTTATTAATTAAATATTAAATTCAGATAAAAAAATATTAAAATAATTTATTTTATAAAATAACTTATTAATAGTTAGTTAATTCTTAATATTATATTATATTTAAATATAATACACAATTTTGTTCGGTTTAATTTAATTTTGTATCTTCAATTTAAAATCTCAACTAAATAATTAAAAAGCAAGTAATAGAAAAACTAAAATAAAATTATTTTAATTTTTTTAAATTAATTTTTAATTGATTAAAACCAAATCAATTTTAAATATTCTCATGTTTTACTATTATTATTATTATTATTATTATTATTATTATTATTATTATTATTATTTATTAGATGTGGTTTAATTATTTATTTTTAAGAAATAATGAATGTCAAGACAAATGATTAATAATTATTTTTTCTTTGAATTATAACATTTTTATTTTTTTCTTTCTCAAGATAAAAAAATGATTACAAAATAAATCTTCTTTGTATATAATTACGAGCATCGACAAGATTAATAGTTGGTTATTTAAATTGAGTCGTTTTTGTCATTAAGATATTTATGATTTTAATTTCTATTATAATTTTGATTATATAAAGATTAAAATGATTAATTTATATTTTAATAATTATAAAATAAAAGCATGAATATAAATGTAGAATAATGATTCTGAATGTAATTTTATACTCTAATATAACAAAAATAAACATAGTTCAATAATTGAGCGTGTTTTAAGTTTAATTGTGATTCCCATCTCCTTATGGTTTGTTTTCATTATTCTTACTAGTTAACCAATAATTGGTCAGTTATTCTTATGTTGCTTCTTGAAATAATGCTAGCCAAAATAGACATCCATTTTTTTTTTTTATCTTGATATGTTAGTGAATCTAATTTTTATAGCCTCCCCAACACCCTTAAAAAGAGAGAATACTCTCGACACAAACCTTGCTGAATGAGAAATTTCGAAAGGTAAAGTTTACTTTCTGCGTCTTTTGTGACACTCGAATTAATGGTTGATGTGGGTAAAGGATGAGGTTCTAAACACCAAAATCATGGGGTTATCTTTAAGTGTAAGGGAATAAAAACCATCCTATTGTTTTCCAATGTCTTTAACATATATATTAAAAAAAAATAGGAAAAAAAAATTGATTGAAAATCACAAGTACAATAAAAATCACATATTAATAAAAATATATTGCTTGAACTTTTAATTAATGTCTTAGTATGCTGGTTGATTAATAAATATATATTTCGAAAACCATATTCTAAATACTGATTTTGATCGATTTTACCCGAGTAAACCTACAATATATAGTCCAGAGTAATAATAAATTTGCAGACACAAATCGAAACCATAAATCAAAGTATGTCAGTAACATACAAACAGAACTTTTTTTTTTTTTTATTGCTTAAGGTTCTACTTCGACACTAAGAAGTTCACAATCTAAGACTTAAACCTAACAATTATGTAACTAAATTTCTGTTCACCCTTTCTTTCCTTTCTGATCTTGTAACACATTTTGAAATTTGCATGTACGCTGCTAAAGGTGGCGGGATCTTTGAACTTTGAACTTTTCACAAAACGCTGGCTTTCAAAAGGAAATCTGCAAACATGAAAAAGGGCTTACAGAAGCTCAACAACAAGAGCAGATGCACCACCTCCTCCATTGCAAATGCCACCGACTCCGTACTTCCCATTCTTTTGCTTCAGTACCTGCAGGCAATAACTTTTAGATTAACTGAATCGGAAAAGAACATTCAATATTGCGGAAAGACATGCTCAGAAATATAAGTAACTAAGAATACATCTCTTGAAAAAGTCTAATCACTTTCTGTCATTTATATAAGATGATTAAGATTGTTCATTTCACCCTTATACTACTCTCACTAGATTATCAATATAATTAAAAAAAAATAATAATAACAAAGGGCAAAAGAATACATTGTTATTACTCTCAAATTATTAACTTTTTGAATAAAATTGAGCAAATAACTAAACAAGAGAAGCGCTATGATAGAATTCTTCCTTCTTCACACGCGAGGCAATCTGTCAACATGCTATTATATATTATAAAATAATCTAAGTATTGAACAGAACATATACCCCCAAAAGTGTCACCAGAATGCGAGCACCACTGCAACCAAGAGGATGACCCAGTGCAACAGCTCCACCGTGAATATTTACCTTTTCCTGCAAAATATCGATACTTCAGTAAAAGAAATAAATGGAATGGAACAGCCATTAAAGATAACGGTGACGTTAAATTATGGATTAAAGACAACATCTAACATTTGCACTATGCAAAGAGGGGTTTCAACCCTACAACAACAAGCACTCTCTAAGACAATTAAGGATACAACCATTAATGGCCACAATAATGTTAAATTATGGATTATGGCAGATTTTAACATGTTTTGCACTGTGCAAAGAGGGGTTCGGAACCTACAAAGGCATGCACTCTTTAAGGCAGCCAATTGGAAATAGTTTGTTACACATACACATACACTAAAGGATTACAACTTTCACTCAGTGACACGGAGAAAAACTCACCGGATTTAGTCCAAGAAGTTTTTGGTTTGCAAGAGCCACAACCTATAGACAGCAATATGAACAATTAACATCCATGGCATCATGAAATGAAAAAGTACTAGAATTAAGCACTAAATCATACCGCAAAGGCTTCATTAATTTCATAAAAATCAATTTGTGAAGCCTCCAACCCTGCATTGGTAATAGCTTTGGGAATGGCAAGGGATGGAGCCGTTGTAAATAACTCTGGTTCCTGCACAGCTCAACCTCATGAGTATGAAATTATACTAATAATATACAAAATACTAGAAATAACGTGAATACTGATATGGTTTTTTCTATTTCTTATTTCTTTTGGTCTGAAGATGTAGTTCATTATTTAAAATATTTTATTATGTACCTGCGCTGCATCAGCATATCCAGTGATTTTTGCAATAACTTGAAGCCCAAGCTTCAGTGCCTTTTCTCCACTCACCAAAACTAGTGCAGCAGCACCGTCACTGTTAGAAAGTGCATTTTCATTTTTATTAAAATATTAAACTAATGATAAATGTTAATTATCATTTGAGCATTTAAATTAATGAGATAAGTGAATGAATACTCAAAGAAGCATGTAAAATATTCAACAATTCATAAATACAACTCTATCTCAATCACTTGTACCTCAGAGATTATACAGGGAAAAAACTCTAGCGAGGCAGACTTACAAGCATTGTTCTTCCCCATACTACTCCGGGCAAACACGCACACATATAGGGGATTTATATAGTGAAAAATCCTTTTTTATAAGGATAAGATAAGCAAATTTGGACCGTAGAACCACACACGGATTGTCAATATTAAATGTTTTTAAGGTCGTATGACCAATTGAAAAAGTCACTTGACAGTTTAAAAATACTCAAATGACTTGTATTTTGTACCATTCAATAACATCTACTGGTGAGTACTTCCCTCTCGTTCTTACATAGAAAAAGTCCTCTCTCTCTATATATAGTATTTTATAACTACAAATAATTGACACGAGCATCCAAATAGAAATCGTTTTGTAGGAAAAAAATTGAGCAAATTTTGATAATATATTAACCTTATGCTGGAGGCATTGCCAGCAGTAACAGAACCTCCAGTCTCCTTGAAACTTGGACGAAGTTTGCGTAATTTGGCAGCATCAAACTGGCATTGGAAAAGCAAAAATATATCAAGATATTGATTTGTGTTCAACTGCAAGCATAAACAAATTTATTGACTATAAAGTTACACTAAATTTGCAGTTAGAATTAATGTGCATGTGAATGTTGTTTACGTAAGAAAAAAAAAAGAACTACAAATTTCAATCCCCGGTCCTGATTAATTGTTTACCTTAATAGACATGTACATATTTACGATACTATCTAATATCCATATAACGCATGCTTAGAAAACCTATAGCCTTCTAACAAATTTGATACTAATGAAACTAGGAAATACTATTTGGGTAAACAAGTGCTTTTGTAGGCTAACCATAAGTATTACCATGGCTCAACTTATTTATGTGGTTACCTTTCCTAAACCTTCATCCCTATCAACAACTGTTGAAGGTTTTCCCCTTCCACCAGAGACTTCCACTGGAACAATTTCCCATTTAAAGGCACCACTATCTTGGGCAGAAATTCCACGTTCAAAACTCTGAACCGCATAGTTGTCCTGAGGGAAAAACAGAGACATCAACAAAAAAATCTATTACAATGATCCTGCCAAAATCTTTCTAAAAAAAATCCTAAATACCTGGTCTTCTCTTGTTAATGCATGGTTATCTGCACATAGCTCAGCACACACTCCCATCCCAACATCCTTATAGACATCCCACAAACCATCTTTCAACATCCCATCAACAAGTGAATCATGTCCAAGGCGTGATCCTTTCCTGAAGTTTTACAATTGAATCAGTTTATTCCACCACTAGAACCAATCATAAAGAGTGTCAAATTAAAGGCAATATTGACCTTGCTTCAGCCAGATACTTAGGTACATTAGACATGCTTTCCATACCACCAGCCACAACAACATCATTTGTGCCTAATTGAATACTCTGCGCTGCAAGCATTGCAGCTACAATAACCAGAACAAATTTAATATCCTTTTTCTACATTTTAATATGCAATAAAACAAATGGAATTCTTTTAATAATAAACCCACCTTTCATTCCTGATGCACAAACTTTGTTAACAGTAGTGCAGACAACTGAATTGGGTATTCCTGCTCCGAGAGCAGCTTGTCTTGCAGGAGCTTGCCCCAAATTAGCACTAAGAACATTCCCAAAAATTACTTCTTCCACAAGGGATGGATCAACATTGGCCCTTTTAAGAGCAGCTGCATATCAATAAAAAACATGTAAACATAAACAAGTTTCAAATGCAATGTAATATGCGCTGAAATAGGCTTCCATGGTTACCTTGAATAGCTATAGAGCCTAATTTGGTGGCAGATAGAGATGACAGAGTGCCAAGAAATCCACCCATTGGTGTACGTGCAACACCAACAATGCAAACATCTACAGAAATCAAACATATGAGATCAAATAACGAAAAGGTATCCGGTCTTTGAGAGTTTAGAAGATATGAAATTTAATGTTTTATTTATTTTTTCTTTATGATTGTGGCCGACGGGTGAAATGAACGGTTATACAAACTTTAGAAGGTCAAATAAAGGGTATATAAACACAGCTATATTTCAGTATACTCTATTTAAAAACTTTATGTAGGTAAGCAAAATCTTTGATGAACAACCTCTGGGTTTTATAGAATCTGAAGATGCTGCAGCTACTGGTGCCATTGATAGATGAAAATGGAATCTGTTATCCAAAACATGAAATACGGACACAATTAGGCTTGATTAGCAAACGAGCATACATAATATTTGAGAACTGATTTCAAGTACGATGGATTGATGGAACATCAGAAATGACAAAGCACGGCACAAATTAACCTCTTAATATAAAACAATTCAGAAATTCGAAAAGACAAAAAGCAGAGCGAGCTAGTAGATTGCTCCTCCTTCGTTGTTTCTCACACAATTAAGAAAGCCATATAATCTAGTGTTGTCTGGTTTTCGTATGCAAGCAAATAAAATGCAATGAGCAGAGAATAGAGAAACGAGTTGAAACTAGAGATCTAGGAGAGAACTAGGATTAAATAACAAAACGATGATGAAACAGATAATCGTTGATGCATGCATCATAGATGATAGTGATGTGGTGGTAAGCGAAACGCGGATCTGATGAAAATTGAAGAAAGGAAGTTCGGAAGCGAGAAAGAGAGATACCTCTGCCTGCGCTGTGTAGTTGGTGTTGAAGAAGTGAGAAGACGAGAGAAGTGAAGAGCGAAGAAAGATGGGTGATGTGAGCGCTTATATATGGGAGGTGGAAGACGCCACGAGTTACACGCACCTTTCAATGCATCCAACTCCTCAACTTGTTGTTGGACAAGGTTAAACCAATTACTCCATTCTTCATCAATCAAGTTAGGTGTAATACATGAGATGGGTGTCACCCAACAACTTTTACACTATTAATTATTAGTACATTTTAAAATACTTATTCATCCATTAATAATATCAAATTTCATTAACAGGAAAATTGATTTTGATATTTTGTTATAGAATAAATAATTAAAAATAAATAAATTTAAGGTAATTTGGCGTTCAACGATGATGTTTAACATCCAAAACCGAATGCATAATAAAATTTAGAATGCGGTCCACGCGCCCCACACTAATTACTTTTTTAATTTTCATATAAAATCACACGTGAAACCTCGGGCTACCATCTACCTATAAAATAAATAATATTTTTTGTTTATGATAATGTTTCTATTTGAAGATCAAATACATGCAGGTAATTAAAGTCCTTAGTTGTAAATAAAAGAATTTGCATGCATATTAATAGAACTAGATGGGGCAGGGTACAGTGGGGAAGACTTCTTCACATGGTCCTCTTTCCACAAGGGAAAATTAATTTTACCAAATAATGTAATACTTTTTTTTATTTTATGATCTTAGTTTTTGAGATGAGGACATAGAAACTAAAAAATATAATTAAACTTATAGTTCAAAAAATAATTAATTTCTATTAAATATTTTGTCTCTCATGATGTCTTTAAAAATATTGATAAACGAATTGTAGTGTAGTTTTTTTTTTTAAATCAACTAAATTATTATTAGTATTCTTTTATCGTGATTTTCGTTTTAGCCAGTTTGTTAAATATCCAATTAGTAATAAGCAAGTAGTAAAAATTACAGAAGATACGGAATAATAATATTTAATTTAAAAAATAAAATAATAAAAATAGTTAATGACCATTTTTTTTTACTGGCTTCCTTCTCTCTTTACTCTATTTATCTTTCATCTTATAAATAGTCACCTGTTTGAACATTATATGCATAAAAATAATAAATAAAAAAATTGGTTGGGAATTTACAAAGCATTAAAATTTTCGTTTTATATATATAACTGTTTAGATAAGAAAATGATAAAGAAAAGGAGGACACCTTTAATTCGTAGGATGTACTTAATAAAATATTTGTTTTTTTATATAATTAACATTTAAAACAAATAATTATTTTAAATATATACTTATATTATAATTATATTCAATTATAATTAATTTTTAAACATATTATATTTTATATGTACGGTAAATAAATTACACTGTGATATAATGTTATTTTTAATTATTGACTATTATTTTAAAATTATTGAAGTTAAATTTAAAATAAAATAATAATGACATATTACATAAAAGATAAATTGTTAATAACCATACAAACAAATAGATATTTAAAATATTAAGGAATTTCAAGCAATTTGATGAATGGAAATAAAGTACTAGAAAAGAAAATAAAAGAAAATAGAAAAAATACTTATTTTTTTGAAAAAAATTATTTTAAAAAATTAAAATTATTTTTTTTCACTAACAAACTTATTTATATAATTATTGATTAATTTTTTATAAATATTTTTTAAAATTAACACCTTTAACTTAATTTGTTTATAATGATAATATATTTTGATATATAATTATAAAATATCTTTAATACTAATTTTTAAAAATATTTTAATTTAAATTAATAAAATAATATCTTATTAATATATATATATATATATATATATTCAATTATTTGTTTAGTTTTTACAATAATTTGTATATTTATGAAAGTTTATCAAAATAATATAATTAAAAATCAATATGCATAAAAAAAATTAAAATTATAAAAATTTAAGGGAAAATAATTTAATAAAATATTTTCTTATATTTTTTCACTAAGTGAAAGTGAAAAATAATATTTTTCTTTGTTTTTTTCTTTATTACTAAAAAAGTATTGACATTTTTGTTTATATCAATAACTCATATTTTATACTTTTTCTCTAAACCAATAGAACTAAGTGTGGAAAAAAAATTATGAAATATATTTCACATAAATAAGTCTAAAAATGCATTTAATTAAGAATAACTCCTAATATTATTTGAGTGAGCATATTTTCTTAAATGTAACCTAAAAATAGTATTCATATATTATCCTATTGCAGTTTATTGAAAGCACAGACCATGTCTAATCTTAATTTATATATTAAATATTTAATTAAATTTTTTATTTTAAGATTTTAGTTTAATTTAAGTATAAAGAGTTTATTTGTTATAAAGTCTCAAATAACTTTTCTTTCATCTTGTCATGTATCTTTCCATCAATCATTTTTTCTTTATTTAAATTAAAGTTTTAATAATTTTTGAATAATCTATAAAACAATATAAATTATTTATTATAATTCTAAATATATTTTTAATATTTAAATTATTTATTTATTTTACCTCCATTGTAGCTAACAAATAAAATTGTTTTAATTTCAAATATTTAAAATATGTAATTTGTACATTTCAAATAAATGTATTATATTGTTTATAAATTAAGTTGTTACTTTATTTTTTTTAATAAAAAAAGATATATTCTGATAATGTACCGTGAGAAACCCCATAAACTCACTCATATCAAATTCAATGAACTACCCAACTAATAACTACCTAATATGCCACTATTACATTAATTAAAGAACAAATTCATTTATTTTAAATTTTTATATATTTATCTTATTTTATATTTTTAAATAACTATTTACTTTTTTTTTTAATGTTAAGTTACAATAATTCATGCTATATTTTATTTAAAAATATCACATTAATTAAATTTTAAATAGAAATTACAAGTTAATAATTTTTAAAAATATATTTTTTTAAAAATTCAATGATTTAATATATATATATATATATATATATATATATATATATAAACAATTTCTCTCTAATAACATAAATATGATTATAATTTTTTATGTATTTATGCTCTGCATTAAGTCAATAAAAAATTAATGTTTAAGTCATTTAATACACTATTTTGCAACATGTCAACTTCTTAATAAGACTTGCTTAAGTCAATAAATAATTAATACTTCTTGTCATTTAATGTTATTTGCCAACTACATGTCCCATTCTTCTATTTCATTTTATTTTTTTAGAATTATTTTTATAATAAAATTAAATAATTATATAATAATTTTAGTCAAATAATTATTTTAAGTGAAGTAGATAATAATAAAAAATCATATTAAATTTTAAAAATAATTATAATAATTTTACGATCATAAAAATAAAGAACGAGATAAATATAAATATTATTAATAAAAAAATATATTTATTAATTTTAAATTTGTATAAATTTAAAAAAATACTTCAATTTTTTTGACAAAAAATAAATCTTAAAAATTAAAAATTAAAACCTATTTTAAAAAGTGATATGCAAACAAATTTTAAGTTATCATATTATATTGACCCGGACGGAGAATACTGAAAATATGAAAAATACATTATTCTTTTAAAATTTATATAAAAATTAATTTATAATTATTTTATTAAAATTGTTAAAATAGTTCCCTCATTTCATTATTCTATTTCCAATTCTCATAATCATATAACATAACATATTAAACAAACTACTGAACTTTTCATGTTTTTGTTTTCCTTTTATTTCACTTCTTAACAAATATAAATAAAAGTTTATTAGAATAATGCCATAAATATTTACCAGAAACATAATTACTTAACAAGAATAAAAGATACAATTAGTTCATACTTGTGTTAGTTTTTATTATTTGTTTGCATGTTTGCTTTAACATAACTCTTGGACTTATTTTACAACTGATTTTTTCTTTCTTGTTCTCTTATCGAATAAATAAAAATATTTTAGTTTTTTTTTAATAATTTATTAAATTTTTTTAGAATATGTTTAATATAGGAGTTATTTCAAACAATTCTTTTAAATACAAAATATCATATTATTTTAATATGAATTTAACTTATAATACTTTTTATTTATAAAAACTCTTCCTTTCCTAGAGATGTTTTTACTATTTTAACTTTCTCTTTTGATTCAAAATCACTTAATAAATATAATTAATATAATCTTAATTATTATAAATAATAAACAAATAAACATTTTTTTCCTGAAAGATCAACTATAAAAAGAAATAAAGGAATAATAACTAAGCTTTAATATATTTACAATATACTTTTTTGTTCAGGGTTATTCAAACATGTTTTATATGTATTTGAACAGAAAAAGAAAAAAAAAGAGAAAAAAAAAAAGAGTGGTGATACATATTTTTTTATCTGAAAGATTTAATAAATGACTTATCTAATATTTTTCCTTCAAATTAAAGTTGAAAATTTTCCTTCAAGAGAAGCCATGACAGTTATGATCTTTATCACGGGGCAACAGTTAGCTTTCTTAATTCGATTTATTCTTTGCCTTGAAGCCATTAAATTTACTTGCTTAGTCATCATCAAATTATGTTCCTGTAAAAGTAGTGAAGTTTGCAATACCTTAAGTTTGTGTAGTAAAAAACCTGAATGTTTACAAGTAAGAAAATGGAGACTGAGAACAACTTTACACAAGCCTGAAAGAATAGAATTTGTTGGTAAGCAATTACATCATTTTTTCAAACTTATCAAGCATCTTTACCCTTTGCATGGATCTGACAAATAGTGTCATAAAAATACCTGCACAGTGAGATGCTACACCTATCAGCCATATGAAGATATTTGAACATGAATGGACAATATAAGCTTTATAATATTAAGTCACCTGCAACAATGAAAGATCCATTGGCCATAGCTACATTGCCTTGGTTGCTCATACTGATACCAAGATTTAGCAGAGTTCCTCCTAACACCGTATACATAGTTGCCATTTGTAAAGTTGTTACTTTCCAAGCAGCTCTTTCAGACTACCAAATCAAGTTCAATTATCTCAGTTTTACAAAACAAAGAGTTGCAGAATAACCATTTTCTAATTACAATTATTCCCATTACAAATATACAACAACCGGTATCTTTCCATGTTTAGAAATGGTCAACATACGTCCTTTCAACAAAAATACAGCTTAAATTAAACTATTCATTTCATTTGAGTTTAGTCCCTATATAATTTGTTGTTGAAAGTTCTAATCTTTACCATGTATAAAAAGTCTAGACCTTTTTGTTAAGACTATAGAAAACTTTGTGACAGCATAAAACTGTTATAAAAGCATTTTAAAATGAGATAAACTATAAAGCTTAAATATGAAATAAACTGACCTCGAGCACTCGGACCCGAAGTTTTAGATCCCCTGCTTCAAGTTGCTTTGTAAACTCTTCTATTCTTTGAACTCTGTATGGCATTGACATGGTATAGGATCTAGCCTAAAAAGTATTACACGCATAGTTAAGTGGATTCACATTGCATAATGCCCCAAATATATGCTTCACGTCAAATGAAATTTTTTTGTTATAAAAAAATTCTTCCAGAAGAGAAAAAACTAAAAGTACAATTCAGGTAAAGGAGTGGTACATCATCTGCTTGCTTTCTTATCTCTTCCACGAGCTGTGGTGCAGTGATCTGCTTTTGCCTTATATCTAAAAGTTCCTGTAACGAAGTAAAAAGGTATGAGCACTGCATTTTAATGCAGTATGAGAACAATAATTGTTCATGGACTAAATGAACTCTGAACCTGCGCATAGGGTGCAGCAATCTTTGCAAAGGAGAATTTTGGATTGAGTGTGTAACCTATGCCTGTCAGAAAAATAAAAAAGAATTATTGCTGAAACTTATTTTTAACTTATTTCGATAAGCTTTACATTTATGTTTTAATAATAAGCTCTTTGGTAAGAACTAAGTGTTAAGTTGTTTATGTAAATATATTGAAGAAGTTAATTTTTTCACTAGAAAGGATGATGCTACCATACTGTAATTTATATACTAATGTGAAATTAATAATAAACATTGGAACATGTTTAAACTTTTTGTAAGAATGATCCTTTGACGTCAGAAAGAGAGAGGGATATTAGGAGAATTTGCCAATTGGGAAGATGCATACCTTCAAGTGTTGAAAACGCCCTGAGAACAAAGGCAAAGGTAGATGGAAAACGGAATGGCTGGTCTTGTGCTATTGCAAATAAATCCTGCCACAGAAAGCATTGAATAATAAACTGTGGACTGAAGATTCTCTAGATAATTTGTTGTAATTGTAACCTAGTGAAAAACAATAATGATCCATCTTCAACTTATCCATAGTTCCAAGCAGCCAAAATATTATGAATTCAGTGATCCAATATAACAATGTTGACCTACCTCCCCAATTGCAGAAAGGGTCTGTTGCTGATCTGGTGCCTGGCTTTGCAAATGGTCAAGGAAAAACTGTACAGATCTCCTCACCTGGAAGGTAAATTTATCATTTATGAAGCCAACTGTAAAGACAAGAATCGGAATATTTGAACAGCAAGTAGTTGAGAATGACATTCTTACTGAAGACAGGTCCCCAGTAGGTTGCAGGGCTCCCAGCTCTATAAGGCGTTGCATAACCTGCATCATTGTTTCTGGCATAGTTATATGTTTTAAAAATGTCAAGATGGGTACTAAAGTTCATCAGTTGAAGTTATGTCAACGTCACAATTCTTTTTGCTGAAGATAATCACTGGTTAGCTGGATTGAAATTTACAATTGTAGGTGTATTGAAAGCAAAAGACATTTCAAGTCATTGTGCTTGTTTGAAATCATTGAGGCAAAGTCATCATGAAATTAAAAAATGGAAACTGATTAACACTGTCAAAAGAGCTTATCATGATAGCTAGTTGTGATTTCTTATTAGTAAAAGGCAATGCTCTAAATTTAAAGAATCCAAGTGCAGTACAAATCAAGACCTTTTTGGCATCCTTTTCATATATAGCATAGAAAAGTTCAAGCAGTCTCTCTCGGGTAAAAGATTTGATCTCTCCCATCATGCCAAAGTCATAATAAATAATTGCTTCGTCCACATCAATCGCAAGATTTCCAGGATGAGGATCCGCATGAAAGAAACCTGTTCTCAATATCTGTAGGACAAAAATTAAATGATAATTTATTGACTTAAATAATTTTCTTAACTCAACGTTTTCAGTTTCAAGAGTGCTAGCAACACCTTCAAGTTTTCCCTTTTTTTAATTTAGATAGAGGGAGGTATCTTACTTATTTTTAGCAAGAGTGACCCAAACGAAAATCATATTCAACATCAGATATTACTATTAGATTGTGGACCTGAATCAGGTACGCCTCAGTAGCACGTGATGAGATTCGCAATCGATCATAGCCACGCGAAGTTAATGTATCCACCTGGTCTATTTTGATACCTGTCCCAGGAGTAAAATCTTGAGTTAGGAGCAGTTGTAAAAAATTTCTCAGGCATGATATGATGTCATACAGAGTATATCACTTCGAAGCAAGAAAATAATATGCTCTAACATATACTCTCAGAATGCCATAACGTGATAAAAAGGAGACACAAGGAACATGCATTAGCAAAGATGAAAACCTGGTACATACTCCATGGTCAACACCTTTAAGGCAGTATAATCCCAATATACCAACTACAACGAAAGAAATGAAGATGCGGTCAAAATAAATTAGACATTAAAAATTTAAATAGGTTATAATCGGATATCAGTGTTGCAGCAAGAAACTTACAGGTATTCGAACCCACTTTATGTTTCTAAAATCTCGTCGGAACCTGTCAGCATTCTTTCCTTCATTTATATAATCAATTTCTTGGTATAGAATACTGCAAAGTAGAATGTGCGACACAATATAACTTACAGAAAGCATTGGAGAATAAAGTAATGAAGAGCAGGTGAAATTACTGAAATGCAATGAACATAATTTAACATATGCTTTACTTCATGAAATCTCCATAACGATGTCATACATATACTTCCACGCTTAGTACTTACGTTGCACACTCTTCATATATTCCAATCCAATCTCTGAGTGGACCGCCAAAAGTTTCATTTCTCTGGAAATACTCTGCAATCAGCTTTAAGTTTTCTGGACAGAACAAGCAAACTTATGAGATTAACAAACAAAATAATTCACTAAAGTAGTAATCCTTAAACTCTATATACCCTGTTATGCATAAATACCCGTCTTCAGTTTAGACTTTCTTGAAACAAGCAAGTGTGTCAAAACAGTATTGTTGGAGATCTCATCTCATGATCAGATTATACCATACTAGTGAATACGGATCTTATTTTACAAACTAATATCAAAATCTATTCTAACAAGATTTGTTAGACCTGTGTTATCACCTACACATCACATCCTCTTAATCAAAACCCCCAAGGTACTGTTAATGGCAGGAACAGCTGAGCACAACTTACTCAAATCAATGTCAAAAAGCTTCTTCAGGCCAGGCCTTTGAACTTTGACCACTACTTTTTCTCCATTATGCAGAATAGCGCGATGAACCTACAAACATGTGCCCCAAAAATTAAGTTACTTTAATAACAGCAGGAATTTAAAGCACATTGGTTTGGCTACAATATGGAAAAAAAAAAGCATAAAAAGGTTTACATTTTGATCCATGCATTCTGTGAACTGCTCTTTACCGATTACAGAAGTTAAATCTAGTTCGTTTCAAATTCATCAAATGGTAGAGACTAACTAAAATGTGGATATTTTTATTATTTATGCACGAATCAAAATGAAAAATGTAAAGTGTAAGACAAATCTTAAATTTAACCAAAACATAAATCTGCAGGGGTAGATTAAACACCTGACCGAGACTAGCAGCAGCAATTGGTCGGTCTTCAAACTCTTCAAATAATATGTCAATGGGAGCTCCCAATTCGGTCTCAATGAATTTTCTCGCTTTCTTAGTAGAGAACGCAGGAACCATGTCCTGTACAATGTTATATTGTTATTAAATAAATCTCATGTATACTAGTCCAAAATATATATAAATCTTAATTAATTCACTCTCTTAAGTGAGATGCTTTTCAAAAATACTATTTCTTATAGTAATATGTCAAATCTGACGTCAAAATTTAGCACTTTCCCGTCTCTTTTAAAAAAAAAAAAATGGAATGTCCATAATGATGAGCCTTAAAATGACTGCAGAAATACCTGCAATTTTGCGAGCTCATCCACAAATTCACGTGGAAATAGATCTGACCTCGTTGATGACAACTGACCAAGTTTAATGAAAGTTGGACCAAGCTGCAACACACACTCCCTTAACCATGAGGCAGTTTTCCTCCTTCTGCTTTTCTAAATAATATGTTACAGAATTTCAGGTCAGCAAAGCACAAACCCAAACAGAAACGTGACCAATGTATGACCATTGAGCAAGACCAATAAATAAATATAAAACACCAATTTATTTCCACCACCTAGGACTACAGGTCAAGTCAAGTCACCATGGAAAATAGTATTTTGTTTCTTTGGCAACAAAAAAAATTCAGAACATACCTGCTTTGCTTCTGTGAAGCCTCCCAAATATGCCCATTTTGAGTTGTCCAACAGAATCCGAATTCTCAAAGAAACAACAAAAGACCAAACATCAATAGACCTCTGCCAGGAACTGTAATTTTCATTGGCCCAACTGAAACCTTCATCTGAGGGCAAAACCTTTAGCTCTTTCAATGATGGAGGTTCTTTAGAGGTTCTAGTTCTAGACTTCACTGTCTTGGTCAAGACTGGGATAGTTTTTTTTCGCACTTGACTTGCTCCATTGACCTTTGAAGCTGAACCATTCACTGTCTTCTCCACCTTATTCGCTGACATTGTCTTTCTTTTCACTAGCTCAGTTGTCCGTACCATTTTAACAGCTCTACCATTTGCTCCTCCATACTTTGAGGCAGGCACAGGCAATTCTGTTTGTCGCATTTTCACGAGAAACTTTGGAAACTGATTGTTCCGAGATGGTTCACTCGTTGTTATCCTATTATTCTTTGACAAATTATTGACAGAAATTGAGCCTGAAAAACTGAGATTGTCTAGTGTTCTTCTTTGAGTTACCAACTTCGCATGGTGACAATAACAACCTTGCATGGCCATTGTTTCTGTCGTCTACGATAATTGAAGCCACCTTCAAAACACTAAACACAGAGTAAACAGTAAGAAAAAGAAATGTTTTTATTTTGTTATACACATTCCAAAAGGTTAAGTAATAGTGCTTATCTAAAAAGAGAATGTTTTTATTTTGTTATTTTGACTTGATTTTTGCCTCATCACTTTCATAACTCTTCCTTCTTTTTTTAACTACGTTCTGGATTCATATTAAAATGATATAGGCTGTCAAACAAATGAGAAAATGGAAAATTTTGAATACAACCACTTGTAGGGATATGGATGGAATCTCTTTCCGTAAAAGAAAATGAGAAGAACCTTGACTTTCTATGGTGTTATCAACGCTGCAAACTCTCCAAAACAAAAAGCCAGAAACTTTACTTTGAGAAAGAAGGTGCTAGTTGCCGCTTTCTTTTTACCATGTCTTTTGGTAGCAACAAACAGTTGTTTTTGTGGTAAACTCACCATGATTTCATTTTCTTCCAAAAATCATGGTGAGTTAATCTCACTACCAATCCAAACACACTCAAGTGTTCAAGAAAAACAGAGAATAAAGTAGTTCACCATATGCAGTTGAACTTGGTGAAACATGATTTGTCAGGATATGCATCATGGCTAGTGAACCAATCAAGTTCAAAAAGCAAAAATAAAAATATCATACTGTCAACCAAACTAGAGTTTGATATCAGTCATTTTGTCAATGAATATTGTATAAACTCAAAACAGTATTACAGTAACAAATTGGTTAAGCAAATTGAAACCACTGGAATGAAAATTGTTGTTGCTGTTACGTACCTCTCCAGTTCAGTGTATAGAGGCACAACAAAGCTTAGAAGTTGGCAGCATTTACCATAGTTTTTCTGAACCAGAAAGAAAACGTGTTGGTATGTTTATGGCGAAGGTAGAATTAGCATGAAAGAGGACAAAAGTAGGATGTTGTTGCTTGCAAGTTTTAAATGGAACAGTGAAAGTAACTAACTCTGCTTCAGTTTCCGTCTTAGAGACAAAAACGGAAATCATGGTAGGTTTAGTGCGTGTAAGACTCTACTACCTCTTAGTTCTCACCCTTTGCCATTAATCATTAATTGCCTAGTTGCTTTCTAAGCCACAAATATCAAATAAAATGTAGTATTTATGAAGTATTGATGTAATAGCATTGTTCTGTTAAACAGTTTTAGTCGAGGTGGAAATAGTTTATATACACCCCAGTCTCTTGTCCCTTTTAATCCAAGACAAAGACAAAATCGTGACAAAAACAAAATCACCACGAAGTCAAAGTTAAAATAATCTATATACATATTCTTTGCTAGTCTCTCGAAACAAAGACTAAGACAAAGACAAAATGGAGAGGAACGAAAGTTGGAAAACCTTGGAGATGGGAATTAATCATAATCCAAGGTATAACTTTCGCTTGATCTTTATTGATTGGCTTAACGAGGCAAGGTGGTTTATACTAACAACACAAGCAAAACTGAACATAGCAATTTTCATTTTCAAAGAGATGAAACCATTTCCATTCAATTTCAAACAACACCACCAAGTTTTGTTTATTTTATTTTTTTTCAACTATTTTTTTTTTATCATGATAAATAAAATTCACATGTAAGGATGTATATTATGCTTTTACATTCTAAAGCATATTACATGTATTTCTACCTAACGAACATATAGGTAGTAGAATTGATAAAGATAATGCCAGATATTTCATAAAAAAAATAATTCATTAGATAATTAATTTTTAAAAATTATTAAAACTCAAAAAATAAATTCGTATTTTAAAGACCTAAAACTTTTATATAAAAGGAAGTGTGGGCTATACCCGTTGGCCCACGAGGGTACAAGAGGAAAATGCCCTATAAGGAGGTTTCGTTGCTGTGGTTTGGGCTTCCAAAAGGAAGATAATAATAATATTATTCCAGATCAAGTTAATTGATTATTTTTTAAAGAAACTAATTTGGATTTTCTTTTTTCAATATTTGAGGAATTATACACATGATTTATGGTATTTCAATTATTATTCATATAATTTAATTATTTTAAACAGATTGTAATATTCTAAGGACAAAGAGATGTTTTATTCAATTTTAATTATTTAATGGGTAAAACATGTTGTCTTTTTAAAATATGTAAAAATTTGATTCAAATTTCTCTAAAAAGAATTTGAGCATTTTGGTTTTCATTGTTTTGAAATACATCAATTTTAATTTAAAAGAATTTAAACAGTATTCACGGATAAAATAGAATATCATTTTATAAAGAGAAAACTTATTTAAATGACATTATTAGAAAGACTAGAAGTAGTATATTTTAAAAATTAAAGAATAGATATTAAAAAAAAAAAAGGTTTTACCTTTAAAATTATATTTGTAAGATTTGCCTCCCTCACACAAGTTTTCTGGAGGCTACGGTCTGCTTCAAACTTGAAGATATTGCAATTGTCTGCTTCAAAACCACTGAAACAATCGCGATTTAACTCTTTTAATTCACATGTAAAAAGGTAAACCTAAACCTAATTTTTTATTTCTCTCCTTCAACTATCGTTTATCACTCACCGCCCCCAATCTCCGCTCCAAGACGCCATTCATCTGTGAAGGGACCTCAAGACTCTGCCCACTTCATTCGCGTGCCTCCCCTGTCTGCCAATTTCACCTATTCTCTCAAATTCAGGTTCTTAACACTTTTTTACGTTGTTCTTAATTTTGGTTCATGTGTTTATAGCCTTGTCAACGCTAATATCTGCTGTTACTACTCGTGATTCTTTTCTAGCCACTTTCTCTTGTTTCTTTTTTCTTTATCTGGATTAGTTTCGCTAACGAACGCCTGCATATTGTGGTCCCGAGGATAGACTTAGGAATGCCATTTTGGTCTTCAATTGCTTTGTAAATATTATGATGATTGATTTCAGGGATGTTATTTAAAATTGAAGTTTAGAAGAAAAATCAGGTCCTGTAAATTTTTCATTCTCTATTATGAGTGTTTGTGATGTGGCATGCTAGTGCACCTCGAACCTCAGGTTCCTTGCTCTTAGATATATTTGGTAATTCAAAATTTGGGGTCTATTTGGTCGGTTATGTTTTTTAGTTTAAGGCCAGAGACCTATTATTTATGTTTTGTCTAGTAATCCTGATTATTTGAGTAGAAAGTAGCCGTTAGAACATTTAACTGTTAAGTTTATTTGATCAATTTCGTGTGTATAGAAAGGAACTGTGTTGAAGAATCAGTAGAAGAAATAGCCAACGATGACAAGCATTTGAGATATCTGACTTAGAATTGGTTTCCTTATTTAAAGTTGATAAGATCATTTTGTTCCCAACAGCAATAATATGGATAACCAGAAAGTTTATACTTAGTGCTTAGACTGTAGCACTGTGGTACAATGCTATCTTGGCTTGAGAACCATGCTTGATACAGAAATAGTTTAATAACATAGTACTCAACAGTTTCCACTTTGCACTTTCAGTTATAATGTTTCAAAAAGAAAATCTTTTTTGCAGGAATGGTAGGTTTATCTCTTGGAGAAAAACATTTCATACAAGGTGGCATCGCTCATGATCTTCGATGTGATGGTAGAAAGAGATTGACTTATCGGCGGATCTCAGTTGAAACTGGAGTGATTCCTCATGTAATACATTAATCAGTTGGCATTTGGCTGGGTGTCACGATGATTTGACCCTGGCAGACAGATGATTTTTTTCTCTTCTAATAGTTTTAATCTGTTCGTTTGATTAACTAACTGCTTGGCAGGCAAATGGTTCAGCTCAAGTCAGAATCGGTGGCACAGATGTCATTGCCAGCATTAAGGTTGGTTAAAAGTTAAAATGTTTGGATTGGTCGCTTATTTGTTGACTTGTAATATCCTTTTGTTTAATTCTATGAACAATTTTTTGTAAATGGAATGAGTTATTTTGGTATATTGATTACACAATGTAGGCTGAACTTGGAAAGCCAAGCTTGTTGCAACCTGACAAAGGAAAAGTCTCTATATATATTGATTGCAGTTCAACTGCAGAGCCAGCCTTTGAGGTTGCATTTTCTATCGCTTTTCTTCATTCTCTTTATTTCTTGTCATTCAACTTTTAAGTAACAGGATCATTAATATTGATAGCAAAACCAATAAATTTATCCTAAAAAAAAGCTTTAATTAAAGGGAAACGGTGCATTGGATTAATAAACTTTATGTTTTCATCAATAATAGTGTTTTCTATTATTCTTGTGTTATTTATCATTTTTGTTCAATATATTCCTTCTAATGTTTCAAAATCACTTTTCTATTTGGTACACTGTTTCTCTGGCTTGTATATAGGGTAGAGGGGGTAATGAGTTGGCAGCAGAACTATCAATTGCTCTTCAACGCTGTCTCTTGGGTGGTAAAAGTGGAGCAGGTCTATTTCCCTCTTGGGTGAAGATTATGCTCACTACCATATGCTTTCCCTTCCATGTTGTTGCCACTTTTTAATATATCTGTTGAGCTCTAGTGTTTTTTTTCCTCAGGTGCTGGAATTGACCTTTCATCACTTATTGTCGTTGAAGGAAAAATTTGTTGGGATCTTTACATTGATGGGCTTGTTGTTAGCTCAGATGGAAATTTGTTGGATGCTCTAGGTGCTGCTATTAAGGTACAACCTAAAACATAAATAGAATAATATACGATAAAAGCTGGTAAAGATGATGGCAATGGATTTCTGGTTATAATAATTAGTAATGTAGAGATCATCCTTTTATGATGTTGTCAATTTTAAATGTTTACTGTTCAAGTTTTCTTGTTCATTTACCATAGTTTACCTATAACGTTTTTTATCTAGTTGTTTCATTAAGCTAAAATTAAAAGTTTCCTTTTACTAGCTGTTTTCGTTAATTTTTTATATTATCCCAGACGAATTCGCAATCAGTTTCATGGAAGTTTTCCACATGGATTTCCATAATACCACCATGATGTTGAGTTGAGAATCAGAGAATGCAAACATATATATTCAAAATTTAGTGGAAAACCCCTAATTCAGCTTATAACTATTATTCTTTTAGGCTGCTTTGTGCAATACAGGCATTCCAAGAGTCCAAGTTGCTGCTGGAACATCAAATGATGAGCAACCAGAAGTTGACGTAAGCGATGAGGAGTTTCTGCAGTTTGACACATCTGGAGTTCCAGTCATAGTTACACTGACTAAGGTAACATACATGTGCTAGCTTCTCATATTGACCATACTCGTGATAATTTCTGACCATCTCTGCTTTCTAGGTTGGGAGGCACTATATTGTGGATGCAACATCAGAAGAGGAATCACAAATGAGCTCTGCTGTTTCTATATCTGTTAATAGGCAAGGCCACATTTGTGGTATGACCAAACGAGGAGGTGTAGGGCTGGATCCAAGCATCATTCTTGATATGATATCTGTTGCTCAGCATGTCAGCGCGCAATTAATAAACAAATTGGATTCAGAAATAGCTTCTGCTGAAGCTGAAGAGGAGACATGACAGAGAAGAAATTAGTGATAACTAGGTGTACCGTATAATTCAATTATTTCGGACAATATTTTGTAACTTGGTACCAAAGTCGGGATTAAATCTATTAAGTGTTTGTAGGAAATTGTTTGGCTTCCAAGCTATGCGGTTGAGTTTAAAGCCATGCAAAGTTTCAAATGCACAGACAGATGCATAGTGACATTAAAGCTTGACATGACTCGCAATTCTGGATCAGGTTTGAAATAGTGACGCATCTACACTTTGCAATAGTCAGCAACGGAATTTACAAGGAGCATTAAGAATAGAAATCCTTGACGACTAAGTCTACTTTCTACACAATGACTATTCCAAACCTAGGTTACTAAATTTTTTTTTTTTTTTTAACAGTCCTGAATATATCCAAAAAAAAAACATGTTTTTAAAAAATGCATTAAAAATCTATACTTCGTTTTTTCTCTCTCTTTAAATATTTTCTCACAAATTATTCAAAATAAAAAAAGTATTTTTTTAAATTATACTTCAAAATAATTTAAAATATATTTAAAGATTTATTTAAATAATAATAAAATTTAGTTTAAATCTAAAAAAAATATACATTTTATATTTAAATGATTTTAAATTAAATTAATATTTTAAAAATTATAAATAATATGAATATGACTAATAATATATTGATGGATATAAAAAATAGTTGATTATGTGAATTTTGACCCAATAATATTAAATACAAAAAAATTATTTATTTATTAAAAATATTAAATTATGCTATATTTATCATAAAAAATATATTATCTAATTAACTAAACAAATTATTTATAATTTATAAAATAGTTATCTTAGTTTAAAATATATTAAAGAATTTATTTTATTTTAAATATATATTTTATTTAGATATAAACTAAATTATATTATTATTCAAAATAAATTTATGTATATATTTTAAATTATTTTGAAATCTGATTTAAAAAAATATTTTTAATTATTTATAAGAATTAATTACAAAAAGAGAAAATTAGAAAAAAAAATACAAAGGTAAACGAAAATTTAAGAAGTTATCAGACTAGATAAATGTATATAACTATGACGTGAAGCGTTTAAGACTCTTTCTCGTAAACATACACAACAAATAAATAGAAGTTTCAATAGAAATCCTTAAGAGACCATAAATTCCATATAAAAAGTCACCCACGCGATGAAGAGTAGTTGAAGAATGTACTTTATGTCATGTCATTACCGTTCACAACTTGGATTCTTCAATAATTAATTTTGATTAAATAGAAATCTTCAATGGAGTTTCGTTCTGCATCACAATTCAGAAATGTGAAGAGTCATGAAAGATCAACATTTTAATGCTCTCACGCAACGCGTGTGTTGGTAAGTCAAAGGTAATTATGCGATGAATACCTACCATTTTGAATTACATGCAGGGAAGGTAACCTTTTCGCAGATTATAAATTGCTCCTCTAATCGCAGTCCCTTGAAGCTCAAGGTTTTTGTTTAGCAACCACGAATTGCTAATTTTTGAAGTTTTAGGTCACAGTTAAAAGAGCTAGCTGTTTCCGAGTGCCAGCAGAGCATCACACGTGTCATCCAACGCCCAAATGGAAGGTGAAAGGGTTGAATTGCTTAGTGCAGTTGAGGATCAATATGGAGGAGTTGTTGTAAACGTGGAGGATCAAGAGCCTTTGGATTCTAAGCTCTTCTCTTCCATATTGGAAGCTTCAATGAACAATTGGCGGCAACAGGTAGATTGATTGATTACATTTTCAATCCAACAGTAACAGTACACTTTTTTTTTACGTTCAGAAATTAATTTCATACCTTTTTTGCAGGAAAAGAAAGGGGTCTGGCTCAAGTTGCCCATACAGCATTCAAATCTTGTTGATTCTGCGGTGAAGGTAAACAAAATGCATTCTGTTATTTCTGTATTTAAAGCCTAATTCTTAATTAGTACGCCATTTTCCCTTTGTAGGCTGGCTTTAGGTACCACCATGCTGAGGCAGATTACTTGATGCTTGTGCGTTGGATTCCAGATACTCCTGATACCTTTCCTGCAAATGCTTCACATCGCGTAGGCGTTGGTGCTTTTGTCTTTAACAACAACAAGAAGGAGGTATCTTTTTTTTCCTTTACAATTTTGTTTGTAATTGAAGTTCAAGCTTTGCTGCGGGTGAAACAAAACGAGTTTGAGATTATTTTCAGGAAATGATTGTTCATTTTTCTCAATCTGTTAAAAAGATTTTTTTAAACATAAGAATTGGAATTGCCAATACATCTTGTACTAGTCATTTTCTTATGATTTTCCCCAGGAAAGGATTTTCTTGTCCCAAGTAGATCGTATTAGAAAAAAAGAAAGAAAGAAAAATTGAAATAATGTTTGAAAACCTCCGTATTTTAGCATGTTAAGCTTTTAAAAATACAATCGTAATCCAATATGGTGCCATAATATCAGTAACATCTGAAAAATCATAGTTTATTTGTCCTTCCCCTTTCAAACACGAAAGCACGATTACACATACAACCACGTACACAAGATGCGTGTTAAAAAGTAGTAGTGATTAGGTCCCTTGAATCTCTGAAACTTCTAGTTTTTGGACCGCTTCCACCAGTAGAACTAGTTTTTCTTTTCATGTTTTTCTTAAATTATAAATATTGTCGTGAAAGAAGTGCGTGAGAATAGCATTATCCTCCCGTCTGTGTCGGGTCAAATCTTTTATGACTACTTTTGACATTTGGGCTAGAGTCATCGCCATATTATGTAGGGGTAATTCTTTTTATTTGTTCAATCAACCTTTTCCCTTTCATTGTCACTATTCGGGTTCCATAATACTTATCTTACATGTGAAATTGAAATTATCTTGTTTCATTTGACAGGTGCTTGTGGTACAGGAAAGAGGTGGCAAATTCAGAGGCTCTGGTGTATGGAAGATGCCTACAGGAGCTGTTAATGAAGTATATCGAAATTATTATTGACCAAACTATTAAACTTCAAAATTATCTTTTCATATGTTATATGAACTTTTAATTCAATTTGCAGGGTGAGGATATTTGTGAAGCTGTGATTAGAGAAGTAAAAGAAGAGACAGGAGTAAGCAAGCTAACACATAATATATAGTTTACACTAAATTAAATTCCACCTGAGGCTTGTCAAAATAATATCAAACACGAACTTAACTACAATATTTTACAATACACTAGTTTTTTTAGTAAGATTTATGTACAACATTTTCTTAAATTTTTAATTATTTTCTTTACAAAACCTTGTTTTCAAATATAAAAATAAAATAATTTAATAAATATTTATGGGCGAGCATGTACGTGTATTTAATATTTATAAATTATCGTGCTTTACTAAATACATCATGTACCATAAGATCCTTCCATCCCTGATTAATTTGTTTCTTTTATCTTGTCTTGTTCCTGCCATTTTTTCTTTGGGTTTATCTGAACTTATTCATTTCAACCTTTTTTAAAATCTTGAAATGTCATAGTTACACGATTAAAAATTACAGATGTTCTTTGGAGCTGAAGAGAAGTGTGATCCCTTCAAAGTTTTGTAACTTATATGTAATTTATGATTTTGGCTCCTCAAACTTAATGAATATTTAATATATTTATAATTTTATTTTTCCAGGTTCTTCCTCAGATTTGTAACTTTCATATAATTTATGATTTTGTCATCTCTCATTTAATATATTTAAGTATATATTTATAATTGTATCCTTTCACGCTTTCATCTTCTTACTTCATTTTATATTTATTTATTAATAATATATTATTTGATACCTCCAAAATCAATAATTAAGATCCGTCACTACACAATTTTATTTTGCGAGTGTCTACATAAATATTATAAATATTTTAAAGAATATAATATTATTTAGCAAATTTTAATTCAAATATTCAGTTAATGGACCAAATTTTGGGGTTTACAGTCGTTTTGACAAACTTGGTGGTAGTAGAGTGTAATTTCCTCTAAATTTATCTATACTTTATTTTTTTTTTGGTGTTTCCAAGTCTAATACCATTTCTTTATTCTTTTTTTCAGATAGAGACAAAGTTTGTTGAAGTTTTATCTTTCAGGTATAAGACGATGACACTATAATATATGGTGCCACGGATGACGGATGTTATGCTTAGTGTTCTCTTGAAATAGCATATGCATTTTTTCACAAATAATAAACGCACTACTATGCATATAAATATAGTTTACATTTTTTTTTATCTCTCTGAAATCTGGATTAATATTGAATATGACCTTCACGTTCACCGTCCTTCATCCCTTTGGTATCAGGCAAAGTCATAAGTCATTCTTCGAGAAATCAGATTTGTTCTTTGTTTGTATGTTGCAACCTCTATCCTTTGACATTCAGATTCAGGCTTCAGAAATTGAGGCAGCTAAGGTATCAACTGAGAATCTCATTGATTTTCACATAAATTCTCATTCTAAAGATGCATGGGTATTCTCATTTCAGTTGACAGCCTATAATGTCGATTAAAAAATATAACATATTATTTCACTTTGTTAATTTCCTGATAATTGAAAACAAGATGTGCAAATGCTGTTTTTACCATTTCATTTTCAACTCCTTATAAATAGGAAAAAATAAATAAAAATACGCTGCTACTTGTAACTATTAATAAAAATGTATGACTGAAATGAAAACAAAAAACTGACGACATTGGAACAGAAAATTTTGTAATTTCAGTATTTTTCTTTATCTAGTTGGTTTCATTCTAATATGGCTCGTTTTATTCATTCAGTGGATGCCAATTGAAGATTATGCTGCCCAGCCTTTTGTGCAAGAAAATGACAGTGGGTTGTTTGTTGAAGTTGTATAACTTTCAGGTGTCAAAGTATCATTTTTCTTGATTTTGTTACAAAAATATGCTTGTCAAAGTTGGATGGCAACTACACCGGTTTTTCTAACGTACTTACTTGTACATCTTCTGGCAAAAATACCTATCTGTATTTTAACAACCAGGATGCCAGCCTTTTATTAGCTTCCAAACAGGAGCAAGCTTGACGTGTTGCAAGTTAACGTTAGTTATACTCGTAAACTCCAATAGACTCCTAGATAGATAAAGAGACAAAAGAGAGATAAAAACAAGTATAGTATGCTCTATATAATGTGAAAGGAAGAGACATATACAGAGAAATAATAGATGATGATAAACTGTTTGATGAAAGGACGTGTTTATATTTCTTTTGATCTATTAACGAAGGCATAAGTGTGAAATAGAAAAAGATGCTGAAAAGAAGGGAGACTTTTTTTTTTGTTTTTGTTTGCAGAGAGAGAGAGAGAGAGAGAGAGAGAGAGTTTTGTAAGAAGTAGGAAGTTGTTGTGGTGTAGTGTACGGTGTCATCTGAAAGTCTGAGGTACAGAAGAGGAGGGGGGGACGATTCTGTGCATTTAAAAGCTCTGTTTTTTATGGTTCCCATTTCATGTCTGTTGGTTGTTGTACACTTCAACCTGCATAAATAACTGCAATGCTACACTTCAACCTTTCTCAATCCATTATTTTTCTATCAATATTTTATTTAGGTAAAAAGCATATATTAATGATTGAGACTCATGCAGTGGAAACATATATACGCAAAACGTTCCAGGAAAAGTTACATCTAATGGGCAAGTCTAACTATTTGCTTGTCGTGCATTGACTACTTAATTGGTTTCGTTCTGGCATTCTGCTGAACAAAAAGTAGCTAGAAATTAGGAGTCGAAGCAAAGGTTTCAATTCTACATGGATACTGAGAAGTAAGACAGATAAATTTTGCGCGGAAAAAAGATCTTCTTCGCTACTCTATCTGAGCTCTTTCGTGAAGCTCAGCTCGTTTGGCTCGAATACCTTTTCTTACTTGGTTTATTAAAATCTTATAAACTCGTAAAATATCTTGAATTTCTTCCAATCTTCAGCTGTCACTGCTGATTATGTTTTGGTTTTCGAAAATTGTATAATCCTAAATCTTTGTCAATGACATACTTGGAGCAAGGAAATATGATTAGTTACTCACTAGATATCCTTTTTCCTCACTAACTTTACCAAACAAAGACTAATTTGTCCCTTTTTTTTAGAAGCAGCCTTAAAATTTAACCATGGTGGATCTAAACCAATTTGATACAAATTAGTCCCGAAGTAGAACGTAATGGACTTCGCCTAAGACTCGTTTATAGTTCCAACGCTTCATTTTATTAGTGTAATTGAAAATCCATTTGGTCAAATCCATTACCTAATATAATTAAAAAAATGTTGGGTTAGATAAATTTTAATTAAATTCATCATCCAATTTAATTAAAAAATCTTGAATCAAATTATTTTTTTATATATTTTTTTAAATTGGATTTAGTCTTACGCATTCTTCTTCGTGTTGAATTGGGCTATAAATTTTAAAAATATTTTTTATTAAAATTTGTAATTTCAACAAATATTTTTAACTTTTTTTGTAAAAACTATATTAATTAAAATTTATATAATTTAATATTTAAAAAAATACACATAATTAATAGAATAATCAAATAAATCAAATAAAAGTTAAATTATTGTTAAATTGATTTAATAATTTTAATTGAATTAGGGTTAGATTGAATATGTAAAGTTCATCGCTAAAGTAAAAAAACACTCAACCAAAATTATTTAAATTGATTGGATAAAATTAACAAGTTGCGTCGTGTGCCTATAGAATCTGATGTTTTGTTAATCTTTGTCCATTTGGATTCAAAACGGCTATTAATTATCATTTTGGTTTTAAATTATGGTTCCTATAGGATTAGCAGTTGCATTATGATTACCAGAATTAAATAAAAAAAAATGATGAGAGTAACTGGAGGGAGATACTTTGGAAAAAAAATATAAAAAGATACCGCAATAATTGCTGTTCGAATATTCTCCAGATATATGATATTGCAACTGCAAATTTTAACCCTTCATATAATTTTGTCTCTATTTTTTTTTCGTATGAGAAAATTAAAGTGTATCATTCAAAATAAGGAAAATGCTGGTAATAGTTAAACAGATGGAAAGTAGAGGAAATTTAGCAATAACTAAATAGATACTTCCTTATTACACAACTCACCAGAACGAAGCAGTTTTCAGATCCTACATGGGAGTGCTGCATCAGAATATAAAAATCTGCTCTTTCTATCAGATGGTTGAAATTGAAATTAAACAAAAGTACGTAGCATCATAACATAGTAAAACAAAACAAAATCGTGAAAGATATTGTTTGTCATCAGAATCGAAACCAACATTGTAGAATCCCATGCATGGTGTGCCGTGTTTGATCCATATAAATATAATAGAATAATGGAGTACAACACATTCAAAATCTAACCAATTTAAAACTGTTTATATGAACACATCCCAGCTGGCAGGTAGCACAAACCGGATCTACCCACACTGAAGAAGAAAAAGCCAATTAAATAATTCAAAAAACAAACAGACAATAAATACAAAACCTATTACACTAGCAAGATTAGAAGGAAAAAAGAGTACACATGGCCTCAAACATGTCGGTGCCACTGTTTTATTTTCTTGACAAATTAAAAAAAAAAAAAAAGAATCTTTGAAATGGTGGTTGAGCACAGCACAGCTGTATACTACCGACACTCCACACGGTGATTTTAGGCACTTAATTATCATCTTATCATCATAAAGCCAAAAATCCAACGAACAAACTCAACACCACCGACACCAATCTTACGCCCTCGTGCAATCCACTTACCCCATTGCTGTCTTCATCAGCAGCCTTCTGATCGTTGGAATCCGACGCCGGTCCGTCGGCGGGTGCATCGGCGGCCTTCGCATTCTTACTCGACTTCTTCTTCGCAGGCTTCGGTGACTCTGCGGGTGCTTGCTCGACGTCGCTGGCCTTGAACAACTCTCTGGGCATCAACACCTTGTTGATCTTGTAGGCCACGAAAGGGTCTTGATCTATAAGCGTGCCAATTATACTCACGGTGTTAACCTTGGTCTTCAGACTCACGTCTTCGCCGTCGTTCTGGACGGTGAAATCGTACTTGTTGGCTCCCTCGGTGGCGAGAGTGTTCATGATGCCGTTGCTGGACTTCAGCATCTGCAGGGACTGGTAAACGGGAACGCCGTGATATAACAAGAGGGAGACTTTTTGAGAGTCGGTGAGGTTCTTGTACTTGGGGGCGAAGCCGTTGACGGCGCTGTCGGTGGGGCAGAAAACCGTTAAGCCGCCGTCGATGTTTTCCTTGAAAGTTGGAAGCGCTTTGGAGCCTCTTAGAAGGTCAGCGAAGGCCTTGCAACCTTGTTTGGACATAATTGAGATAAGGTCGATGGCGGAGGGTGCGGCGGTGGGGGCTTCGGCGTCGGCGGAGCTTATGGCGTTGCTGATTTGGAGGACGGAGATGTAGTAGGGGAGTTCTTGGACGGATTTCACGTAGAAGGAGTGGAGGGCGCCGTCGTTGTCTTCGGCGGCGAAGCCCACCTTCCCGCCTTTGAGATTGGTGATGTTGACGTAGCCGGAGGTACCGGAAGCGGCTCCGGTGGCCTGAAACATGGAGGAAACGAGGGTGGTGCTGTTGTTGATCTGGTGGAGCTTCTTGGCGCCGAAGTAGTCGACGAGGACGTGGAGGGACAGGACGTTTTTGAGAGTGGGGAGGGAGAGATGCTTGTCGAGGACGGTGGACATGGCGGCATTGTCGATGGCGAGGACGGTGATGGTCTGGCGGCGGTTAATCTCGTCAGCGAGATGGGTGACGGTAAGGTAGTGATTGAAGGTGGAGAAGCCTGGATGTTTTTCGAGGATGCGCGTGATGTTGTGGGCGGGGACGGCGCTGACGGCGGAGGAAAGGAGGAGAAAAAGACAGGGGAAGAGGAAGAGAAGGTTCTTCATTTTGTTTGGAGGAGGAGGGAAGAAGAGAGAGAGAGAGAGAGAGAGTGAAGAATGAAGAGGAGAAGAGAAGAGAGTGTGAGTGCGGGTTTATAAGTGGAAGAAGTAAAGCACGTCCTTTTATCTCTCTGAATTTGGTGTTTTTGTGTGCTGACAAACAATGCCAGGTTGGGATTGGTAGCAGATGGGCCCCATCACCATCATCCTTCATTACTCATCAGACACGTCAGCACAATGTTTTCTAATTCATCTTTAAACTTGAATTAATTTATTTTAATTTATGAGAATATATTTTGTATTTATATTTTTCTAAAAAAATGTCATATTTGAAAGAGGAAAGTGGGAGGATGCATTGTGTGTTGTTGAGTTGAGTTGTTTTGTTGTTGGGAGTGAATAATCCCACCGACGCTCTCTCTTCTTTCTTTTTCCTTTTTCTTTTCAGTGCAGTTCCCCATTTTAGTCATAATTCAATTATCATCATTTTCCATCTCAATTTATAATCGCTGTTTTAATTTAATAATTCATTAAATAATGGATTTCATACTATTCTTGTTTAATTATGAGAATATTTAAATGTTCAGTTTTAGTTAACAAAGTCATGTCTCATGCATTAAAACAAGGGTTAATCTGTACTTTATGGCGTGGGACTTTGATAAAGTAGTTGAAAGATTAGCAACAAAAACAACTTTTTAAAAAAATAATAGTTTTCTTATGATCATAAATTTTATTTTGTTAAAAAATAATAGTATTCTCTAGAAGGAATTGGACTGAAATCCTCATTTTTTATTATCTTCAGTAATATCACACATTTTCGACAATGACAACGACAAGGATTCAAGGCAAGTGATTTAACTCCGACTTCAATAATTTTAGTGTCGGTGTGCATACTAAATAGAACGGGTTTTTTTTTTTTTAAATTAACAAAATAAAATATTACAGTACATACACGAAGTGATTTTAGAATTACAGTATATGTATAGTATTATGACCACCTTATAAACAACATTCTGGGATTGATTGCTCTTATCAAACATCTATGTTTTGAATTCGATGTCTTGCGTGATAGTGATGAAGTGAGTGGTCTGGAGAAGACGTTGAAACCATTATTAGCGACCAAAATCATTCGCCAGTTGGGACAAGTTTGGCTCAACATTCCAATAAACCAGTTGAAGCATTTTATTTTTGTGGTGAAAAGGGGTCCATAATTGTAGAAGGACAAATAAATTATGTTTTGCATTGGTTGATGCATAGTTGTCACCCTCATCCTTGCAATAATTAAAGGCCAAGCCACCAAATTTGGAATAAAAAGCATAAAATAGCACTATTGTGGGGCACCCAATTCTTGGACTGTGTTGAATAAGGTTGTTGATGAATTAAGAATGGAGTAAATAAACAGTTTCTTACTGAAAAGAAAGGACATTTGATTCGTTTCTTTGATTTTGGTTTTAGGATAAGTGAGCAAAGTTATAAATTAACTGCAACAATGTCAGCCAAAAGAGATAGGGTGATGCTCAAGATTTAATAAAGTTTGAGTGAAAGACTGAAACATTGCAGCTACATCTAAGCTTCACAAGAAACTTGTGTGCTACATCTATGTTCTGTAATGAACCAAGTTGGTGTGTTTGAGTTTATGCAAGTTGCTTTAAGGTACTCTTAATTTTGCATAAATATATTTATTGTCTTTTTTGGTCCAAACAAGGACATGGCTCCAAGGTGTTTCTCTGGAACTCTAGATCCATGATTTAGTAGGTCCATTTGATATCAAAGAAAGAGAATCAATCATAAACGGGCTCCAGGCCTCAATGGGTTTGCTTCTCAAGTTGGACTGTTACTTCCTGCACACCCTTATTTTCTTCCTGCACCCCTATATTCATCCAAAATGACAATTTTACCCTTAATGTAAATAGGTTTTGAAAAGTTCACTTTGAGAATGTTTTGGATTAACCTTCTCAAAAAACTGGTTCAGAAAAACATAATCCAGAAATAAGTTTTAAGTTGTATTTTAGAAATATATTCCGGATTCAATCATCTGAAATACATTTATAGTAAATAAAATCCAAAAATAAATTTTAAATTGTTGAATCTATGACATATTTTCAAAAATATAAATTTTCAATGAATTTTGGATTGTTTAATCCAAAATATATTTTTGAAAAATACAATTTATGAATGAATTTTGAATCATAGTTTTTTACAAGGATATTCTGGATTCAATAATTTGGAACAGAAAAAGTGAGATATTATTATATATATATATATATATATATATATATATATATATATGTATATATATATTATAGGGTTACAAAAGAAATTATTTGGGTGCAAAAAGATATCGGCCTCAAGTTGAGGCTATTTGGGCTTTATGTTTTTTTTTTCATTTGTATACTAGACAAAAATAAAAAATTGATATAAAAAGTACAATAAAGATTCTTGTATAGGCATAAAATAAAGATTAACAGAAGTGGTTAATAATAATAAATAATATAATTAATAGTATAGAACAAAACAACCCTTGGAAGGTATGGGACAACAATTTTGCGTGAGCAACTTGCTTGTTTTATTTGATCCATCTCATAGTGCAAATTGAGAAAAAACCATTTTTTATTTCATGTCACACTCCTCACATTTTTTTTTTCTTACCATGAAAATGCCCTTTGAAGACTTTAACAACAAATTAACCCAAAGAATGAGAACATAAAATAAATTTTGATGACTTTGCTACGAAGCAGACAGCTATTGAATTCCACAAGCAAAGATAACGATGGTTTGCCCTATTTTTCTTTCTTTTCTTACTCTTCATGCTTCTCAATCATAAAAATATACAACTCTTCTATTTTATAGAGAGGAAGAGAAACAAGTTGCATTTTATTTTCAAGTTTAACATTAATTTAAAGAACTATGAATTGTTCAAATGAAATCACCAAAATAAGCATCATTCATAGTAGAACTTATTGGGTTTCTTGAATTCTTAATCAATTTAAGTGTAACTCTTCATTTAACCCTATGGTGATTCCTTTGACACCCATTAAGAAATCATGTTAGCTATTACACATATATTTTCTTAACCAACAAGTAGTCACTTAATATATGTCAGCAATGTATGAATTATAATAATAATAAAAGAAAGAAATCATGAAAACAAATAAAAACCAAAAACAACATCTTAAAATTTACATGAACCAAAAACTTATCTAAATCTTAAACATTCTTTCTCTTCCTCATTTTCTAAAAAGAATTGTCGCATATTTTCTTTCTGTTTTCCCTTGTGACAGAAAATTGCCATATTCTCCCACTTTCTTACCAGCTTAAAAACTGACGCAATCAAACATATAAACACCTTGTTTTATATATATATAAGTATGGTAGAATGTTACAAAACCAAACAGATGTAGTCTGATTCTCCATAATCTGCACCTCTTTTAATTTGTTGTTGTTTAGATTTGAATACGATGATGATGTTTGATAATGGTAAGATGAGATAGAGGAGCCTTTAGTCGACACCTAGCAAGGAAGTATGGAACTATTAAAAAAGGGTACCATTGTTTAACTTTAGCTTGTTATCATTGATTGGATGCTTAAAAGGAGATGCCCACTTCCTCCATAATTACCTCTCACCAGCTTTAGTGGGTTAAGACATGCTCGACTACTACCTGTTATGCTCACTCCTTTTAGAAATATAAAACAAACCACATGGGAAGATAGATAGATAGATACTTGGTTGGTAAAGTTGGGTAGAGTTGATGAAGGGGTGGAACTACTTGTATAACTTCAAAAGGCCTAAACAAGAATCTATTCATGCTTTCACTTGCCTTTTCACATGGTTTTTCAACTTTGGAATCTTGGGATGCATCTTAAATTCCCAAAACCAGATATTTAAGTTTCTACTTTTGGTCGTGGGAGAATTTTTTTGGGTTTGGCACCCCTTCACTTAGCATATATATATACTTTACTGGATGCATCAATGTTAGTCACACTCTAGGATAACAGTAGAATGGTAGAAAATGAAAACCTTGGTTGAATATTTTTCATTATACATTAATAAAAAAAAGTTCTAAGTGGGTGAAAAAAGAGTGCTCCAAAACAAAGCCATAATCCTCCGAGAAGGGTTTTGTTAAGCACCTGATGGGGCAATTTCTTGTTCGTTTCAAGGGAGCAGATGCATTAGAAAAAGATGAAGAACCGTCGTTGGATTCGATAACAAGAGCCTAGTGACTTGTTATACAAGAAGACCCTCTTTATTCATTGTTTATATGATACGATCAACTATATAATATATAAAATAGCTTATCAGGCATTACTTGCAACTAAAAAAATCACAACATACAAAACATGGATTTGAAATTCTGTGTTTGATTCAAAGACACGGATCCCTTTCTCCATCATTTGCAGCAAAACTCTTCTTTTCTGTCAGCAACAAAACTTCATTTATTCCTCATAAATGAAAATTATTAATTTAGTATCATATTATGATACCATGAACGTTCAAGCAAGAGGAATCCCTCCTATTTTATTATCCATGTGATGGGTTTGATTTGGGGTAGCCTTGTACATGGCAAAAGATTGCACTAGTATGGAAATGATTAAACTTTATTATGCGAGACAAGAAGCTGCAAACAAAATAGAAAACAGACAAAGTTAACATGTCAAATCTAATCAACAACTCACGCTTTACTGTATAGACCGGAAGCACAACACAATGCTATTTTATGATTTTCTATTCCTTTATTATTTTTTTGAAGATGCTATTTTATGAGTTTATTAGTTAAGTAACAAGTGGCAACTTCGAACCTTTTCCTTTCACATGTCGTTTCACTTTTCCACAAGCTTTTGACTTCAATTCCATTACCCTGAAAACAAGCTCGTTTAGCTGGTGTAATCCATTATGGTACCGATCCAATATTCTGTAGTGTTTGATAGCTTTACAAACAGAAATTAGTATAATTTAATTGACCAACACAAGGACAAGAAACTATGCAAAAAGTATGTACAGTTTCATTAGACAGCGTTTGGTTGTTCCTCATAGCAGGGGAACATTCTCCTTTAAACCAGACTCATAATAATTAGTCCCCAGCGGAATCTTCCAAATTCATTGGAGAATAAAACTCTGTATATTTGTTCAGTTGCTTTAAGGCAGGGAAAAGTGGCATCCTCAGTGAGAGACTCATCAAATATTAAAAAAAGCAAACTTATTTTTTTATTTTTTTTTTCTATAACAATGCCACTCTGCTGCCTTGTGTTAATTCCTGGTTTGCTTTCAAGGGTTTGTTCTATTTATGCACTGAAATGGGTATGCCAGATTGCTTTCTACTTCTTTCTTCTGTATCTAATGGATTCATGCTGTCTTGCAGTTGAACATGAATATCTTCCCTATTCTGTTTCTGTACTGGAGTTTTTGTGTGGTATTTTGATTCTGAGGATAGTTGCAATTAGCATCAAAATTTGGGTTTCTTCCACTTTCAGTGATGGGAAGTAACAGCAGAGGAAAGGATGGTGAAGGGTCTTCTGGAGTTAAGAAGGATGAAGAAAACTATGAGTATGAACAAGACATGAAATTTCTGTCGCCTGAAGCGCTCTTTGGCAATACCAATGGATACACAGATCCGTTGGTTCAGATACCTCCCTTGCACATACAACCCCAGGTCAGAGTTAGATGATCCTTTGATAATTTCTTTTATTGAAAAAACAAAATTATGGGGTTTGTTCTTTTTCTTTCTCTTTTCAAAAAAAGATAAAAAAGATAGGTCCCATGTTTAATGTTATAGTTTTGTAAAGCGCATCCATTGTATGATGGGTTTTAGCTTTAAGAGGGGATAGAGAGAAATTCAATCCAAGCATTGAACAATAAGCATCCTATGGAAGTGGGATGCTTCTCAGTATTCTCCAGACCGCGTAAACAGTTTAGTAATGATTTGTAGAATGGTAAAACTAAAGTTGGATTTTAGGTCATAGCGAAAAGATGAGATTGATCTTTCAAGTGATAGAAATTTAGGGTGGATTTACTATTTTGAATTCTACTCTAGTTTACCATTCATATGGGAAAAACTGCTGGTCTTATGGGAATTATGAGATGTATTGACCGAAGAATTTCATTATCCAAGACTTCAAACATGCATGCCATTGCAACATTAGTTCACTCCCTGGTAATATCAATACAAATTTATGCAACTACAACAAGGATTTCATATTTTTAATCTGATGAAGAACTTACAAGTAAAGAGTTAAGTGACACTGAATGAAGCTATTGTGACCATAAATGTCTTGATGGGTACAACACATCAACACCAAATTTAAAATGGCTATTTTCAAGGTACCTGCGGCGGTAGCGCAACGCCTGCCTCAAAATGGATATCTAGAATCTGTGATTCATGAAAGGTTTAAAAGAGTAAGCATCACGTGGAATCATGCAGCCACCAACGTTGCTATTGCAGGTTCATGGGACAACTGGGAGACCACGTAACCATCTACATACATTTAAATTCCAAAACATAGAGTTCTTACTTTTACTTCATTTTATGATGTGATGAACTTTTTACCTTGTCCTGTCAGGGAGCTCCTGCAGAGAGTAGGTCAAAGTTTTGTGCTTGTTAAAACACTCCCATTAGGTGTCTATCATTACCGTTTCATTGTAGATGGCTACTTGACACATGCTCCAGAGTTCCCATCGGCTTCTGATGATTCAGGTTATGGCTACAATATATTGGATTTGCAGGTAATTCCATGGTTTACTTTATTTTTCACGGAATATAGATGGACCTTGTTTATTGCATCTTCACAAGTGTTATCTTTTACTACAATCATTATCACGATCATCAATTCAGTTGACAGTTTGGCTTTATTTTGATATCATCTTTGCTTATTCTCAAGGACAATATCTATTCAATAATACACTGAATCCATTAAGTCACGTGTTCAACGATTTTTAAAAGATTTGTTCTCTGGTGAGGAAACCATAGAACCATGTCGAACAACCATGTCGAAGTTTAAGGATAGTCCCTTGCTAAATTTGAATTTCATTTGTACTATTTTCAACCAAAAACTTTAAAACAATAAATTTGTCCGTGTTTTTACTTATAAATTATTCAAATTTTTCATTTTGGACTCCACTCACATTTGAATTCCTACAGAAATATCTCTTGCTGATTATCTGAGTAACTGTTAAAATAAGTAATGCATAATGATTTATCGGGTTTGGGCATAGTGAAGAGTGTTGATCATACATACTATTGTTGTACGGTCATTGCTTCGTACACAGTGCACATACATTTACCATGTGTTCAGAGCACCTCTCCTCTTTTATAACGAAATATAATTAGATGTTCTGTTGCATATAAGAATCCTGAGTGTGTTTTAACTCGGAAAGAAATTAGCTTAAAGCTGCTTGATGTTATGTTACTAATTGGTTATGATAATATAAACCTTGTCCTTTATTTCCTCTAAAATTGATGGTCTATCCCGTAATGAAGTATGACCACTGCAGGGTAGAGGTTCTGAGGTCATATGAGCAGTACGAACTAGAGTACATTTTCAAGCTCAAAGTGTTTGATTGTAACTTCTGCTAGTTTAGATTGATTTCATTAATCTTCTATCCATTGCTAGAAAAATTTGTTTACACATAACATTTATTGCTCTCAGTATTCAAGAGTATTTAGTGAATTAACATCTCTTGTTTATATACATATAATGAAATCTGATATATTTATTGAAACGACATGCATTTTCGATGTCCTTTTCTGTATACTTAATGCTTATAGCTTTATGATTAACCATCTTCACAGGATTATATCCCAGAAGTAGTGGCAAACTTATCCGATTTTGAAGATCCACCATCACCCCCATCGAGTTATGATAACACATACTTAAATGAAGAGGAGTTCAGCAAGCCCCCACCAGAATTACCACCACAACTACCACTGTCAACGACACATGATCCTTCATCTACAAGGGGTAATCATCTTGTCCATAGGCCCACACATCTGGAACTGAATCATCTATTCATACACAAAACTGAAAGAGATCAATTTGTAGCATTACGATCAACATACAAGTTTCAACACAAATATATTACTGCTGAACTGTACAAGTCCCTGCGCAGGGAAAGATGATTAAGAAGCTGTTTGATTTTTGTCTTCTATTGTACTTGCCTCGTTTTAGCGGTCTTTATGAGAACATTTGTGTATGTGCAGAAATTTGATTGGAATAGGTAAATGAAATATTGCTTTCCATGAAAAAAATCTTCAGGGATATTATTTTATTCTGGCATTCCGCAGTCAGTCAATATATACAATACATTTTCATAATAGTTGACTAGTAGTCCTGCTTTCAAGGACTTACGTTCTGAAATTGAATATGCTTACTGCACATGCTCTGATGAAAATTCAATGGTTACTCGAGCATATAATAATGACTGACACATGAACAATAACTTTCTTCACCTTTTTCTCTGTTGTACTCTCAGATGATGTCATCATCGGCTTCTGAAACCCAGGGCTCTATAATCCCATGGTTGAACATACATTAATAGTCATTTTAATGGTTTAAGCTTATGTAGAATTGAAATGGCTATTCCTCCCCAGGGCGGGGCGATAGCTAAATTTGACACGCAAATGAACATACTATGCGTAGCACTACGTCAGTTAATCTGAGTATACACCTTCATTATGGGTCAGTATTCTCTTGTTTCCACCAGTTTCTACTCCTGATAAACGAGACTAACAGTTTTTTCATATTGGCTGAAATTCTACAGTTCTTCAGTTTAACTTATCTATAGAAGTAACAGATTGCTCATTGTCAAAGCCTCGAAGGCCGTATCTAATTTTTAAGTACAACCGTTCCATTATGCATCATTTCTTCAAGCGTATGTTCTCAAGAAAAAACTGCAGGTCTATCGTATACCAATGATCTAAACCTCTTTCCTTTATCTTTTTCCTATTTGAGAAGCAAGGAGCAGAAAGAGTTAAAAGTCACAGACTACAACATTTCCTTGTTAATTTTCCATGTAACAAGTGAGGTTACCAACCTTCTCATGTTAGTTTATGTGTAAGGTCGTTAAAAAACTCTAACAAAACGTTCTATTTTTTGAAACAACAAGCAGCTATCCAACATCGTTGATTCTTCTCCTTTTGTTTTTCGTTGTTATAAAAACGTATCAGGATCATCAAATTGCTTCTGTGAAGTAGCTTTCAGTCCGACATTCAAAGTAGTAGTAGGAGTGATCTCTTCTTGATCATTAAAACCATACATAACATAATGTCCTTACATAAGTGAAAAAGTAAAGAAAGTCTCTGCTGAAGTTAGAAGAAAAAAGCTTAAAATTCATGAGAATTAACAGGTAGAGCAGACAACGAAGTGTTGTCTCATCGAACGGGTACCTTAATCCAACCATTTGCAAAAGCAATGGCCAAGATTACAAAAGGAGTTGACATACCAAATATGATAATGTAAGGAAGAGGGGTCTTCATGGGATTCTCTCCCTCCCTTTCTCCTGCTGACTGCCAATACCTGCGCCACACAAAATCCTTTTTGTAGTAGTAGTCACTATTCAAACAGACATTACTAGGTAGGGTTTGGGAAACAAACTTGAACAGAAAATTAAGGGGCGGGGGGTGAACTTATGAAGTGAAAACCAGGAATTGTTACTGTTGTGGTTCTTCCTCTCTGGTGATGAATTTTTTCTTGCCTCCTTTCTTGACTTGCTCATCTTCACCACCTAATAGGATCAGAGCCACATTCCTAAGTTTATCATCTCAACCTCATTTATTTCACTTCACCAGAACGGAAAAGAAGATAATAATTACATAAAAGTGATGCAAAGGGAGGTGATCGCGGGTGATTGATTGTTACCTAATTTAGCATGAACTTTAACACCAGTAACATTGGTTCTTGGAGAGCATAAAACAAGAGAAGATGGGAGTGATTTTGGCAGAAAAGAAGATTTGAAGCAAAAGGGAGAAGAAAGAGTGAGTTTGGCAGCCATGTTGATGTGTGTGTGCTGCAATACAAGGTGATGAACGATGAATCACATATTGTCTGGATAATGTTGTGGATCCTCCCCTTATCTCACCAACTAATGAATGACCTGGCCTCCATGCAGCCACTTCTTTATTGTAATTTACCTCTTCTTTTTAATTACTATTTTCCTTTTTCATAAAATAAACTTTATAATAAAAAAATTATCATTAATAATTTTATAAAAAATTATTGATATCCAATTTAGAGATAATGATAAAAGATTATAAAATAAAATGGTTATTCTTTTATTTAATTTTAAATTGTCTCTAATCTTTATATTTTAAAATTGATAAAAAAATATATTTTTTAAAATATGTAAATTTAAATTTTTTTTATTTTATTAAAAAATTAAATAATTTTTTTACTGTTATAAAATTTATAAAAAGATTACATTTATAATTAATATTTTTTAAAATCAGAAATTTTTTATTGTCAAATTTTTAGGGAAAAAAATCCTCAAAAAATTATATTTCCCACACCTCACCGCTTAAATGCCATTTTGAGTTCTTAGGACAAATACAGAAATACGTGGTCCATACCAATTTAAAATTTTGTATCAAACTTAATCACTATATATGTGTAAGTTAATTTCTTTTGAAACTTTATTTAACTCAAAATTTAAAGTGATAAAATAGGCCACAAATTTTGAATAGAAGTAGAAAATTGTTGAGAGTGCAACGGTAGCAACAGTTTGATGTGAACAGCATCCTGTTGAACAATTCCTAGTTAGAGTTTGGAAAAGCATGATACTTTGCTACAGGCGACTGTTACACAATGCAAGTCATGCTCTTTCTACTACCCAGTTAGCTTTTTCAGAGGTGCTGCTACATCACCACAACTCATCTCAGTGCCAACTCCAATTTCCACCTTTGAATTTGGAATATAATCGATACAAAGATTCTTGTAGCGTGGAAGATGCCCATCAGCTTCATCTGCACATCTACAGAACTGGGCTTAGCAATGATGTTTTCTGGTATAATACTCTTATCAACATATATGTCAGAGTCGGCAACTTGGTTTCTGCACAGAAGCTATTTGATGAAATGCCAAACAAGAACCTCGTTTCTTGGTCTTGTTTGATTTCAGGGTATGCACAAAATGGCATGCCTGATGAGGCATCTGTTTTATTCAAAGGGGTCCTTTCAGCTGGTCTCTTACCAAACTCCTATGCCATTGGTAGTGCTCTTCGAGCATGTCAAGAGCTTGGTCCAAATAAACTTAAACTCGGGATGGAGATTCATGGCTTAATTTCGAAATCTCCCTATGCTTCAGACATGGTGTTGTCTAATGTACTCATGTCCATGTATTCACATTGCTCGGCCTCCATTGATGATGCTCGTCGTGTTTTTGATGAAATAAAAATTAAAACTTCTGCATCCTGGAATTCTATAATTTCAGTCTATTGTCGTTGGGGAGATGCAATTTCTGCATTTAAGTTATTTTCAAGCATGCAAAGGGAAGCTACAGAATTTACCTGCAGGCCTAATGAATATACCTTTTGTAGCTTAGTAACTGCTACATGCTCTCTGGTTGACTGTGGACTGACTTTGCTAGAGCAGATGCTGGCCAGGCTCGAAAAATCTGGCTTCGTACAAGATTTATATGTCGGTAGTGCTTTGGTCAGTGGGTTTGCAAAGCATGGCTTATTAGATTCTGCTAAAATGATTTTTGAACAGATGGCTGATCGTAATGCAGTGACCATGAACGGGTTGATGGTTGGACTTGGGAAGCAGCACCTCGGTGAAGAAGCAGCTAAGATATTCAAGAAAATGAACAATTTGGTTGAAATAAATGCATCATCTTATGCAGTTCTTTTAAATGCTTTTACTGAATTTTCAGATTTAGAGGAAGGGAAGAGAAAAGGTCAAGAGGTTCATGCTTATCTGATTCGAAATGCCTTGTTTGATGTATGGATTTTGATTGGAAATGCACTTATGAATATGTATGCAAGATGCGACTCAATTGATAATGCTCGGTCAATTTTTCAAATCATGCCCAATAAAGATACTGTGTCATGGAACACTATGATCTCTGGCCTTGACCACAATGAAAGATTTGATGAAGCAGTTGCCTGTTTCAATACAATGAGGAGAAGTGGAATGCTGCCCTCAAAATTCTCAGTTATTAGTGCTTTGAGTTCATGTGCAAGTTTGGGTTGGATCATGTTAGGACGACAGATACACGGTGAAGGGATCAAATACGGGCTTGATTTGGATGTTTCAGTTTCAAATGCTCTTCTAAGGTTATATGCTGAAACTGATTGTATGGACGAGTGTCAGAAAGTCTTCTTTCTAATGCCAGAGTATGACCAAGTTTCGTGGAATTCTTTTATTGGTGCACTAGCAACTTCAGACGTGTCAGTCTTACAGGCTATAAAATATTTCCTGGAGATGATGCGAGCTGGATGGAAACTCAACAGAGTAACATTTATAAATATTTTAGTAGCAGTTTCTTCTCTTTCTCTTCTTGAACTGGGCCGTCAAGTTCATGCTTTAGTCTTAAAATACTCCATTGCTGATGACAATGCCATTGAGAATACGCTTCTAGCTTTTTATGGGAAGTGTGAACAGATTGAGGACTGTGAGATTATCTTTTCTAAAGTGTCTGAGCGAAGAGATGAAGTCAGTTGGAATTCAATGATTTCTGGATATATTCACAATGGCATCCTGCATAAAGCCATGGATTTGGTATGGTTTATGATGCAAAGGGGCCAAAGATTGGATGGCTTCACGCTTGCCACTGTTCTTAGTGCCTGTGCTTCAGTTGCAACATTAGAGCGTGGTATGGAAGTTCATGCATGTGCTATAAGAGCTTGTTTAGAATCCGAAGTTGTTGTTGGCAGTGCACTGGTTGACATGTATGCCAAATGTGGAAAGATAGATTATGCATCGAGATTCTTTGAATTGATGCCTGTAAGGAACATATATTCTTGGAATTCAATGATTTGTGGTTATGCACGCCACGGACATGGAGAAAAAGCTCTAAAACTTTTTACCCAAATGAAACAGCATGGCCAATTGCCAGGCCATGTCACTTTTATTGGAGTCTTATCGGCCTGTAGTCATGTAGGGTTAGTTGATGAAGGATTTAAGCATTTCAAATCAATGAGTGAAGTATATGGACTAGCTCCTCGAATAGAGCACTTCTCTTGTATGATAGACCTCCTTGGGAGGGCAGGTAATGTCAATAAGATGGAGGAATTCATCAAAACAATGCCAATGGATCCTAATGCCCTGATTTGGAGAACAATTTTGGGAGCATGTTCTCGAGCTAATAGCCGTAACACAGAGCTAGGTCGGAGGGCTGCCAAGATGCTTATTCAGTTAGAGCCACAGAATGCTGTAAACTATGTGCTTCTTTCTAACATGTATGCTGCTGGTGGGAAGTGGGAAGATGTGGCAGAGGCTAGGTTGGCAATGAGGAATGCAGCAGTGAAGAAGGAAGCTGGGTGTAGTTGGGTCACCATGAAGGATGGAGTTCATGTGTTTATGGCTGGAGATCAAACACACCCAGAAAAAGAAAAAATCTATGAAAAACTCAAGGAGATAATGAAAAAAATGAGGGACGTGGGATATATGCCAGAAACCAAATATGCACTCTACGATCTTGAGCTTGAAAACAAAGAAGAGCTTCTTAGCTATCATAGTGAGAAACTAGCGATTGCTTTTGTTCTCACTCGCCAATCTGAGCTACCAATTAGGATAATGAAGAACCTTAGGGTTTGTGGTGACTGTCACACTGCTTTCAAATACATATCAAAGATTGTTAATCGACAGATAATTTTACGAGATTCAAATAGATTTCACCATTTTGATCATGGCATATGTTCTTGTGGGGATTATTGGTGACTGACACAAAATAGTTATGGAGTTTCTTTGGTATAACACTATTGAAATATAGGTTAGGTGTATATAGGATTAGGCACCATTTTTAAAACTTTCTTAATCTTAACTTACGAAACTAGTCAATTATCCAAACTATTGGACGTTGTTGTCCCCACAATCCTCTTTTCCATTTTTTTTTTCTTATTGGGAAAAAGTTTGGTTAGGTACATTGCTCAATCGAATTGTCTTGGTTTATGACCTGAATTCAATTATGTTCATTTTTTTATGCATGCCTTCTTCTTGTTACTTTTAACGAAGTCCTAAAAGGCAGATATAAAAGGTGTAAATCTTGTTGCTCTTTACACTTAAAAGTTCTGCATCCCCAAACACATTCATGTAGTTCTCAAATCTCAACAACAAATTAACAATTGAAAATGGGAATAGAAGTGAACGGAGGTAGCACTTTGAAATGATGATGGAACGTATATGCAGTATATATGCGAGAGGGATTTGGATTCTCGTGAACGTTATAATGCGTTTCCACCCTTTCCAATATTTTTGACCTTTCAAACCCCTGCCAGCCAGGGAAGTATGTTTCCATTGTATTCTAATTTTTTTTAACGTAGGTTATTGTTTTCAAACTTTTACTTATCTGATGAAATCTGATTTTGTTATAACTTTTTTTATTAAATAAGCATATCTCAGTTTTGTTATTTATTTAATATGCTTATTTTAATAAACAAATTCTAATGTAAAAATAGCATTTTGTTAGTAAACGTGTCAAAATCTAATGTAAAATATTCATCCAACGTTGAAAATTAGAGAAACCAAATCCAAATCTAAATATGACCTTACAGACCGTACCAACCGGTGCAACGCCGTGGAGGGTTTTGTTAAATGCATTTCTTATAATAGAACCTTGCTTTAAGGTTTTTTTTTTTTTTTTTTTCATTTCAACAAGTATCATTGACACTCATACATATTTAAACTAATGGAACTAAATAATTTACTCTCTCTTTTTTCACAAACAATACTATACTTAATTTTTATTATATGGATTGAATTTTTTAAAATTTAGATTATGTATAATAATCCATATCAAATATATTTAATATAAAATCTAAATTCATTTAAGTATATT